AAAAAAATGTAAATAAAAAACCATTATATAAGCAAACTGAGAAAACTAAATAACACCAGCACAAATAATGATCTGAGATACTTAGTCCTGTTTTTACATAATTTCTAATGCTTATTTGCATTAAGTTTACAACACTTCATATAATATTCACAGAATTGGTAACAAACACATATAAAGTAATTATCAAAATAAGATTTTTATTCAATAAATAGTTGTATACTTTTGACATTTTTATTTCAATTTTGCATTGTCCGATTCCAATTACAACCTGAAAGTTAGTTATCCACAGTTTTCTTTATTTTTAAGAATTAATTTTCTAGTTCTTAGATATTTTTAAGAAGAATATTCAACATAGTTGGACAAATCAACTTTTTAGTCTTCTAGATCTCTCAGATGGATTGTGTATGTTGGATGATTAAGAAACATTTTATTATAAGCAGAAATATTGTAAATGAAAAAAGTATTTTTTTTTTTAACATCAATAAATGTAAAATGGAATAAAAATTTAAATTGTGTATAGTAATTGTATTCTGTATGTAGTAAAGATATATATTATAAATGAGCATAAAGTAGTATATTATAAGTGGTTATTTTTATTTGTTTTAGTGCTGTTTACTTTTGTAAAATATTTAATAAATAAACTTGTGTAAAAGTTTTATACATTACAACTGAAATTTATAATTAAAAAAGTATAATTTAAACTTCCAACTGTTTTTTTTTTTTTTTGTTTTTTTTTCCTTCCTTTTCTTTGTTAGATCCAAGACCAAGAAGTTTGCATTGAGATGTTGGCTTTTGTAATAGCCTTTATATTTTATATTTTATGAAAATAAAGTGTTTCTCTCTCTATAGTGATTGAATCCTAATTAATTGTTTTATGATATATATTACAATCAAAATATCCTATTATATTAGTTATGAACAGAGGATAATTTTCAAATATTATTTTTTAAATGTTATGATTTTAACTATCAAAATGTTTTAAATGGAAGCATTAAACTCAAAAGTAATACTTTGAATGATAAAAGGAAGCATGAATTATTATAATTATTAAGTGTAATGGGGACCAATTTATCGTCTATATAATAATATCCATGTAGATATCTCACATATACGAGTAATTTTTGTTGGAGTCCAATTTTCTCTCTTCATATTTGCTGGCGAAGTTCTAGATTACTTTGAAACCATTCCATACTAAAACCTTTTTCAGATCTATTGGTGCATCCAAAAGCATAGCAGTGAACCATCTTAAATAAACATTAACAGTTTTGGAATTTTAATTATTAGAAAAAATAAGGAAAATAATATTTCATTTCAGAACTTTTGCAACATAACAATCTATTTCTTATTCTGACATAAAAGAAAACTATTTTTAGTTGTTTAAAGTCTCAATAAAGCTAAGGATCATCAACTATACTCATATTTTAAATATTGAAAGTAACAATAACTATAAAGGAAAACCAAATTTCAATTTTATACTTGAAACCACTGACTTCAAAATAAAAATTGTTTTAGCTAGTAGCCTCAAATTATATAAATTATCTTCATGTATCCAAGTTTCAAACTTGATTTCCATCTTTTTCTTTCATTACCACAGAATTACAAAGGAAAATTAACAAAACAAAGTAAACAAATTAAAGTCTTAATACATTTTTGAAACCAATATGAATCAAATTAACTCAGTAAGAAGTGATTTAAAAGCATTTTTCATAGACAAAATGAGTTCTATTGATGTAGATCACATAATTAATTGTCACAATATAAAGATAGTATTCCTAAGAGGTTTGTTGTATTCATAATTAGATAAATTCAATTAGTTAAAAGAATTTCTCTCATAGATCTTTTTTTAGCAGTACATCTGTAAATTATGTGTGCAGCATTCATAAATTTTATTTCCTTTGTAAACAAGTAAATATTGTCTGTTTTAGCTTTTGTTTTGTTTTTTATATCTCTTTGTTGATTAAAAATGTTTTCTTTTTCAAGTTAAATTGGTTTGTTCTTCAATCAATTGATAATTGATTCTGCTTTGTCCTTACAAATTTTATTTCACTCCACTTTGTTTTGTTTTTATTTGGTATATCCTGTGTGATAAAATTGAAAACATGTTATAGCCTACAATCTCTGATTTCCCAAAAAAGTAATGAAAAATAAATAAAATAAGAGAAAGCTTGATAGGAACTTACATGTGTCCTGATAAACATTGTTTCAATTAATCATATTATGATTATTCATCGACTTCATTGATAACAGGTATATTGATATTGACTGGTAAATAGAAATTTTCAAATTATAGAAAATCTTTGAAGTTTTAGCACTCAGAAACAAATACTCTCCGACCATCTTTAATAGGCTTAAAAGTAAAATCAAAAATTTGTTTCTACTGCATATGCAATGGTAAGAACTAGACCATTTCATAAAAAATAAAAAAACTATTAGATTATCAATGTTCAGAAATGATTCTTTTGGTTGAGGATCAAATTTTGAATTATTTAAATGTTTAATAATAGCTGATTAATAATGGAATGTTGTGGATATATTTAAGATGAGTTGGTTGGTGTGTTCTGTCACAAGTAAAATAAATAAATTATATTTATTAAATTTACATTAAATAATTTATATTTATTTAAAGTTTTGTTTTTTTCAGAGGATATTAAGAATAAAAATAAATTTGAATTGAGTTTCTAGTTTTCTAAGGACATACCAATGAAAGTTAATTTTTACAGTTTTTGTTGACTATTTTAATAATTATATAAATTTGTTTGTGAAATTTGCTGATGAGAATTAGATGAATAAAATGGAAATCGCAATAAGTCAAAGTTTATTGAAATAGGTTGAAAAAAAAAGTCAAATAAAAGAAAACAAAATATTTTTCTTAGATTTTATTATATATTTTTGCATGATTCATAGGCTTCATTCAACTTGCATAACTTCAATTCTATTTTCCAAAACATGCTAGTTAATAGTTTGTTACAATAATCACTATTTAAATTGAAATTAAAAAGAAAAACTATTCAAATATTAGTTTACCGCCAAAACAATATGGCCACACTGTATTATTAAATCACAGAAGGCGAGCCAGGTCGATCTCCTGCCACTTCTATCCACGAGTACTTTAAGTGGCCAACACAAAAATTATACTTTCATTGATTACTTAAAACATTCATTAATTGTCTTACAATTGTAAGCTTTAAGGACTTCATTGGGTCAATTCAAAATGTTAAATGATTAGTTGTGATAACCCCAATTCATTCATAAATGTCTATATGAATTGATATCATCTGAACCAATTAATTCTTAACAATTTTTTTCAATTCATTTTTTAAGAAAAGAGTGCAATAAGTCGTCCAGTGGCTATTCTTATTCCTGTTAGTCAAGATCTCAAATAAAGCTCTTTCTCAACCTCCTACAGATGTGGATCAAGCATAAGTCACTTAAGACCAACTTTAAGCTTGTTATGAAACCTTTTTTTATGGCAATCATATTTCGTTGGTTGAACACTGCTGACGTCTAGAAATTAAATACTAAAGAGCAATAAAAATTAACATCTATCAATATACAGATCCCTTTTTATCAAATCATTAATATTTGCCTAAGGCTTCATAAATAGCTTCATCTCAACGTAACCTAAAACGATTTTATTTACGATAATCCTCTACAATTGTGGCGTTTTCAATCTAGTAATCGGCGAACTTTGTCAATTCAATTAGATACTAAAAACTCGTAAATACCCATTTGCTTTCCACTTCAATTTGAGCACACAATCGAGAAAAAGGGTGGCCTTCAAAAAATCGAAATAACGAGGTTATATAGGCCAAACGGCCTACTATTTTTGTAGGCCACATTTTTTCTCGATTTTGTGATCAAATTATCTTAAGATCCAAGTGGAAAGCAAATGGGTATTTACGAGTTTTTAGTGTCTAATTAAATAGACAAAGTTGGCCGATCTCCAGATTGAAAATGCTCCAATTCCAAGAGTTGCAATAATAAAATAAAATATGAGAAGGAGGAATATATAAAGGAGAAGGAAATATATAAATAATTTTAATTTTTGCCGACGTTTCGACCCACTTTGCAGGTCGTCTTATTATTATTTGACCGCACCCTCAACTAACTCCTTCTCAGATCATATCAACGGTCAACCATCTCTACATCATTATAAAATAAAATAGTTGTAAGTTACGATGAGATGAAGCTATTCACTAAGTGTCAGGCAGATGTTAATAATTTAACAAAAAGGGGTTTGCACCATAGACTAATATTTTAAAACAAAGTTGGAAAATTAAAATTGATTGTTACCTCTACAAAATAAATCTTAACCTCTCTCTATCTCTCTTCCTATAGAGATAGCAACAAGCTGTTTACCAGTTGATAACACTTAACCAATTAACCTGACTAATGTCTTTAAATAAAGATTTAAAAAAAATATTCTCAAAGTTACGAAAATTGTAGGGCACAGTATTTTTAAGGTATACTAATAATAAGTCTGTAACAACAAAATATATATGTATATTATTTAAAATATTTTGGTAAAATATGCCAATACTCAAGATCTATGAAGAGTGTCTGAACACAGCTTTAAAGAACAGTGCCTGACATGATCACCTCAAAAACTAAGTGTTTTCTGATAAGCTACAATTTGACTTACTTTCTAAATTAATTTCTATTTTCCAAAAATCTCTATAGAAGCATCTACTACGCACTAAACTGTTTAGTAACAGAGTACCTAACAGAGTACTAATAAGGTTTTTAGTACTTTGATACTTGAACAAAAAATGTAGAAGTCCAAGAGTCAAATCTATACTACCATCATTCAAAACTATCAAATATACTTCTGGCTATTTGTTTATTAAACAAAAATTAAAATAAACTATATATATTATATTTGGGATAGATACCAGTCCTATGCAAGAGTATAAACAAGCAGAACATAGCATGACTAAATCAAACAGAGCTCATTATGAAGCTCTCAGAACTGAACCTCACGCCTCACATCAACAGAACAGTACCGCACACATATAGTTTATTGTTACACTTCTCAACATCATTGGCCTATCTAAGTCAAGATCTAAGAAAACTTAAAAACTTGTAGGTGAGGAAAAACAAAAAGAAGAAGCAGAGGAAAATAAACAACTACAGTTTTTTTCAACATATCAATTTTTGAAAAATATAACTGTTGAAGTAATGTAGAGGTAATACAGACAGACCTTATCAAAAGTAACATTAAAGTTTTATTCAATGGCATCTGTAAAACTTTAATAAAGCGCAAAAGCATTAAAATACAATATATACATAAATGTAATAACTTATAACACATATTATATACATAAATACTTTACTTATCAATTATATACAAAGTTATTACTAAAACAATTATTTTTTTCGAGTTCAAAGTCATTTTTTTTATGGACAAATGGTAACTGATAAAGAAAAATTCAGTAATATATCTAAAAACTAAAATACAAATTAAATATTTTTTTAACTGAGATTAAATGAAACTACAATATTGTACCTGAGGTTCAAACAATATTTGGTTCAAAGTTTATCACATGATACTTTGTCAATTTGACAAAAAAGTCTTAATTTCACTTTTCTATGAAATATCATTTACACATTACAAAAGTACATTCTCTCATTTCACGACGATACCGGAAGACTCAATTATTACTGTATTACCTTTTATAATACTCTAACCGTAATCATGAATTAACAATAGCTATAAATTACTAAAAATACATATATACATTTATGTAAATGTAAAAAAAAGTTAACAACATAACACTAATCTGAGGGAACATAGTTAGTATTAAGAAATTTCATCTTAGTTGCAAGATGCGGAGGTAGGGATTGAAGAGTAGCCGCGGGACAAAGCGTCTGCTGGAGATGAGACCTCACACAGACCGGGGTGCACAAGTACTCAGCGGCCAGCCTCGAAACGTGGTAACACTTGCCGTTAGCATCTCTCCACCATTCTATTGGTGATTTCTCCAGGTTAGCCTGCGGCTCCCATTCATACTGCACCAGTTCCATATCTGTTTTCTGAGAAGGTTCCATTTCACATTTGATTGTACACAACTCCCCCAATAGATACTCCATACCTATATTGAAGGGAGAAAATTAGATATAAAAAATAAACAAAATATCATCCATTTTAAAACTTTTAAGGTTAATAAAAACAGTTACCTTTAAAACTAAAATGAAAAAGTCATATATAAAATATAATTGACATCATGAAAGACCCTTTGTTTACATTTAATAATTGCAAAAAAATATCCTGTTCACAAATCAATCGAAATTTGGAGAATTAATAGAAATCTGAAACTCTCATCTAACATTGAATAAAATTTTCATTTTAAATTTAGTTTAACTTTGTCTTTCTTCTTTTCCTTGGAAAGAAGAAAGACATATGGAAATTTTAAAAGGACAAGGATTAAAAATTACATAAGGGTTAAGAGCAAAATAGTAAAATGAACTTAACTTGAAATGCCAAATCCAAATAAAAACTGTTGGAAAAATCAGATAAAATTACAAATTGATAAAAGAGGGAATATGTAACATCCATAAAAGCTTCATTTTGCTATTAATTGAAGAAATTCGATTCCTTATTTAATTAATATAATATTCTATCATTAGATACTGTAAATTTTGTGTGATAATGCATTTTTAAAACTGTAATTATTAGGAATCGACCGATAACAATATTAATACTATCGGTAATGGCCAATGTAGAAATATATTTATTTTTCCTAATGGGGAAAAAAAAAAATCTGTATGTAATGTTTATGCTTAGTATAATAATGGGTTCAGTCAATACTGAGAATGGAGAGCCTCAATTTGAGTGAGTCAATTGAGATGAAAGGTCTATTTATTATATTATCACTAAATTAATATAATCATATGTTAAATAATAAAATATAAATAATTTCGAAAAAATATCAATCCCTAAGCATGTTCAGTCAGCAATAAGCAGAATATTCAAAGTGAAACTGTACAAATCCTTGATGTAAATACAAAAAAATGGCATATCAGCCTTAAAAATATCAACGTCGGGTAAAATTTATAAATCAATTAATCCTTAATTATCTGTTCAGTTATATGTTTTAATCCTTTTTGATTCTGGAGTATATAAATTAAAAATTTAAACAAAGTTTGCTTATTAAGGGAATATTCACGAAATCCTCTCTATTTCAGGATTCACAAGGCACTAAGACTTAAAGGTTAAACTATACCTGAAACTCTTTTCTTCCCTAATATTGTTTTTCCGTGATCAACAGATTCGTGCAAGGTAACTAGTTCATTCAGTTGTCCCAAAATTTTATTCCTTAGACGAGTACGATCTTCATCAGTTAAAAAGGGCAGATTCTTGAATCTCGGATCTAAAGCTGAAGATAACTCTAAAACCTCACTCACACTTTCCCCTCTATACCTGTAAAATGAGAGAATAATTACAAGAAGACTAAACTCGCATTACACTAAACTATTATTGAAATATATTAAATAGTTTTAAAAATTTATATTAAATAGTTTGGTTTCAGGGAGCAAAGTTATTGAAAGACGATTACACTTAATCACCTATAACTCATGATTTAATTGTTTACATAATTAGCAAATAAATATGAATCATGACATTAATTCACCTTTAACTCTGATTTTATACAAAATATTTTGAAATTCAGTTAAAACATTACCATAGACAAAATACGTAAAAATGAAAGTGACAAATGTGTAAGTAAAGTTACATTCAATCTTAAAAGAGAGTCAGAAGTGCCAATAATTCCATTTTAGCTAAAAACGTTAGTTAGGTATAATCTTATAAAACAAAGGTAGCAAACTTATAGCATCATAAAATAATAGTAAAAATTCAACCTCCCTTTTCGTGTGTCCACTTCCTACCACAGCCATTATCAGTTTTATAAGTTTTATAATGGCTCAGTTTTATCAGTTTTATAATGGCTCAGTTTTATAATTTAATTTAATTCAGTTTTATAATATAATTTAGTTTTATAATTATCAGTTGTATAATTTTGGGTCATATCGAATGAGCCATTTTTTAAATAGAGGTGTATCAATAACAATATATTTGCACTTTCGAAAGAGGAAGTATTTTTTTAAAGTAGTGGAATGGAGTTTGATGAAATCGGTACAGGACAATCTAAGTGCCAATCCACACAATCACCAAAAATTTACATGAAAATTGACATAAAGAGGCGATATGTCCGTAAAGTGAATTTGACTACAGGCAGGCGCGGAAACAAATTTATTCCTTAATGTTTAAAAGGTACTACTTCACTAGCAGGCCGGGTCGAAACCTCACTTCTTGTGTTATCTAACGTCACATCACATAACCTCCCTCTTCTTATCCCGCCAAACCTTTCAGTTATTACATTGTTTATTTTTCAGTTATTCTCTTATTACGTTCACTTATTAAATTCTTTAATTTTGGGGCGTCTGTGTTCATAATCAACACATAGAACGATTATGCAGCTCAGCTAAGTGGAGAAATAAGAAATATAGAGGGACTGCCAGACAACACCTCGATTTATATTTATGTGAATTTTTGTGGCGGCAGGTTCACAAAGAAGAGGACTCGTTCCTCGCTATTTTAAATACCATAAAACTATTTTGCCTACGAAAATAAATAAGACGAAGAACATAGTGTAGATATTTTTTCTTTTATATCTACAAATGTTCTTTCATTGTTTTTTTATTATTTCATTTTCATCTTTTATATCTACATATGTTCTTTAAATATTTTTTTATTATTATTTCATTAATATATGTGTCGTAAAATAAAAGTATTTTTTTTTGTTATTACATTTGTTTTTGATTCTGTTTACACTTTCAATAATACGAATATAATACAATAATACGAAGATAAGAATTACGAGAAGGCTTATCACTGCCTTATCGGAATTATCAGTGTTCAGGTTATAAACACAAAACGAGAGTGAAAATTTTCGTTCAAACTACAAATTTTCTGTAATTAACCTACCATATGAATAAAAATAAAAGTTTTTCTTTTCAATCATTCGATTACTAAATACTACTCACTTTTCTATTAAAACTTCTGCAATATCTGCTTTAACAGTTTGAGAAAAATCTGAATCAGTCGTAGATTTTTCGAGATGGACATTAAGCAGCTGGCACATAATTGGTTTCAGTATCGATATCAAAGGACTTTTTTCTTCAACCAATGTAGCAATAGTTACCTGCAACAACAATGGGCATACATATCGTCATCACATGAAAGAAAAAGATGACTAACAGTTTCATATTGAGATTGATGATATTTTGTTACTGACTAAATAAAAAATCGGAAAGCTTTACATTGTTAAAACAAGCTTAACATCTTCCAGAATAGTATATATGTGTAATGAAACCATGAAAATGTTTCCATGGCGACTATAATCATTGTACAACTATGATGACTAATGTTTTGTTTTTATATAAATCTTTGTAGGGAAGTTTTGATGGAAAGTTACTAGATCTATTGCCTCCTGGCTCGAATAATGATAACCTTTTCTTTTGTGAACACTCCATTAGAAATTATTGTAACTTTGAATGGTTGGCGGACTGGGAAAGGTTCAAATGATTTGTAGCCCAAAAACACATTAAGTGAAAGTTGAGTAGTAAACCAAAGTTGCAAGCATTTCAATTGAGTTGTCTCTTTCAGTTGAGTTGTTCCATTATTCGAGCCAGAAGGTTATATGTTGTAACTAATTAAATACAAAACCTGGAAACTTAAAGTGTCCAGTAGCTTCATATACACTTATATCATCGCTTGATTGCAAAAAGTCATTAAGTGACATCTCATAATCTTAAATCACTGAGAGCATGGATGGATTTTCCAGTGGTAAAATAAGGAAATTGTGAGCTTGTAAATAAATTTCATATAAATAAAAGGGTTTGTCAATAATTAAGGAAGAAATTTACAAAAACATTCGTAAAAGTTTAACTCCATCAAAAATAAACTTTGTGACTTTTTGTAATAAAAATGATATATATTTCCGTTAATCTAACATACAATTTGATTTTTACAGACTATAACTTATTAGCAGATAACATATATTTTTATAATAATTTTTGTTTGGTTGTTGTCTTGTCTTCCTAAACTTAGGCCAAAATGTCACTACAAAATAAAATGATTTTTTGAAGAGAAAACTTCTTTAGGTGCATTTTGCACTTTTTTATGGAGGGTTAATTACATTGAGCTGCCAGATTTCCAATGTGTAATGCTCGAGTAAAGTCGGCTGGACTAGACTCATTAAAGTGTTTTTCATATGGGTTAAAATATCTCAAAGGCTAAAAATCGGACCTGCATATTGTAAGTGAGTGAAATGTGCATTATTTTATGCTCTTTATAATGAGCTGTTATTGAAAATTTTATCTTAAAGCGACACCATGTTAGAGAGGCGAAAAGGAAAAAATAGTGTTGAAAATCAAATGATAACGAGTTTTATGGAAGATATGGAATAAATCATCACAGAAACTAAAAATCAGACCTGCATACTATAAGCGATGGAAATGTTCATCATTTTATCTTCTTTGTAATGGGCTACTATTTTAAATTTATATTGCTTATTATTATTCTCGCCTTAATGATGCTTTACCGTATGGTCTAAAGAACACACCTAAGTTTTTTATTATTATTAAATGTGTTTTCTACTGCGACTTCAACCTTTGTCTAACTTCTCAACTATACCATGATAGAGAGAAACACTTTATTTTCATAAAATATAAAGGATTGCTGCCCAATTATATTGGGTTGCTATATACACAGCATACTCTTCTATCCCTAAGACAATATATGAACTTATATATAAATATACAGAAGTATTAGTTAATATTAGTACAATAGAAATATATATATACATTTTTATTATTTTATTTATTTTTATAATTTTTTTTTTTTTCCTTTTTCCTTCTTCTCATTGTTCATGCTTTTTTTATTTTTTTTTTTTATTTAACATTAAGTTTCCCTTTCTCTCACTTCTCTCTCTTTATCTCTATTGTTTTCAATTATTCACTAAATAAATAAATAAACAAATACATAAATTAAAACTCTCGGGCTAGCCATGCACGTGGTGGTGAATGATTCCCAGGGAGTCGAGGACTATATTTTCAGCCAACCTCGCTACGTCCTTAATGTCGACACCTAGTTCCTCGAGGAAGCTCCTTGTTCTTTTTGGGATAGTTCCGCGAGACCCAAACCAGAGGCCTCTCACGGTGAACTCTCTCTCTCCGAAGGTCTCACGGAATTTCTCTTTTAGGAAAGGGATACATTTATCGTACGTGTTCTTCTTTTCCCTTTCCACTTCACCCGCCTGATCGAGGTCATTGCTCTCAAAGCGGACAGTTGGATCCAAGATCAGCGCTGTCCTTCCTGTCTTGGGAAATGCGACGATATCAGCGTATCTCGTAGAGCCTTCACTATCGATGCAATATACCTCGTCAAAGCAGGTGAATTTTTTTTCCCTAAGGAGCCTCATCAACTCGAACTTGACCCGGTGGTGACGACGTGTTATGAGGAGGGAGTTGTTGGGGCATTTTCCCAGCACATGGGCTGGTGTTTCAGACTCTCTGCCGCATTTTCGGCAGAGGGACCCAACTTCTCTGACCTGTCCGCTGACTCCTGGGACTCCACGCAGGGGTGCATAATTGATGTTTAGTTTTAGGGCATTCGACCATTCAGACCCAGAAAGTACTTGCTTTTCGTAGATGTATCTATTCGCTTTCGGGGTCTCTTTAAAATGGCGAACACCAATACCCTGCCACCTGCAGTTGGCCCATTCCTCAAATGCATTTTCTCGTAGCGACTGCCGTAGAGCTTTCACATTTCGATGACCCTGATCAACCCCCAATCTCTCGGCACATTCAGCAATTTCAGCCGAATAATCGAAGGTAGACTGAAAAAGGGCATCTGGTACATTTGACAATCGCTGAGCAATGGACCAATGTTGAAGAGGAGCCTCCCATTGGCAGCGGATTAATCCCAATCCTCGGTATCTCCTGGGGGCATATAACATCGCTGAGGAAGTATTCGCAGGGAGTCCAATAATGGCCTTTACGCTCCTGCGAATCATAGTGTCGATGCCCTCCAGGATAGCAGGACGTAGCTTTGTTAGGGGCGCAGTTTGGAGAGGGTAAGTAAGACCCGGGAACAGATATTGATTGACAATGTTGAGTTTCTGCTCAGGTTTAAGTAAGCAAGAGGTTACCAGCTTGTTTAGATTATCATTCAATTTAGTCACCGAATCTTCGTTGAATTGCAGCTCTCCCGAGAATGTACATCCTAAATACTTAATCGTATCTCCATTCTTCAATGTTTGGATGTACTCACCATTCTCAAGGGAGAGCACCGTCGTTTCCAGCTCTCCTTTATTCATAACGATGCCCATACTTTTTTGAGGATTTATAGCCAGACCAATTTCTTTAAATGTTCTTTGTATGCTGTCAATCACTCTTTCTGCAGCCCCCTTGTCACGCGCCGACACTGCCTGGTCATCCGCGAAACCTGTGAGGACCACACAATCCTGCTCATTCCTTAATTTGTATCCAAATTTCTTGGAAAAGTCCTCGTCACACAGGTCGCGGTAGAGATGATCGATGGCCAGGTTGAAGAGTGAAGACGACAGGGGGCCGCCTTGGGGTACACCGCGCAGCACTTTGATCTGGCTAGTTGCATGGACACCGTTGCCAATCTTTATGGTGTTCGTGCTAAGGAGAGCTGATATGACATTTGTAAGATTCGGTGACACACCTCTCGCTTCTAAGGAGCTTACGATGTGTTTGTGCCCAACATTGTCAAAAGCACCGACAACGTCGAGGAAAACTATCGCACAGTCATTTTTCATTTTTTGTGCATCTTTTAATACCGCGTCGATGATCCTCGCGTTGACGTGCGTTCCCGGGAGGCCTTTTATAAAGCCTCTCTGACTCTTGTGGAAGGTGACCTGCTTTCTTAATTCGTAGTCCAGAACCTTCTCTATGATTCGGCGCACAATCGAGTATATGGTGATCGGTCTCCAGGTAGAGATATTGTTTATATCACCTTTGCCCTTATATATCAATATTGTGCGCCCTTGTCGAAGTGGTTCCGGAACATAGGCCACCTTCAGCATTATCTCTGCAATTGTTTTAATAATGCTTGATACGTCAAAATATTTTATTGTGCGGATCAGAACTCCATCAGGCCCCGGCGATGTGTCCATTGATGTTGATTTAATGGCTTTCCTGATAGCTTCTATCTCAATGGACAGCAAATCCGGCATCGGGGCACACTGTTCGTAATCCGCACGCCCGCAGAGATTTTCGCTCTCAAAGAGGTCTTTATAATGCCTCTCGATTTCGGCCATTTTTAGAGGACACCGTTTAGGAGCGTCGGCATTCATTACAGTTTGCACAACCTTTTTTCTTTTATTATAATAATTATATTGGGCAACCTCGTACTGATACTGCTCTTGCCGACGACTCCTGTCTACTTTGTTTGCCCTCTGCGGATTTGAGACTTGTCCAGCACCCTTGTCAGCCATTTTCGTTTTATTTTTTTTCCTCATCCTATAAAATTTTACGGCTGGGTGCTGGGGACCTGGCAGTTCCGCATTGATGACTTTGAGGAACTTTAGGAACTTGCCTACGGCCTCATCAAAATCCGCAGTATTTACCATATCTTGCTTTAAAAGGTTCTTGAACGTAGTAGACCATTCAACAATGTCCTCTTTTATTTTTGATGACTCACCCTCTCCATTTCTAGGACCTATCACGTTCTTTACTATGCCCCTCAATGTATTGTTATTCGCCTCCCTGGGATGTTTTTTTGCAATGTGGGTTCCGAGACCTCGTTCGCCCTTAAAAGAAAGCCCGCATATCAGACAAACTTTATCATCAGGGCGTAGAGCTTCATTTTGCCGCTCACTAAGTACCTCTGCGACATTCAGCGGATCATTTGGCAATCTGGGAAAGACATCATCTATCGACACCGTCTTTCCCAATACCACACCTTCTGTGTCAGGCCATTCTACTTTAATAAACTTATTTTCTCCGCCTCCTGCAGTAGCCACAGACATCACAGAGGCAACAACCGCCTCTTGAACAGGTCCTCCAGTTCTCAGAACCCATACCTTTTGTCCAACTTCGATCTTCTTCGTTGGTATTTTGTTCATTGCAATATTTTTTTTTTGTTCTAGACTATGCCCACCACGCGCATGATTGAAACAATCTGTGCATAATTAAATAAATAAATAAATACAAAGTTAAAAACTATAAAATTAAGTGTTAAATAGTGTTATAGTTAAAATATAAAATCAATAAAAGCTTAAAAAAATATACATCTATCAAATAAATTGCTCATAAATAAGTTACAATATAAAATCAGTAAAAAGTTTAAAGTTAAAATTTAAGTACAAGTTAAAAATAAGTGAAAGTTAAAATCTAAAAAAGTTAAAATCTAAGAAAGTTAATAAGTTAAAATCTAAAAAAAGAGTTAAAAAGTCAAAGTCTAAAAAGGTTAAAATCTAAAAAAGTTAAAATCTATAAAATAATTTCCTGAAATGAGTTAAAATGTAAAATCAATTAACTGTTAAAAAGTTAGAATCTAAAAGAATAAATAAATAAAACAATAAAAATAGTAATTGCCTAAATCAGTTAAAAATAAAAAGATAAAAATTTAAGTAGTTATAATCTAAAAAAAAAACAATATACATCCACCTATCCACATCACATTATCAAACCTAATATATAAAATAAATTACAAAATATAGGATCATTAAATACTTTTAAAAAAAAGAAAAAATTCAGTTCAGCAATAGTAAATTTAAAAAAAAAAAAAAAAAAAAAAATGTCCACTTTAAAAATTTGATTTAAACTGTTCTATAAATAATAAATTATGATAGTAAAAACTTATTTTTTTTCTTTTTATATTTTATGAGAGAAAGGGATCGAATATAAAAATTACGTAAGTGTCAAATTAGTTGGGCTCCGTCGATGATTGTATTGATGAGACGACACTGACCTTGCTGAGCGGTGGAGGGGGCCGACAGGTTCCAGGCTGCAGAGTGATAAGGCTCCGGTCCCACAAGTATTATCACTTTCGTTGCCTTCTGATTCTGGCTAATATCCTAGCTCAATTTTCATAAGATCTCATATGCAGGTCTTTAACATACAGCTCCGTCTAGGTGCGAAATTGCAGCTCAATTGGATGAAAAATACCCAATAATAGACGATGATGACGTGGAGCTGATCTTTCTTTCTCACCGGCTCGAGCCGAACTCGTAATAATAATAGTAACAGTTGTTTATATTTTAAAATATCAATAAATTTAGTTATCTTATTATTTTTCTTTTTTTATTAGGAAGCTGATGTTTATAATTTTTTCATATTTTAGGCAATAAAATTTCCAATTTTCTTCATATTTTTTATTTATGCTTGTCTCTTACGTTTCGGGACTATTTTCCTGTCATCAGAGTAATATTTTTATTTTTACATTCTTTTTTTTTGATATGGCACCATTTGTCAAAAATTAAATATTTGTCACATTTTCAAAAATTATTTGGTGTTACACATATTCCTTGATACACTAATCAACATCTGGCTATTTTTAGTTTTATTTTATTTAGTAGACAGAAATAAAACTAAAAATAGCCAGATGTTGATTAGTGTATAAATGAATATGTGTAACACCAAATAATTTTTAAAAATGTGACAAATATTTAATTTTTGACAAATGGTGCCACATCAAAAAAAAGAATGTAAAAATAAAAATACTACTCTGATGATGGGAAAATTGTCCCGAAACGTAAGAGACAACAAGCATAAATAAAAAAATATGAAGAAAATTGGAAGTTTTATTGCTTAAAACATGAAAAAAAATAAAATTTGTTGTTAATCACATATGCTGGGTAGTATAGAATCTAACAACATGACAATATGACAACATGACAAAGAGATTTATTATAATAATACCTTGAACGGCGATAGAATGTTGACAACGTCGTCTAAAACGGCCCAATCCATCGCCGTCAGCTCTAGACTGCTCGTCGGGCAGATGGTCGTACTGAGGCAGTCCAGAACCGAAGCGAGGACGTTCCTCCGGGCTTGCATCTGTTCCAGCATGGTGAGGGTGGACATCCAGCTCGCTTTGTTATCCATCACCATTGGCTGCTCTTCAAGCTAATCAATCATTTTTTTCAAAACGTACGTTACTTAGGAGTACTCAATATAATATAGTTATGGCATACATTGGTGTGGTGCTAAAACTGTACTGAAAATATTTTTACCTGCAGAAGATTATCCTGTAACCTCATCTCGGCCGAAGCTGTACTATTACGGGACACATGGGCAATGAAGGCCCGGCATTTTCTCAAAACTTCACTGACGTTATGTCGTTCGTAAACATACTTTGTACATACTGACTGAAATAAAATAAATATTCTATTATTATTAGTTACCATAGAAAAAAAAAAATTAAGTTGCTTTCTAAACTTTATCACTACATATTTCTATTGGGTTGTTCGGAAAATAATGCAGAATTTTGGTTCAAAAAGAAAGATTTAAAACTGTTTTATTTAATGAAAATAGTCTCCACTACTATCAATACATTTCTACCAACATGTTGGTAACTAGGGATTGATCAAGGTCATGTTCTGGCTGTTGAGAGTCTCTACAAGAAAACAAGAAATACATTAAGATTTGCCAACTGTACTTCACGGGAAATCGAAACAACAATTGGAATCCGGCAAGGTTGTAGTCTTAGTCCACTTTTGTTTATACTAGTGATGGACTCAGCAATACGAAGGGCTAAGGAAAAATGTGGAAATTTCATCTGGGATATACCAACCTGAGATCGATGAGCCTCTCAATACTTGCTTTCGCTGATGACGTTTTAATTTTTTCGGACAGTGACAGGAATCTTCAGTATAATATTAATAAATTAAAAGAAGGATTGCAGAAGATTAATATGATTATTAACCCTGTAAAAACGAAAGTAATGAGGGTTGGGAAGAAGCCTAGGAGAAATATGCGCGTCATCAGAGTCGAAGACAATATCCTCGAGCAGGTAGAATAACTTCAAATACTTGGGCACACACCTTAATGAAAATGGATACATCGATTCAGAGACTGAGCAAATCCCTGCTGCGAGCAGGATGTTTAAAGCAGTTAAGAAAGGTGTTCTAAACAGGTGTAAAGTGGAAAAGAAAACAAAAGTAGCTGTTTTCAGATCAACATTTTTTCCCATTTTAACGTACTCTTCAGAATCATGGACGCTGACAAAGAAACATCGATCAAGGATACAAGCGTCAGAAATGCGATTACTCCGAATGATTGAGGGGAAAACGAGAAGAGACAGAGTACGCAACACCACATCAGGTCGAATCTCAATATTAAGCCGGCCAATGATGTGATTTGAGGAGAATCAAAAGTAGCTGTTTTCAGATCAACATTTCTTCCCATTTTAACGTACTCTTCAGAATCATGGACGCTGACAAAGAAACATCGATCAAGGATACAAGCGTCAGAAATGCGATTACTCCGAATGATTGAGGGGAAAACGAGAAGAGACAGAGTACGCAACACCACATCAGGTCGAATCTCAATATTAAGCCGGCCAATGACGTGATTGAGGAGAATCGACTGAGATGGCTAGAACATCTTCTGCGGATGGAACCAAACAGAATAGCTAGCGAAACCTATCGATCTAAAGTAGATTTGCAAGAGAGGAAGAGGACGGCTTAGAAGGAAATGGGAAGATGAGGTGAAGAGCGATTTCCAGAGAAGAGGTCTTCAATGGAACGAAGGAAGGCGTCTTGTTGAAGAACGGCAGAGCTGGAGAAGGCTCTATAAACTTCCTCCTCACACTGCTTAATGAGGTTCAAGAGGATGGATTATGATGATGATGATGTTGGCAACTTTTCCATTCCCTCGAAATAGAATTTCTCATCTTTAGAATTGTCAAACTCCAAAGATACATTTTCTAATTTCCTTTGGCCATTAGATTTTTTTGTAACATAAGTAATGATCAAGTTGTCTAAAAAATCTGGTGCGCGTAACACACAACTTTCACTTACCACTCTACTTTCATTAGAAATGATTTTCTCATAATGTAGGGCTATTATAAAATATTTGAATTACATTTTTAATGGAGCTACAATTTAAAGCTTACAGCTAACAAATCATTAACACCATTAAAATTTAAAAAAAAAACCAATTAATTATATCAACGTCATTATTCCATCTTTTTTATAAACAGCACAATTTCAGTCTCTGAGCTATTTATATAAACATAGAGATATTTCAAAGTATATCTGTATATTCAACTTATAAATGATTATGGACTGTATGACTATTAGTTATTAAACTGTTATTTTCCATTGTAAAGTTTACTAAAATGAAATTACGAGATTTTCGTTGCCTGCCATAGATAGGTCAAAAATTGTCACACTAATTTTAAGTGGATGATGTTGTGATATCATAAAAAGAAAACTCATCAAATTATTTACTAATTTAATATTCTAAAAGATTACATGGTGATTTTAGGAATAAACGTACATTGATACCTAATTATTTAAATATAATATCAAATCTAGAATTACTAAACTACAGTAAATGTAGTTAAGGTTATAAACATATGCTTTATACTTCCATGAAATATTCTGATATTTCACTTCTTCGTTCACACAAGTGCAATAAAATAGTATTTTAAAGAATATAATGTTCTCCATAGTCTTGATTCTGTGGATTTAAAATAATTTTTTTCAAACTTAGAAAATTTTTTGGAAGTTTACATTTAGTAAGAAAATATCATTTAATTTCCTTGGAAACATGTAATTTACGTTAAATAATGTTAGTTTTCAGATATTATTATTTATATTGAGTTTTATTCATTACTCTCCGTTACCTTCTATAACTTAATTAATTATATATTAATTTTTCTGAAATTCTCTGCTTTCCAACGATATTATACGTATACCTTCTGACGATTAGTTCCGGAGATTCATTTTCAAGCTGGATAAGCATTTTTCTTTTTTCTACTTTATTCAATTAACATATTCTATAAGCTTCATATTTAGCCATTTTTTATAGTTACTGTCAATAAAACAAATTAATTTTTTTAAATAAACTGTATTAAAGGTATAATGATGTAGAGATTGTTGAGTCATATAATATGAGAAGGAGTTGGTCGGGGGGTGCGGTCAAATAAACACTAAATTTTAAAAAAATAGTATTTTTAATTATTATGCCCCAAATAATTAAAAATAATTAATTATTATTATTACCACGGCATAATAATTAAAAATACTATTTTTTAAAATTTCCTCGCGAGGGCTCAATACCGCGTATGGGGAGCGTCCCACGGGTGGCGGATGTGGGGATGGTCGGTGGAAGTTCCTCCCGGCTAAGTCCGATGGACTCGCTGACCAACAATGAGAGGGGCCCCCCAGACTTGCTGGGGGGAGGGGACCTCCAGACTTCCTGGAGGTAGGGGCCCACCAGACTTGCTGGAGGGTGTGACATAGGATTGAACGCCCTACCCACATATCTTTAGTTCACCAAACACCACAAATAGTCATGGATCTCCCTAAGGTAAAACGCTCATTATCCAGAGGTAAACTAGTCCCCCGTTCGGGTCTCCGGGTGGGGACTGCTTTAGGGGATTCATGGCGCAAGTTGAAATATAGGGATTTAAATATTGGTACGTGGAACGTAAGGAGTTTAAACACAGCAGGGGGGCTAAAATCGGTCGCGGTTGAGGTAAATGGGTACAATTTGGATGTCGTGGCTCTGCATGCAAGAGGTTCGCTGGCCTGGGGAGGGCTCGATGAGGGAAGTAAAGTACAATATTTGGTAGGGAGGAAGCGGGAATCATTGTTTAGGTACTGGGTTTTTAATTAGGAGTAGATTACTATCCGCTTTGAGGGGCGTAAAATTCTTTAGTGATAGAATTTCGGTAGCCATATTTCAGGGACGTTGGTTTAAAGTCGCATTAATAAACATACATTGTCCGACCGAAGACAGTGACGATGAAGTCAAAAGTGAATTTTACGATAAACTCGAATGGGTTTATGATAAACTACCGCGAAACTACATGAAAATAATTGTAGGTGACGCGAACGCAAAAGTAGGAAGGGAAGAAGTTTATATTCCGACGATTGGTAAAGAAAGTTTGCACGAATATAGTAATGGATAATGGGATCCGTCTGATAAACTTTGCCATCTCGAAAAACCTGATAATTAAAAGTAAGACGTTTAAACATAAGGATATTCATAAATATACTTGGACATAACCGGATTCGCAAACACGAAATCAAATCGATCATGTCTTGATACAACATAGCTGGCAAAGCAGTATAATTAATGTACGGTCTTATCGCGGAGCAGAATGTGGGTCGGATCATGAATTAGTAATCGCGAAACTTCGACAAAAACTTAATGTAAAAAAGAGAAAAGAAAACCGTTTCGATTTTGAGAATTTTAATTTGGAAAAATTAAAAAATCCATCAATTAGAACCCAATTCGAGCTAGATGTTAAGAATAATTTGAAGCTTTAGAGCTTCCTGACGAGGACCACCAGGATATTGACAAGTTATGGGTAGAGATCAGGGATAATATTAAAGCGGTCGGTAACTCGTGTCTAGGAAAAAAGGAAAATAAAAATAACAAACCGTGGTTTGATGAAGATTGCTTAAACATGTGCGAAAAAAGAAAAGCCGCTAAATTAAAATCTCTAAATAATCCTAGCGAAGACAATCTGGAATACTTCCGAACCTCAAAGAACGAAACGACAAAAGTGCTCAAATATAAAGAGGGAGTACCTTAAAAATAAAATAATTGAAATAGAAACTAATAGAATCGAAAATAACATAAGAGCCATGTACAAAGGTATAAACAGATCACGTAAATATGTAGAGCCCGTAACGTCTGGAATTAGGGGTGATAATAACAATATTCTGACCGATCCGGTTGACATATTGAATAATTTTAAGGACCACTTTGACAATATTTTAAATACGGAAAATTATGATCTGTGTCCTCCTTCTGAGTACCAGAGTGCTGAACCCTTAATAGAAGGACCAAGTAAAGAGGAAGTTGAAGTAGCTATCGGAAAATTAAAATCTTATTAAGCAGCGGGAACCGATAATATTCCTACTGAACTAATTAAGGCATGCGGGGAAGCTGGAGTTTCTAAAATACATCGGTTGGTTAAAAAGATCTGGGTGAATGAGAAATTACCTGAGGAATGGAAAGAATCTATTCTTATTCCGATTCACAAAAAGGGTCCGAGGACGGATTGTAATAACTATCGAGGAATTTCACTCCTTCCGGTATGTTATAAAATATTCACTTCAATCCTAACGAGTCAATCACAGAATACGCCGAGGAAATTATCGGAGACTACCAATGCGGATTTAGACGGAATCATTCAACTATTGATCAAATATTTTCTTTACGGCAAATATTAGAGAAAAAATTAAAAAAAGAGTACAACGGTATTGTTCACCAGCTGTATATAGACTTTAAAAAGGCTTACGATTCTATTGACCGCCAGAAACTGTATAATATTCTAATCGAGCAGGGGATTCCAAAAAAACTAGTAAATCTAGTCAAGTTGTGCTTGATGGAGACACTCAATAAAGTTAGAATCGGTAATAATCTGTCGGAAAAATTTGAGGTTCGCTCGGGTTTAAAACAGGGGGAGGGTACCAGGGGGGCCTGTACTGTTCAATTTGGCATTAGAACATGCCATTAGGGAGGTAATGCGTACCGAGAAAGGGTTGGATCTGGGTGGGACAACATCCGTGCTGGGCTATGCTGATGATCTGGTACTGTTAAGTGAAGACGTTGAAACTATAAAACTAAATACGACAACATTAATGAAAGCCGGTAAAAAACTGGGACTAGAAATAAACATGGATAAAACAAAATATATGGTTAGCTACAAAAATGGTGATACCACTGGTGATATCGATATAGATGGTAATATGTTTGAACAGGTAGATAAATTTAGGTATCTAGGTTCTACGATGACTAGAAAAAACAAAATTGAAGAAGAGATTGATGACTAGAAAAAAACGAAATTGAAGAAGAGATTAAGGTCAGACTGAAGGCGGGATATGCTTGTTATTTTTCTCTGACAAAACTACTTAGTTCGCGCCTCTTGTCCCGGAACTTAAAAATTAGAATCTATAAAACAATTATCTTGCCTACAGTTCTTTATGGGTGCGAAACTTGGCCGCTTACATTAAGGGATGAGCAGCGTCTTAAGGTTTTTGAAAATAAAGTATTGCGTAGAATATTAAGGATAAGTATAAGTTAACCGGAGAGTTCAGACGGTTACACAACGCCGAATTGCGTGAACTTTATCCGGGTAATATAATTGAGGTAATTTCGTCGTGGCGAATCAAATGGACTTGTAAAGTTGTTGGGCTTAGTAACGAGAGAATTCCTAAAAGATTAATATTTGCTGTGCCGAATGGTGAGTGTCCGAGGGGTAGACCGAAGCGAAGGTGGGAAGATTGCATTAAAGCCGATCTGAAGGGACTGGGTTTGGACGGCGAACGGTGGAGGGAGGTGTGTAATAAGCGATTGGTGGTGTCGGCATCGAACCTTCGGGTTCGCTAAGCCTTTTATTATTATTATTTAAAATTCAGTGTTTATTTGACTGCACCCCCCCCCCCCCGACCAACTCCCTATATTAAAGGTACTTTAGAGGAAGGCATATATGAACATTAAGCATTTAAGCCCTTTAAAGTGACATCAATGTGGATAAGACCTAGCTGATATTAAAAATAACTTAATAATACACTGATATACCGAGTTTGATCAAAGTCGTTGGAGCCATTTTAGAGAAAATCGTAAAAATGTGTAACATCAATTATATAAAGTGCCACTTCCGGTTAGCTGATTTTGACGAAAAAGTTGCAGTAACATCTGAGGTTTAAACAAACCTTAAATATACAATTTCACTTTCATACGACTTTTCATTTTTTAGCTAGGCTAGCCACATACATACACACAGACCATTTTGCGGGACTTGGTTATTTGGATTTAGGAGATCTCGAAACATGTATTTCCGCTGAGAACTCAGTTTTGAAAATTTTCATGATTGAAATACTGGTCCTTACTATATATTTTATATATAGGTAAGTGAAAGTAAAAAATGATAATCTGTAGGCGAGAGGTCCGGAGAGTAGGGCGGATGTGGCAGAGTTTCATAGCCAATCTCCAACAGTTTTTGTGATGGCATACATGAGACATGTGGTTACGCTAATTCTTTTGAGTCGTTTAATGTGTGTTGAACCCAACTTTCAAGTTTATTTACCTTTCCAATCTCCTTGAAGTGGTCATTGATGGTCCATTTGCTAAGGTTAAGTTTCCCTCTCGAACAGTTGTTCTGGGGTATTCTTCCACCAAAGTGTTGACATTCATACAAATGAATAATACAGTAAACGTAAACAGCTTGTTATATAAAGGGCTATTTTAAAGAAAACTCAAAATCTTGTATTATTTTCTGGACAACCAAATACTAAGATAGATATTTTCTCGCTGGGTTTCGTAGCTAATTGAACTGATTTGATAAAAATATAAAACCAATACAATATATAGAACTTCTATTAAATTCTAAAGTTAATTTATTAACTTCTTTTACTTTTTATTCCTCCCGTTAATTTTTAAAATGTATTGTACAACTTTTCAGATGCTTATGATTTTGCAATAACAAATTTTATTTTAGTTTTGTCATATTCCCGAATGCAATCCCACTTCAGTTATACATTATCCTGTTTATATTTTCTTATATAAAATTGTTGTTGGTAATTTCAATTACGGTGTTCATAAAGTAATTGTAATTAAAATTATTTGTAATAGTATTTTTGATTCTGCAATTTCAAATTACATCAGCTGGTAAGTAATTGCAACTCCAATATTACCAGAGGAAAAGTATGTGTATGTTCTTCTCATATATTACAGTATTGAAAAATCTAGTTTTCTTAGTTATGATGAAAAAGGCTTAGAAAATGGGTCAAAATTTCACCAATGAAATAACAGTAAAAATTATAAATATGTGCAATAATTAGGTAATTTTAGACTGTTTTATATGTTCATAGTAGATCAAGATTTTTTTTTACCAATGACAGTCTCTAAAATTCATTTTTAAACTACTTTATTCTCAGAGAAGCTTTCGGTGACTTGCACCATATTCATCTCTATAATATAACACATTATTATCAATAAAATTAACAATTCATAACATTACATACGTTTTTACTTCACTTACGTATATATGTAATATATAGTAAGGGAAAGTACTGCGATCATGAAAATTTTCTAATCTGATTTTTCAACGGAAATACACATTTTGAGGTCTCCTGAGTCCAAATAACCAAGTCCCGCAAAATGGTCTTTTGTTATGTGTCGATTTTAATATATTGTATGTTAAGAATATGTTATATGTTAAGATATTATATTGCCGCCATAAACATTTTTAATATAATGATATTTCAAAATAAATTATTATACAAAGAGGCAGAATTACCTGGAGTAAATGGCTGAAACAGGGAATAATGGTATACCCTCGGCTGAGAAGTGAGTTATAGACGTCATCACGATTGGAAGCTACAATTATCGCTTTCACCTTCTCCGCTTGTATTTTATATTCTTCCATGAGAAGATCAAATTGGTTACCCCATTGTTCGCTATCAATCTCTGAGCAGTATAATGTAGATAGCACCCTCGTCTGCAATTCATTTTCCCTACACTGTAAACAAAATGATGAATTGGACTAACAATTTTACGACATTAACTCTCAGAACCTAAATACACTGTGACAATATAATTTTCTTTTTGTTGCAAATGACAAAAATTGTTAGCAAACATGTTTATAAACACTTAGGTGTCAAATTTATATAAAGTTGTATTGTTAACATTGAAAGAGTTGTATAAGATAACCATACGTGTATGAAATGTAATGCAATCGTTGAATAGTAGTCCCCACTAGATGAAATCCAGTCTTCGACGCTTAATGATATCGAACAATTGAGTGATGCAATTTCCATGTACAATTGTTCTTTAACAACATCATATATATTTGGTATAAGTTCATCAGTCAGATATGATTTCTTTGGAATTTCACATGGAGATTTTAATGTGCCTACAAGCCTCTGAAAACCTGTGTAAATTAATTAATGGAGTTAAATAATATAATATTAAATAAGCGATTAAATTGCAAAATAAAAAAAAGTATTTGAAGTAGACATTGTCACCTTTCCCTTCAACTATTTCAGGATTTTGCATGTCCATAACGATGAATTCTGCAATCGCTTCCGCTATAGCTTTACCATCAACCAGCGCATAAGACTATAACAAAGATTGTGAGAATGTAAGCAATTCAATCGATAACAAATAATTCCATTTAATAAACTATCATGTTATGAACTATCAGTTTCATTCTGATCAACCATAAAAACCTTAAACACCAAGAGGAATGAGAAGGGGCAATGCACCCAACCATATTTAGTTACAAGTAAAACAGAATCTATAAATTAAAAAAAAACACTTATACACACCTGCAGAGATGATAATGAAACTTAGTCAAAATCATATCTCACAATTTTTTTAAAATTTACAATGATGTCCAATGCCCACTTCATAAGATCATACTGTATGACCCAGATTTTTCAAAATAATTCTTTTTACAAGAAATTAATACAATTATAAATATATGTATCAGTTTTATCGCCCTAAAATCCCTACCCTATCCTATATAGTAGTATGATATATATACTTGGGATTCAAACCAGGAATAATCACAGGAGTGATAAGAGTCATCACAAATCAGTTCCAAAAGATTGGGGAATCACTTTTCTATATTAAAGACACAAGTTGAGAACGTGAAGCCAAAATTAATAAAGGTATTGTATAATTTTGAAAAGTTGAAAGGAGAATATTAACTAAACTTTTTTTTTTTTTTTTTTCTTATATGGAAAAAGAGATGAAAATAGAGCTAAACTGTTTACCAGCTGTTTAAAAGACTTAAAAACGAAGTGTCAAGTGCAATATTGGCATTAATAATAAAAACGGTTTTAATTAAATAAATAAATTTTACTTCTTCTTTCCTTGATATTGTTGTGATCCTGGCATAACATACATTTTACTTGTGAGTTCAGCAAAATGTTCATAAATATTTGTCTATTTCCCAACAATAATTGATTGATAAATTGTTCAATTATTTCTTACATTATTTCAACATTTTTTATTCTTCACTGTTTATGTTTTGTTGGGAAACATTATGTTACATGTTCTAGGGTCAAGTCTTACAAAATTTGTTACTTTTTTTTCACCTGGAAGGGAAACTAAGAATGTAGTTTACAAAATAACTATTGCATAGATTAACGTCTACTAACTCAAGTAGTTTTCAATCTCTTAATCCATTTTAAGCCAAACTCATCTATATTTATTTTTTAATTTAACATATCAACATTTGGCATTAGTATTTGTTTTGTTTTAACAATATAATAACTTTTTTTTTTTAAATATATATCATAGTATCGAGAAAGACTGCAAGCAGCAGTAAACTTTCAGTAAAGTGTTGTTGTTTTTATTCAAAGATAATAACACTTTCCAAATCAATTCTCAACAGAGAACTGAAATCATGTTCTCACGAATCAAGTTTAATTGAGGACCTTCCTGCATGCAAGAATCAGGCAAGTTAAAATTTTCAAATATTTGTTTTAATGAAGGAAGGAGATGATCCGGGGTGGCGGTCATAAATAGGCTAAATAGTGGCAAAACTATTTTATTAAAAGCCAACATTTCGACTCGACTTTGCAGGTCTTCTTCAGGGCTAGAATGGACAAGATACAAAAAAAAAAAATTCTCTATATTTTTTTTGTATCTTGTCCGTTCTAGAACTGGAAATTCGGGTCGAAAGGTGCGCTTTTAATAAAATACTTTTGCCACTATTTAGCCTATTTATGACCGCCACACCGGATCATCTCCTTATTTATAATGCAACGGCCAACTATTAAATATTCAATTTGTTTTAATGACTAATCAAGTTTGTAAGTCATGATAAAGAGGTTAGTAAAGTAGGTTGACAAAGTAGACAAAAGTTATTGCTAGGACCAAAATTACGGAGAGAATAAAAATATCGGAATGTGGCTCAAGAGTGGAAATGGTAGGACACTGCAGCTGGCGGAGAAGCTAGAAGAATATCAACGGAATTCTTTTTAACAAATATTTATAGGAAGGTTTTGAAATATAATTTTCAAGCGGCTGCGTTAACATTAAGGTCCTTACTCCAAGGGAGTCAGAGTGAGGAAGATTTGGTCTGAGCACCTTACTTCAGTAATGTGTCTTATGCGATATATCCTCATGAGGCGATTTTGTAATAAGTATTAACAATTGGGTACTAGCATGAGAAACAAAATTATGTAAATTTGAGCCACAATAGAATTCAATTAATAAAGAAGTTAAAATAACATAAGAGATTGTACTTTTTAAATAATAAAAAAAAAACGTTCATACTAAGCTAAAAACTTGAAATAATAGTGCACCTGCGGGAGGTGCGGTGAGGACTGGCCAAACACAATATCTCAAACCTATCTCGGCTCTACTTTATGAACATGCATTTAAAGAAGCTAATGAAACACATTTTTTTTTTCATTATTCCAAGACGATACCTTATCTTAAGGATCTCAAGGACCATGCCTCATCTCCAGGACCTCAAATTGTCTTTCAACTACTTATATTTATTTATCTGTTGCTCTCCATCATTCACTCTATACCATTATATCAAAACTGACATATTCAAAAATGTTCCTCATTGAGCAATGGCATAGGAATTACCTAGAAAATTGAGTGGAGACAGGAACCGCTTAGAGTTTAAGTTTCCCTCTCTCTCTAAGACTTTTCCATCTCGTAAACGGAGAGGCAAGTTTAAAAGCCGACAACCGTCAAATTTCAAATAAAGATTACTCACACGTTTTATATAATTTCTGATAAAAGCTATTGACTCCGCTAAACCACCAACATAAAGCATCAGACATGCCAGTTGGTTTTGCTCTAACGTAAGGTACTTTTCGTTTTCACGTAACACTTAATTGTTATTGCTATAGTGCTTTATTATTAACTGTTCATAAGTTTAATTACAGAATTATTAAGGAGGAAAATATAGGAAGTATCCATGTTAAATACTTCAGAAATTCTTAATAATAAAACTACAATAAAATTCGTAATGTAATTTCAATTTTTATCACATAACTATCTAATTAATTTATTTTCCAATCTACCATTGTAAACCTGTAACAATATGCCTATTGATATATATTCAACTACTGATGAATGAAACAGAATATTTTAATCACCTGATTAGACGTGGCTTCTTTCACAATTACGCTCAATGGATTCATATCATCAATTTCAGCAACGTATTGCGCAATATCATTTGAAGTCTGTAAAAATCAAAACAGTATAAGAATAACCAACTTTCCAAAAAATAAACCAACATTCAATTGAACAAGTTGAAAATTTGTCCAAACTGTGTTTTATTTTATGTTGATAAAAAATTGTACAATCTGAACTACAGAATACATGTAAATTACAGTTATAGAATTTGAGCAATGTTTAGTAAAATTTATTTAACAGTTGTAAATTTGTAAAATGGAGGTTGGGGTCATTAGGCAAATAGGGTGTACCTCTCTAGTATAAGTATAGTATAATTTGTGTATCCCAATATGTACCAGCGACGAAATCTTCAGTTACTTTCAGTATGACTGCTTCTCTTCGGGAGCCACATGACCACCAGACTTCTCTAGGATTTTAGAGCAGACCACTAACTGAATGATCCTCTTAGAGGATAATGCTGTACCAAATGTGAATTAACTGTCCAATGTTGTCTTCATAGGAAAATTTTGGATTGTCTGGTGAGAAACGATTTGATGAAGGACTGACCCTATGTGAGCAGTTCACTTCCAGCGGCATACTGGCTGTACTGTTCATGTAGCTACCCACAAGAGCCAAATTGTACCAGAAGTAGATGAAGATTTTGGCACTGGGACTTATCGGGATACACAAAATATATTGATATATAATAATATAGCTGTAAATGAAATAAAATGGTTTACTATAGGATGATAAAGGAACCAAAAAAAAAAAATAATAATAAAATAAATAATGTATGTTGGCAACAACACTTCACAAATAATATTATATATTTCCCAAATAGTATCGGAATTATTTGAATTCAGTACAAGAACTAAGCAAGATTAATTACCACACAACTTATATATATTTTTTTTAAATATAAGATTCATTAGCTTAAAGATTTAACTTAGTTATCAAATTATCCAAAATAGCAAATGAGATACCTGACAATTACTATGATCTGCACCTCTAACTACATTATACGGGACTCATTAAAAGACATCATTCTTTTTTTAAATGAAATATACAAAATAAATTTGAAAGAAGATAATTAATCTTTTAACTTCTTGAAATATAATATAATATGCATAAATAAAAATTAAAGATATCAATGGCTGTAGTTAAGGTTATCTCATTTTGTTTGTCTTTAGATCAGAAAACAAAGTAGTAAGTCTAAATGAACAAATACACATTTGGTTCAAATCATATGATCACAAAATTAAAACATACTACTTATGTTTAGGTTAGTACCAATTAAAGAACCTCTTAAGGAAAAAAATAAATGAAATTGGGTACTAGTTTACAAGTAATCCATATGGATTGGTCATGGGACAAGATAACTTTGATCACACTTGAACATGAACTGCCAAAAATATCCAAGTTTGTCCAGAAAATTGTATTAGCTAAGATTTGAGACTACCGACCTCCAAAATTAAGATTATATATCTCAATGATGTAACAACACAAATTAATAGATCAAACATTTAAAATTTTCGAAAATCTATGAATTCTGTGTTTTAATTAATTTTTTTAAACACTACTATTTCTTATCAATTCTGGAAAGTTGAAAACTCAATGTTAAAGAAATATAAGAACTAAGATAAAAGATGTTATTCTTTATTACTGCTTAAAATGAAACAATCTAAAATAATCTAACCTAACATAAATATTTAGAAATTAAAGAATGAAATGTAATCCAACATAAACATTGATGTTAAAAGAGGTATTGTAGGACAAACTCAGAGTTATTTCCAGCATTCTATGTACAGGTAAGATCGAAGTGATCTTATTCCGCATGTCATCCAAATAGGTCACTTGTGAACTAGTACTTAAAATTTATTAAGAAGCACTGAATTTTAGGACAATTATTAAAACAAAGCTATAAGAACAGAAGTTCGTTGGAGATTGAGATCAATAAAGACAAAACACACTTATAACTGAAACTATGTTTCAAGCCTAAATTAAAAGTCTTTGGTAAACTGTCAAAGTCAAACGGAAAAGTTAAAGGAGATACTGGTCATATTGACACACTATAAATAATGTTTCCAATAATTGGTAAGTTTTGACTTTATTGGCACTATCCTCAGAGCAAATTCTTAAATTACATTAATGGTAAACTACATCCGCACCATAAAAATTGAGCAGTTGGAGAAAAAATTGCGAGTGACAAGACAAATAATACACTTTTAGAATTCTGCTAAAAACTGAATAGCTTTAATTCCATCTAGGAAGAGTATTGTAACATTTTTAAAATAAGTAAAAACAGTTTTTTTTTCCCCTTTTACATAAAATTGAAAATTGATTTGAAATTTAAAAATATTAAAAACTAAAATTCATAAAAAAAAACCGAAGTTATAAACAAATAATGTAACAAATTCATAAATACCTGATCATCATGAGAAGAAACTGGATAAACTTGCACCACAGACTGATCTGCTTTTGTTTTTCTAGGTCTTTTTATAGATCTTTTGTCAATTTTTCCAGTTTTGCTACTAGGAAGTGGTTGTACAACTTCCAATGCTGCAAGCTCATTTTTATGTTTGTTCTGCAAATGCATCCTTAAATTTGTTGTATTCCTGTTATATGTCATTTGAGATTTACAAAGGAGGCAGACAATTTTTGATCTAGTAAGAATTTCATTATCATCTGATGCTGGAAAGCCATAGCACTTCCAATAAATTGAACGCATATTTGCAGGAACAACTAATCTTTTATAATGAAGTACTGATTGGGAATGTCCATCATTATTAAATTGTCCTCTTTCAACTTTTAGGGTGTTAGCAACTGAAAAACATAAATGATACGTAAACTTGGTTCAATATCAGTATAACTAGCAATCGCAAACATTTATCAAATATCGAAAGATAAGCTGATATAGAGAAAACTCACCTTTATGTACATAGACCTGTTTCACTGACTTGCTCTTAGTATCCATTATAAGTAGTAATTATAAAAACAAACAATAAGTAACTCGACACCAAAGAAAAAATCAATCAGTTTAAAGTAATCTATTAAAATACATAATTCGCCGCAAATCAAATTTTTCTGATTTTACCGGCCATTTAATAACAACACTGAAATGAAAATCGATCAGAGCTATCGCGTGATCGGGTTCAAACGAGAACGATAACGCCAGGAGCCATATGCATTGTACATTGGCCATCGACATAAAAACCTTTCCTCACATGCTAATTTACATCTTCTTTCGTCAATTTGACGTAAATTACTTACCTTATGAAAAATTATATATTTTTCTTTTATTATATCTTAAAAATTTACAGAATAGCTAAAATAATTGATTTCTCATATAAATTCAATACCTTCAAAATCGAATTAGTGCATTGAATCATTTACATCGTACAGAGTAATTTTTGTATTTTTTTTTTTACTTCAACATTATTTAAAATTATAAAAAATGAACCGAAATTATTAATTGATCCTAAATAGCGCCATTAACAGCAACCGCAGTTCTTGAAATTAACAACGCAGCCCTTGTCACAATTATGAAAAGTTACTGATGTTGAAAAGCGGTTTTATTTAATAAAATATACACATATAACTTAAATGAGACAGTTATTTAAAACAAATGTCCATAACAGTAATTTTAGTTAAATAATGCCAACGTAAATATTTTAAATTTTTTAATACTCCAATCTACAAGAGATGAATAGTATAACTTTGAATCTTAGTTTATTCTTGTTTAAAGAGTTCCTTCAATAAATATCTTAGGCCTACTTCAAATTGTTCATTTAAAGGTGGGTTTAGACGTTTCACAAACAATGGGTAATACAATTATCTAATTTAACTATCAGCGACATTATTGCTAAACTAAACTATTTATTATATTTCTCTTGATACTGACAGGAGAAGAAAAATATCAAAAACAAGAAACAAAAACACTAGTATAGTGAAATAATAATTCATATATTTGTCTGTCCCTAAGTTTGTGAAATGTCTAAATGCACCTTAATATAAAAAAAAACAAAAAAAAAAACTTCTTTTCTTTTGACATTACAGATCTTGTAGATCTTTTGTCGCCTTAATAAGCCTATCTATCCTTGCCTATCTTAAGCTATTTCTTTCCAGTTCTCTGCATGCAGCTCTATTGTATATTTGTTGATTCGATCTACCTATCTGCCTTTCGGCCTCCACTTGATCTTTTTCCTAAAGTTTAGGCATTCATTGTCGTGTAGAGGCTTCCAGATGGATTGCTCCGCGCTACATCTTAACTTCCATATCTTCATATCATGAGATATTGATTGACCAGTCTCTGTAAGCAGCTCTTTAATTATCATTCTCCGCCATGCAGTACTCGCTCAGGTTATCGTGCGGAGGATTTTTTTTCTCAAATCTTTCAATAATTTTTCCTCGGGCACTGGTTAGTGTCCAGGTCCCACAGCCATATACAACAACTGGCTTTATCGTATCATTGTACGCCATTAATTTGAAATTTATTGAGATTTTCCTGGATTTCAATTCCTTTGAAAGAGAGGAGAAAGCTCTGTTTGCGCTTGTTATAAACTGGTCTATTTCTGACCGATGGTCATTCATAAGATTATTGTTGAGACAATGTATTGGCATTTTTCTTTTCTTGGAAACGATTTCCCTTTTATTCAGATCCTGTTATTGTGGTGGAATTTTCGGCTTATTATAATATATTTTATTTTGTCTTCATTTACTTGTAGGCCGATTTACTTTGCTTCTCTCATCATACACAAAAAGACATACTGCAAAAAAAAAAATATGTACTTAACTAATTAATTTTCATGCATTATTATTTCTGAAATGGTCAAACTAGGATGGACTTGAAAACGAGCTAATAATCAGTCATTTTAAATTAACTTACCAATGAGTGCAAATAAATATACCTGCTTAAAAAAAATAAAGGGGTACATGTTTTAAGTTTTGCGAATCTTCTTTGAGCATTTTTTCTCTAATTTTGATTTTAAACATTCCATAACAATACCGTAATTAATCATTTGTTGCTAAAGCGTTTTAAAAATTTCATATAAAATTTAACTTATTGTGATAAATATAAATCAAATATAATACATCCCTATAATCATGCGTCATAATTATCAATTGCATCCAAAACATTTATATAAATTTAAATGCTTTAAGGTGTGTTTAGAAATTTCACAAACTATGGGGCTAACAAATATACAAATGGTTATTTCGCTATGCTCTAGTATTTTCGTTTCTTGTTTTTGATATTTTCCATCTGCTTTCGGTAACAAGAGAAATAAAATAAATATTTTATTTTACCGATAATGTGGTTTGATAATTGTGTTTTCTATAGTTTGTAAAATGTCTAAACGCACCTTCAGAGATGAGTATATAGTTTACTGTTATTATTTTAAGGATGAAAAATTAAACTAAGCATAAAAACTTAAAATTTAAATTAAAAAGCTCAAATAAGCGTTGATGACATGAGTATTCCACGCCTCTAACGACATTAACTTTAGATTTTCCAACTGTTTGGTTTTACTCAAATAATTCATTTAATAAAAAAAGCTACATGGTAAAGACACAAATAGGAGAAGGATGGCCGAGCGAGCTAACGCGTGTGCAAAATATGCACTGCTCCGCAGCCTTATAAACCGAATATTACGATTTCGAATCCCTGTGCTGGGAAGAGCCGCTTTTAACTCTGGTAGTAATCCCCTGGCACGGTAAAATACGTATATCCGGTGAGGAAAGGGGGGAAAAACAAGGTATAGACACTTTGTATCTGTTATCACTCAACTAGTTTTAAACATAAGCAGCTATTAGCTTTTAGTTGGGATGGCACACGGTAAAAGAGGATTTCTCGGACTACACATGTTTAAGAATTCTTGAACCAGAGAATCACACCTGAAAGACAAACTGAAGCCCTTGACGTAATCTTGTAATCAGCTGATCAAAAGTGAATCTCTATATTATTACCTCTTTGCTTAAAATAACAGCTGAATTGTGTATCTATTTGGTAATTTTTCACTGATAGTGTTCAATTTGAGATGTAAGATTTATTTTATACCCTATTTCTGTTATTCTAACATCCCTTTTTTTATATATATATTTAAAAATTATTAAGAAAAGTTTCACACCATATATGTGTTTCAGTGATTATGGGAGGAGATGATCATCCTGGTCAAAATAACTTTGTTAAATTTGCTGGATTTATTGGAAGTTTATTAGAGGATCCAGTGGTATGGTTCCGCAGTAAGCAATATTCTCCATAGTAAATTTCTTAATTAATTTGTGTTACCTTACCAATAATTTTTTTTCTAAATTGTACTTCAGAAAAAATAGTCGAACCAAATCAAAAAGATTCTACTTGGTATCATCATAAGTTGAAGAGAGTTCCTACTATTGATGAATGCTATACAGATGACCCTATATGTAAATTTGAGGCTAATCAACAGTTCAGTAGAGATAGGTAATTGTATAATTTTCCTTCTTTACTTTGCCATTATTGAATGTTGATCAAATCATTTTGATTTTGACAGGTATAGCATGATTTAGACAGCAGAAATTTATGGATCAATTAATAACTTTAAGGAACTAATTTTTGCTAAGATCTAGTTCTATAAATATTCTAAATGAATTTTATTTCAGTTATTATTTTGTGGCATACTCGGAATAAAATGAGGAATATTTTCGGTTCTAGTTTACAAGTGTTCCGCACACTTAAAGAGTGATTTATAATCACTTCGATCACATTTGTTCATGGAATGCTGATAATCAAATTTTATCGACTGTCATGATGTCAGACATTCTATTATTAAATCGGTCTATTAAATCATTTTTTTTTTCTTATTTCTATCTATTATTATTTTAACCTATAACTATTAATTTTATTTTAAGATTTACTTTGTAATTATTTTTAATTGTAGTTTGATTAGTAACAAAGAAATTGTGTCACCGAGATGTCTATTTCCAAGGTAGGAATGAATATAATGGGATTTACAGTTCACAAAGAATATCTCAAAATTCCATGATACTAAATAATAGAAATTATCAATAAGAAAAAATATTTATTGCCAAATAGCATTCAGTATCACACTTATTAATATAAAATTTCCTTAAATGCCATCTCCATTTGGACCGATTAAAAGAAAACGGGACAGAAGTCACTTTCCAGTTGATACCAGGACATTGCGGGCTCCACAGAAATGATGAGACTGACAAACTGGCCAGAATAGGTTCTGGAACGATCCAACCAGATATTCCTGTGTGCATGAATTCAACTAAAAGAATAATGAAACAGACCCTCCAAAGTTAACCGAAGGATAAATATGCATAAAAAATTTATGGGGATTGATGGAATGGATTGCTGGAAGAATGTGGCAGAATCCCAAGAGACCTCCCTAGAGGCTGATCCGTACCATGTTTTAGAATGCTTACAGTACATGATTTCCTGAAGAAGCACCTCCAACGCATCGGTATAAAAGATATCTCGACCTGTCCTCTGTGCTCTTGGCTAGTATGACTGGAGAACATTTTGACACATACCCTGTATTACAGAACATTAAATGTGTTTTTAGTGAAACAGACAACTCCTATACTAGGAGAATGAAATTATATTGGACTGCAAGATTACGCATGCCTGATCAGGCAGGCGTTATTGAGGCACAGGAAAAAAAAAAGAAGTATCACACCTAAGCACTGGTTAACTATTACCATTTTAAAGAAATATCTGTAAATTGATAAAACAATTTTATTGTCATAAAGTAACTCCTTATTATTTTAGCCATACTATGGAAGCATAGCTCTTGTCCACAGTTGTGTATAAACTGTTTTTTGTCAGAACTGAAATGTATTCCCTTTTGCTGTATATGCATTTCATGTTTCAAACACAAGCCATTACCCAAAAATATGAGGTAGAAGAGAAAGTTAACTAAGCAGAATTTAATTGAAATGGCGGAATAGTTGCAAGCTACAGATATTTAAAAAATTGGGATTATGTAGAGCATAATAGGCAAGGCTAAGTTTGTAAGTCATCAAATTATCACAAATAACAGTCCACCACCCACGTCAAGAGTTTTAGCCTGTTGTGGGTCAGAATATTTGTTATCTAGCGCTTAAATCAGCTAATTAGACTTCAAGGGTGTTAATATTTGTATTATCGACTTTCTCTACAGTTTATCAATTGTCAGAACTGTTTTGAAACTTTAGTCTGTGGGAACGGGGTGGCTGAGCAAGCAAACTTGTTGCCTAGCAATCTAATAATTTTTTTTTTTTTTATTAAAAATCTTTTTATTGGAAGAATAATGATACAATGTGCCACAATCAAGGGCATTGGGCATCAAGGCTCTATGTGTACATTCTTACTGACCTAATAAATTGAAGATAACAAGTTCAAGTCCTGGCAAGGAATTTTAACTAGCATTAATCCTTCACGCTTTCCCCTGTCCTTGGAAAACCCATAAAGCCAAAAACGTCAGGTAGGAGAGAAAAAAAAATTATCTCTTTAGTGAGTGGAAATATACTATGCATGTTAAATAATTTTAGTAATACAAAAAAATTAGCTGTGATATAATGTTTGCGCCGGTGGTTCCTAATCTTTCTTAAAAAGAAATTATTGCTTGAATCCAATTCGATATTAACCCTTTTTCAGGCATTGTGCTTTCCTTAGGACGACAATCTCCAGTTTTTGTTTTCATCAGAAAAGGAAAAATTCCACTTGTTGGTTTCAAATAATTGTACATATCTTATAATTTGAGAGAGAGACTGGACTAGCTGGTTAAACCTTATAGTATATAGTGTTTAACTATAAATGGAAGAGAAAACTTCAGAATTCTTGACCATATGCTGTTCTCCTGTCATCATGTCTAAGGAACATAGAGGGCATGTCGGGCTATCTTTTATACCGATGCGGAGGAGGTGCTTCTGAAGGAAATCATGTTCTGTAATTCTTTTTGTTGAATCCATGCCCAGAGGATTATCTGGTTGGATCATTCCAAAATCTATTCTGGCCAGTTTGTCAGCTTCATCATTTCCGTGTAGCCCGCAATAGCCTGGTATCCACTGGAAAGCGACTTCTGTCTCATTTTCCTTTAATCGGTTCAAATATAGATGGCATTTAGGGACATTGGATTTATATTATATCCATTTTGGAGAGACAAAATGGCTGCTTGTGAGTCAACAAAGATAGCAACTTTCTTGTCTTTCCGTTCAATTAATCTCTCAAGGCCTAAGAGAATGGCTTTCACTTCCCCTTCAAAGTTTGTGGCTACCTTTCCGACCGGGGCGGCAATTTGAAACTCCTTTGAATAAACTCCAGCTCCGGCATGTTTGCGTGCTTCCAGTGTAGAACCATCAATATATATATATTTAAATAGATAGAAATTTGTATTTTTTATTAGATAAAGATCAAAATTGGAACTAAAATGTTTATTTATAACTAACTTTTTTTTATCACTTTTCTTTTTTTTTAGAGCGGTCGACAATGAAGTTTTGAATATTTTAAGACAACGTTTCGAAGATTGTGTTACATATGAGGCGCCTGACCATGTGTCTCGCTGCAAGAAGCTTAAAGAAATGTACGATGAAGCAAGCACCAATTGGTTTATCAAGTGTAAGTGTTGTCATTTATTAATTATTGTTTTAAATATGTCTTTCTCCGTTTATTTTAAAATATTTCTGAGTAAGTTATCTTTTGTTTATTATATTTACAAAAATACATGTAAATCCATTTATCTTGTGAAATGTTGAATAGTTTATTAGATTATAAGTTTTTAGGCCAATTAATCTCTATACAAATTCCAATATCTTAAGATTTTTTTTCTTTTCTATCCTACATTGCTATTTTTGGCTATGTGAGATTTTTCCTGGGTCAGGGAAGTGTAACTCAATTTTTATTCAGTTGTGTGTTGTAGTAAGTATACTATAATGTTAGTTATTAAGCTGGGTTTTCTTAATTCTATGTAAATATTCAATCGTTTGAAAAATATAGATTGTATACCATCCTGAGCCTCTTTGGGCAAAACTCCCAGAGCTGTTGACAACAGTGAGTTCAATCCCTCAGAGGCTAGTTAATACTTATTTTGTAGGTTGTTTGGTGGCGTTTTGTTTATTATATTTACAAAAATACATGTAAATTCATTTACAAATGTAATTTGTAAATCAATTACAAAAGGATTAACTGGCCCACCATAAAGTATAAACCCAAGGTCACACTATACAGACAGGTCTAATGCATAATGATGTTTTCATCGATTTTTTGTGGTAAACATTTATGTTTTTTCAGTGATTAGTTTTTTTAAAAGTATATTCTTAAAACAATTTATTGCAAAACTGTTTTTGTGCCAATAAAGACATTTTTTTGTTTTTTTTATATTAAAAAAAAAAACCATTGTATTTCTATGCCAAAGGGAGTTTATTTAATTTGTGTCGAATTTCTTACAAACTTGCTTATCTTACTAATTTATAATTTTTTTTTTTTATTAAGGTCTAAGGATGTTGTTACATTGTTCGAATTGCCGTCTTAAGAGGCTATCAAATATATTCTTGACGATTATTGCAAAGGTCGAAATGAAGTTCGACGGGAAGACGAAATGGAGATGCTTTCGTACTTGTAACAAAAATGTTTCTATAAGGAAAGGAACATGATTAGAGGGGTCGAGGATTTCTTTTTTGTTTCTCGAGGATATTTTATATTGTTTCTTTTATGTGTACATTTATTCTTTAAATTGGTTTTTATTATTTAATTTATTTTGTCCATTTTTTGCTTATTTTTATTTAATTGTTTTTTTGTTTTTTTTTTCTCTCTTTCGCGCTTTTGTTTGGTGTAGCCAGTCTTCTAAAGTAACTTTCTCTGCCATTTCTTCTCCACTTCTTGCTAAATTGGCTGCTTGGTCAGCTTTTTCATTTCTCACAATTCCGCAGTGGGCTGGCACCCAAACGAACACTATTGACATGTCTTTGTTTTTTGCTTTCCACCATACATTTAATATTTCTTTAATAATAGAATTACTTGGGGATTGGTTGTCGATAGCGGCTAAGACACTATTTATTTTTATATATATATATATTATAATGTTTTCGTAATGTTTTTACATTATATATGTATAATCTTTTGGTCTATTTAATATTTATGTTGTATAATAAAAGTATTTTTTTATTATTACATTTGTTTTTGTTTACAATTTCAATAATATAAATATAATACAATAAATACGAATACAAAGATATAATAATATGAATGTCAGTAATAAGAATATAATACAATAAATATGAATACGAAGATAGGAATTATGAGTGCCTTATCAGAATTATCAGAGTTACGGTTATAAACATTGGCAGATAGCAGTCGAACCCGACCAGCTATTTAAGGAGTATCTAATATTTAAAATGTAAAATATTGCAGCAATTATATAAAATGGTTACTAATAAAGATGAATTTATAAAAAATTTAGTCAGAAGGCTAACATTATTTTTTATTCTATTTCATGAAAAATAATGTGAATAAATTATATCAGTTGACAATAAATTGAAAACTAGCACATAAAGTAATTAAAAGTAATCTTTGTCGATGACTTGAAAAAGTCGCGGAATTGCATGCAAAGGTTTTAGTAGACCTCTACTTTTCATATTATATTTAAATTATTTTTATTTTGATCAGTAAATAACAATGATTAAGTTCCACATTATCAAATGAAAATGAAATTGTTTTAAATCTCTTTCGAATTGTTAATAATTGATATAGAATTCTGGTTAATAATTTAGGATTAGTTTATATGAATCAAGTTGGATTAATTCATTTATTTGTTATTACAGATGGTGACCTCGGTGCTTACGGAAATGCCGAAACTGCTTTAGCTAAACAAAAACATAGAATGATCTGGGAGAGACGTCATGGTCCCGTAGGTTCAGGCAAGCAAGCGAAAAATGAAATGCAGGATCAATAATGATAGTAGTAATTACTTATAATACTTGTATATTATTAAAATGTTTTAAAAGTTGTGAAATTTGAATAGAAATCTTAATAAATTGTTAATAATTATCCATTTTTCTTCTTTGAAAATCCATTTTCCTCACCCATCAAATGATGATGATCTCTCTTATACTGATTATTCCCAATTATTCTAAATATGACTTCTCATTACTGTTGTTTGTATCGATGTAATTATTATTATGTCGTTATTCAAAGAAAAAATACATTACTAAAAAGGTATTTTGAAAATTGCTCGCCAATCACCAGTGATTACAATTCTACTTATGAAAGTGCTTCAATAATTGAAGAGAATATATTTTTCCCTTTTTCTTATTTAGCAAACAATCAAATTCTTTCATAGTTTATATTGAGCCCTTTCTTATAACTATTAACAATGAGAGATAGTTAATTGTTTAAAATAAACCAAATTAAAATTACTTTAGAGGAAGAAGTTTGAACACTTGTTATTTATAATTTGTTAGTCAACAACAATGAGGTTATGACGTAAATAATATTAAACACTGTTTAATTGTATCCTGACATACCGAGTTAAATCTAAATCAGTAGAATCGTTTTCGAGGAAATTGTAAAAATGAATAAAATCGATAATTCAAAGTGGCACTTCCAGTTAGCCTATTTTAAGGGAGAGGTTACTGTAACATCTTATCCATATAGCTGACATAAATAACATCAGTTTCTTGTGATTTTTCTGTTTTGAGTTAGGCTGATTACACACCATTTTTGTGAGAATTGGTTATTTGGACTCCTGGTATCTCGAAACGTATAATTCTGTTGAAAACTCAAAATCAAAATTTTTCATGATTGCAATACTTTTCCTTACTATGTATTACATATATAGATAATTTGTTTATAAATTTTAATTTAAAAAAAAAAAACATTGTGATTATTTAAATATGTATCTTACATCTTTCACATAAATAAATGAATATGGGCCAATAAAAAATAAATCATTTTTCTAATGGTGTGGATATGATTGAGGGTGATTATAATTTGAGGAATTGGTCTGGAGTGCAGTCAATATATAGTAGTATTTTACTGTATTTGCCGACATTATGACCTACATTGTAGATCTTCACCAGGGCATAAAAAAGATACATAATATAATTAATGATAAGGAACTGGAAGGTTTTATGCTGATACCACCAATCAATGTCTACATTCTTCTATCCGCTGGGCGCCATATAAACCCAAGGGACCCCATCAGCCTACCCCTCCTAATCTTGCCAGTCTGCAGGGCTTTGAAATTATTTTTTTACAAAGTTCAGCGATTTTACATGCCCATTTTATTCGCCTCAGCTTAATCATCTCAAACATATTAACGGAGTACAGTTCGCGCAATTCAGCGTTGTGTAGCCGCCTAAAAAAGATAAAAATAAAATAAATATTAATTGTATACGGTAAAAAAATAAAATATCAGTTGATTTTAAACTAGTGTAGGTTACCAGATAAAGAAATTGAAGCAATCCTTGTCAGTCTTGAGACTGTCATTCGTGACTTATCATGTAAAGTCCGCTTATGGAAGTTAATATGTCCTCGGGTGTATGCTGAACTAGCGAATCGGTAAAAACACAACTTTTAAAGAGGACCAAAAAACACCTTCTAACCTTTCCTGAATTAGAGCGCTAGTCTTCCAAAGTAAGACCTGTAGTGTCTTTTCTTCATTTTTTATGGAGAATTTTACTATATAGTCCAAAACGAGTTCAGGATGCGAAAGTCATACCGAATACATAGAAAAATCAATTTTTGCAGATAGATTACTTTAGCACGAACCTTAACGATATGCATGCTATAGCAATGAAGAGAAGAAACAAAAAAGCATTGCTTGACTTCATTCATTTCATCTATGATTTTTTTAGTAATTTATTTATTATTTATTAAATATCGTCTTTCCCTAGAAATTTTTATTCCATGTTTTTAACCCAATGAATGTATGATTTGTGACCTCTTCTTCATCTGATCTTTTACACTAATTGTTAAATTTCCTGAGAGGATACGTACCCACCATCGATTTAGTAGCTTGATTAATCTTTAGCAATGTTGGATTATAAATTAATCCGTATACGAATGATGTGGTTGTTAACCCTTTTATAGTCACGTTCACTCCAGTTCTCATGATTTTGAACTTAAATTCTGATGTCACTTCTTGTTATTTTGAGATAAAAGAGTTGGATTACAGTTCAAGACAATCTGTTATTTTGGAAGGTAAACGTGTCATTATCTTCTTTTGAAAGTCGCATGCCATGTGTTGGAGTAACCATTAGTCAAGCCAACATAAAGTTTTTCTATCATATATGACCTGTTTGTCGACTTTAAGAGTGCACATGACAGCATCAAACGACCTAAGCTGTATAAGGTGTTGCAAGAAATGGGCATCCCAAGCAAACTGATGAGTCTCCTGAAGTTGATAATGAAAGATGTAAGGTGTCAGGTACGGATCCAGTCTAACTGCTCTGATGCATTTCCCTCCAACAAAGGATTAAGACAGGAGCATGGAATGGACTGTCTCCTCTTCAATCTTGTCCTGGAGAAAGCTGTACGGGATTCCGGAATCCAGACAGACCACACGATATTCATCCTTACTGTACAGATATTGGGTTACGCTGATGACCTGGATATCGTGGCCAAGACCCGATCGGCATTGGTGGAAGCCTTTAGGAAACTCATGAACGCTGATTCAGCCATGGAGTTGGCCATAAACGAGAATAAAACAAAATACATGCACATAGGGACTGGTGGCGACGAGGCACTGATTGTGGGCCCTAATACATTCCAAAGGGTGAACTAGTTTACGTATTTGGGACCCCTAGTGACACCAATAAACGATGTCTCTGTTGAGAAAAGGAAAAGGCTGGTGGCGGCAAATAGGGTATATTTTGCCTTGCTGAAAACTCTCCGCAGCAGATCCATTACCAGGGGTACTAAACTGGTATATATACAAGAGTCTTATACGCCCAGTTCTTACCTATGCTTCCTAATCCTGGAACATCTCAAGAAATAATGAAAATAGTCTTTTCATTATTGAAAGAAAAATCTAGTGAGAGGTGGAGATGGGTGGAGGATTAGGAGGAACAAGGAGCTTTATGACCTTTACGGAGACATGGACGTTGTAAAGTTTATAAAACTGGAGAGGCTCAGTTTGACTGGCCATGTCGCAAAGATGGAAGCGGAAGAAATTTCTAGAAAAGTAGTGGACACCTCCCATCACGGTGCACGACGGCCTGGTAGGCCAAGGCTTCGATGGTTTGATGGGGTGGCAACGGAAGCACGGAGCCTGCTACGGATCAGAAGCTGGAAAGCGGCAGCACAAAATCGAGCTGAATGGAGGCGGCTCATTGAGGAGGCCAAGACCCACCTAGGATTGTAGCGCCATGTAGATAGATAGATAGATCATACATGATCTCTGATTGACCTAAATTTGAATGCTCTAAATCCGTTTACCAGAACCAGTCATGGGAACAAGGATTTGCATTATCCCGTCGACGAGAACTCACCAAGAAAACTACATTTCCCAAAAACTATAATTGCTGCTAAAAATTTATAGAATCATGATTTTCAAATCTATTTCATCATCAGAAACTGAGAAACTTAAAAAAAAAATGATGGATCTGTTAGCAGTTCCTGAATAATACTCATTATTTAATTCAGGATACATAAAGAGATATATCATTGTTGAAATTTGTACGCCCATCTTAACTTATAATAAAAAATAGGACCATAAACATCAAAACCCCTTATCCTGTTTGTACAGAATTACAGAAAAAGTATTAGCACATGTATGTTGGATACTATGTACTTCGGAATCCTGTATATTTGTTGGAGCTTTTAGTTCGTTTTTTATTTTCTTTCTCCTATTCCTGTTGTCTTCTATAAATATGCGCTACAAAATGATCAGTTTTCTCAACTCTTGAAAATTTGAGAAACTTCTACAATATTCTGTACCTCAATATTCAATCTCGTTGGATGATAGAATTTATAATATTAGAATATACATATATTTATTGTATTCATTTATTTTTTACGTTTTTTAATTTTTTTATTTAGCTTGAAAAAGTATTTATCGTTGATATAATGTTTTTTTAATAATATATATTTAACTTTGATCCCTCTTATCTATTAGCGGGAAAGATCTGAATTACTGATAACGCAGATATGGATAGCTCGAAAAGCCGATGAATTTTTACCGCCGTTTGCATTTGAATATTGTTTCATGTGTTTTAAGGGATTTTAATTCGAAAATACTGTCACCTATGGCTCCTATAGAAGAGTCGAAAAGAAGGGCTGCATATCAAGCCGTTGATGACTTTGTGAAAGTATTTATTTCAAAATATAAGATATTTATCACTGCTTATCGATCCTTGAGGTATTTTATTAAACATTTTTTTTAGGATGGTATGAAACTTGGTATTGGTAGTGGATCTACAATTGTATATGCAGTTCATAGGATAGGTAATTAATATTTTATTTGTAAATTATTAGAAAACATGAACATCTATAGAACAATTTTTTATTTTCTGATACAGAATACGAAATTTTCAATATTTCGAAGAAGATTATGGTATAAATATAAAGAACTATCCTCACAAATAAAATTCAGATTAAAAAAAATTCAAATTCATGAACTGCATGTATCAGGAATCTTGTTTTATTTGTATTTTGCAGTTCTCATTCTATATTGTTTGAGAAATAATTAATTTCCTTTTTATTGGTTTGATTTATTATATGAAATATAGAAATATCCCAGTTATTTTTGTATTACATTTGAAAATATTGTACCACTACAAAATTTTCCCAAGATAAAGTTCATTTCACTCCCCTGTTTCAAAGTTTTAATATTGTCCAATTTTTAATATTATCGGAAGAAGAATGTTTGATGAAGTAGTTGGAAACTAAGATGACATAGTTTCTTTCAAAGCAGAGCTTAAAATGATGAAGTAATTGTTGGTAGAGCTGTTTTTGTATGAGTTTATTACATTTTGTTTGGAACGGAATTTAAATCCACAAATGAAATAGCTGAATTTATGTCAACTATTTTGTTGGTATTTAAATCTATTTAAAAAATAGTTGCATTGTGTTAATTTAGAGGTCATAATCTTCTTCTAAATTAAGTGAGATATAATTGATTTTTTCGAAGTCAAAACTTTATTGAATTGTTTTCATAGACGACTTTATTATATTTATCATTTATTTGTAAGCCTTTACTGATTTTATTGTAATTGTCTAAGCGGAAAAAGTTAAAAATGAAGGTTTGAAAGTTATATGCGTTCCTACTTCATTCCAAGCTCACCAACTAGTTGTATCAAATAACCTTCAACTGGGAAACTTAGAACTTCACTCTGAGGTATTATATTTAATTACTTGTGATGTGTTGACAATTTCTTTATTTTCTTACTGTTTTATTGCTTACAGCTTGATGTTGCCATAGATGGGGCTGATGAAGTTGATTCGAATATGACATTAATCAAAGGTGGTGGTGGGTGCCAGACGCAAGAAAAAATAGTTGCATCATGTGCCAACAAATTTGTTGTTGTAGCTGATTATAAGTAAGATAATACTGATTGATCAGTCTTTTTAAATATAAATATCTTATGTTATTTCTGAAACATATATCCCTTTTCCGGCTCTCAGGAGTGATATATTTTGACGAATGAGGTATCAATAGAAGGAGAACCGTAATTTTGATTTCTAATGTTATACCAGGGCTCAAATAAAAGTGGGAGATTTTGAGCCATATGATGGTGCTATCTCAACCAATCGAGACGTTACAAATGAATTCATAATTTGCAAATAACTTGAAACCACACAATTTTTGGTCCATTATACATATGAGTATTTGAAAGCTTACTAAATTCCCTGCAAAACGTAAAAAAAAATCATCGAAATCGGCCGATTCGATGTAGAGTTATAGCGTTAATAGTGTCTAGAAATGAAGATTTAAAGTGATAGAAAAATGTAGTGGTATCAATACTCTGATTTCATTAAGTTGACGGATCAAGAGAGGACAAGTTGGATTTTAAATATTTCAATTCAGACATCAAACCCTGGTTTGGATTGTTCTTTCAAAACTCATAAAGAAATGTTATTATATTTCGTCAAAAGCTGTTCGTGATTTAATAATGAAAGATTAAAAATAAATTTAAACCGATTTATTGAATACATTTAACTAAATGATGATATCTAGAACCATTTGAAGAATTTGTTGAATATCGATAAAACAAATAAATTAAATGTAAATCCATTATGAGGATAATGTTAAATCATTATAGACATACCTTATATGAGTTTGGATGCCATGGAATGATGTACTGTCTCATAAAGACTTTTTATGATGCGGTGGGGTGGCCGAGCGGGCTAGCACGTGTGCACAGCACCACGCATTGCCCGGCAACATGATAACTGTAGTTATACAGAATAAAATAAGTACGAGTTCGTGTTGGGATACCAGTGGGGTTTTTGACTCATTAATCCCCCGCCCTTACCCCTTGGTCCGAGAAAACTGTATAGCGAGGAAGTGGAGGACCTAAAGGAACTTTTTATGAGAGTTATATTGTATTTGGTCTGCATATATGTGATTTAGATTGTATTGTCATGATTATGCCTTAATTAACAAAACATTCATCAGTCAGTTTGGTTACTACATATTTGAGACTCATCTGCATATTTTGGTCATCAGTATTAATAATTATTTATGTAATATAATATCCATTAAATCATCTCTAATTATTTATTTTTTACTATTCCCGAAATATCCTCACTCTGTATTGTGTAAAATGGAGTGAAATGTGTTTTGTTGGAATTTAATATTGCATTTGTTACAATTCTTTCCTTGTAGGTGATAAATAGTCAGGATACAGTCATTTTAAAGGTTTTTATTGGTGCCGACGTTTCAACTGATACACGTGGGTCATTATGCAGCCAGTACTTGAACACCTTCAGTGCTCAGAACACACCCTGATGATGACCCACATGCTTTGGTTGAAACGTCAGCACCAATAAAAACCTTAAAAATGACTTGTGTCCTGAATATTTATCACCTATGATGTGTAGAACAGTCGACTAACTTCCTTCAATAATTCTTTCCTTGGTTCCTCTTGTTCTGGAAATTAAAATAAAGCAATTGTCCTATTGTTTAAAACATGAGTTTTATTATTGATAGAAAATATCTTATATTAACTTTTAAAACAATCAATATTCCACCCATCCACTCAGCAATATTTAAGTGTAAATTCTCTTGGCACCGTTCTGTTGACCAACTCTAGGTTCTTTTGGTCCATTATTTTGATAAGAACTGTTACAATGTATATTATTTAATTTAATAATTATTACGATAATTTAAATTGTTTATGGAAGATTAATTATATTTGAGGTATGTAAATAACTTTTATAATAGCATTTACTCTCACAACAATTTTTCTTTATTTTTATATGATGTTTCAGGATCAACTTTCTTATTCAATCTTCAGAGTGTATGACTAGGCTCTCCCTCGAGGAGTCCACAATATAATTAAGGGATGAATTATGAAAATATAAAAATAAAAGAAATAATGACAAATCTTTTTAAAAAATAAGATGATAAAAGGATGAGATACTGTCCGAAGATGGGATAAGAAAGTTGATCCCGAAACCTCATATAAAAATAAAGAAAAATTGTTGGGAGAATAAATGCTGTTATAAAAATTATTTATATACCTCAGATAAAAAGTATCTCCATTAGGACTTATGAAGAAATTAATTATGTTCATTTATTTTTAAAATAATATTTTATAGAAAAGATTCAAAATATCTTGGAGAGCAGTATAAGAAAGGAATCCCTATTGAAGTGATACCCATGGCCTACACACCTGTGTCTGTTAAAATTAAAAAATTATTCGGTGGTGAAGTTCATTTGAGAATGGCACAAATGAAAGCTGTAAGTAGACATTTCAATCTGATTTATCGTTAGTTCTATTTTTAATCCAGCTGATATATATCATAAATTAATTTATTGTTATTCAATCATATTATTGATCAAACTTATAATTTATAAATATTAATAATAGTTGTAGATGATCTTTTTATGTAAGCATGTTAGTTATTTCTTCTCCACAACCTTGTCTACGGGTCAAATTTAAGAAAACAAACAATTGTTATTTATAGTTCTTTTATATCTATTTGGACATAGACAATTTGTTACCTAGAGAGTATTAAGTAATTGATGCTGATGTGCTGAAAATCTGTGGTGAAATATAAAATGTTTTAATAGTAAGTAATTAGGATATGTTGAGCCGGATATCCGTAAGTTTACTTGTTTAAGTATGTATAGGAAAAAAAATTATTAATTATAAATGATTCAGTAACAACTTTTATCTGATTAGTATTCAAATCAAATATATTTTTACTTTCACTTACCTATATATGATATTGATACCTGTATATGATATGACACTTACCTATATTATTATATTGAATACATAATAAGGTAAAGTATTGCGATTGTGAAAATTTTTGAATCTGAGTTTTCAACAGAAATACACGTTTTGAGGTCTCCCCTGAGTCCAAATAACCAAGTCTCACAAAAAGATTTGTGTGTATGTGAAGAGTCTAGCTCAAAAACGAAAAGTTGTACAAAACTGATATTACGGATTTAAGATAGGTACATGCCTTTTCCAAGTTTGAAAAAAGAAGTATTTAAAATCCACGGAATCAATCCAGTGCCATTGTTTAAAATACTATTTCATTGTACTTGTGTGAAAGAAGACGTGAAATATAAAGATATATCATGGATATGTTTATAACCTTAATAATACATTTACTGTTGTTTAATAACACTGGATATGATATTATATTTAAATAATTAGGTATCTATTAGCTGTTTATTCCTAAAAATCATCAAGTAACCTTTTGACCTATCTATGGCAGGCAATAAAAATCTCGTTATTTCATTTTAGTAAACTTTACAATGGAAAATAGCAGTTTAATAACTAATAATCCAACAATCCATAATCATTTATAGGTTAAATATTCAGATATACTTCCAAATCTCTCTAGGCATATGTGAGCCTTTCGATTGACAGAATGACTAACTCCAATGTTAACATTATTATTAACTTTAGTGATGTTTCTAGTGGCAAAATTTATACCTTTATGCTCAGTTATATATTTCAACATTGCAGTCACCTACTCTGGAATCAACTTTACTCACTGTCTGTATAGATATAACTTTTCTAACTAGAAATAACACTAAAATGACATTACTCAAACATTTTGAAATTGGAGTTATTCTGTCAACTGAAAGACTCAGAAACTGAAGTTGTGTGGTTTATAAAAGCAGATGGAGTAACTAGATTTTTATTGCCTACCGATGATATAATAAATAGATTTTTTGTCATTTTAATGGTCTTAATAATTTGTTATCTGTAAGCTTTAAGCTTTAGCTCTTCAAAAATTGTATAACAGCCCAAAATCGCCAGAAAATAATTTCTATTCAAAGTAGAGCGGTAAGTGAAAGTTGTGTATTGTGCGCACCAGATTTTTTGGTTTGAAAAGGTTGTATTATCACTTACAACTTTGTCACTTTTGTTTTTGTTCTAATTAAGGTTCTAACTAATTTTCGACAAATTCAATATAAAATCAGTAGTAGAGTATTTTAATATTGAAGCGACTTAAAATGTTAGTTTAAGACCATTTAAAGTAATGAGGGAAAACCTGAAAGTTTTATAACAGATGAAAAAAGTTTTAGCACTTTAAATTTTAAAACTCATTTTTCTCAATGCTGAGGTTAGACCTACCAGACCTTTGCCAAACCAAGCAACCAAACTGTCACTAAACAAACTTATTCCTATACTTACCTAATACTGGAACATATTAAATGCTGAAGAGCGAAACTATATAAGCATCCTCGAAATCATCCAAGTAGAAATAAAATTACTATAAATTACATGTTTGTTTTATTAAATACGACCTATAGGCAAGATCTTGGAGAACAAATGACAATTAATGAAAACAGGACAATAAAATGAACTAATAAATAAATTTATTTTTTAAGGGTCCAGTAATCTCAGATAATGGAAACTTCATTCTAGACTGGCTTTTTCCAAATGATATTGCTGATTGGAAGGCTGTCAATAATGAAATAAAAATGATTGCTGGTAAGTGGTCGCAAATAGGATTAAGTATTTTGGTTCTTTATCTCAGCTATTAACTACCTTAGTTCAAAAAGGTTCTGATCTCTAGATTTTTTTTTTAATTGTTTATAAATTTAATATTTTCCGATAATTAATTATTGAAAGAAGTTAGTCGACTGTTCTACATATCATACGTGATAAATAATCTGGACACAGTCATTTTAAGATTTTTATTGTTGCCGACAGGGGGTCAGATAAGGAGGTAGTATTTTTTCTTTTTTGGCTTTAAGACTTGTAAAAGCAAGTCCTATTTTGCCAATGAAATATTTTGATTGTCATTGTAAGATGAAATTACATTGATTAGATATTGAATATTTCTAGATAGATGATCACTGAGTGTAACATATATAGAACTTAAACTAGAAAGACTACTAGTTAAAAACTGAGGTGACAGTAGTTTCATAACAATTAAATGAGATTAAGAGGCGACTTTTATTATATAACTGCTTTTATGTCATTCAAAAACTTTATTAAGTCACGGGTGTTATCTTTACTTATCGACCGAAGAAAGTTAACCCCATCATCCGTAGGTTGCGATCCTAAACTAATTCTTCGCTACTTGAATCTCTTACACTTGAAGGCAATGTGCCTTCGATCCTCCAAGCATTGGCATGTTGGACAGTTACCACTGTTAGTCATTATACCCATTAGATCTAGATATTTATTAGTTATACCATGATTTATCCTAAGCCTGGTCAGCTTTACTAAGCTGGAGCGGTCGAGATGAGATTTAAGAGTCGCAAACCATGGAACCAGTGCTATCTTCTGTTGAACTGCATGATGGTCTTTACCCTTCGATGCACATTCTCAGTCGTAGAAATGCTACCAGTCTTTCATTATTTTCCCCCTCACTAATCTTATCAAATCAAGGGGATAGTCTTGCTTGCCTTCTGGAGAAAGCTATTAAAGACTCTGGCATCCAGACAACTGAGACTTTAATAAATAAGATAATACAGGATCTTGGATATGATGACCTAGACCTAACTGGAAGGACTCCCGAAGCAGTAAGAATAGCTTTTTCAAGGCGCTAGAACTCATCATAAATGAATAAAAGAAGAAATATATGAGCACTCTTCATCAACGTGAAAATGATGAGAGATATGTCCTTTTGGGAAAGCATAGATTTGAAAGAGTACATTCATCTATCTAGGAACCCAAGTGAACTTTCACAATAATATGGAGGAAGAAATACTAAGGCAAATTCTTTTTTTGCCCTCCAAAAGCTGTTAAAAAATAATGCATTATGTAGGGATGCAAAAACAAGAATTTATAAAATGCTTATCTCACCGATTCTCACATACAAGTCAGAATGTTGGACATTGACCAAATACCATCCTTAGAACAGGAAGAAATTTCTGGTTACACAATTTTTTTTTAGTTTACACATATTTTGAATAATTTTAGATAATGACAGAGTGAAGTTTTTGGCTAGTATGAACTTACTTTATGTATAAATATTTAGTGAAATATTCTTAGTTACTCAGTTGACTTCTTCTTCCTTTATATTCAGTTTTAACTACATTCTTAACATAAAACATCTCTTTTTTCGTAAAAGAAAAAAATATCTGTTAAATTTTACTTAAAAAAATTGAAGTAATACAAGGAGAATTCATTGCAATATCAGTAATTTTGGGTTGAGTAACTACAGCTTAAAACAGGGTGTAATATTCAAGACAATAATAGCTAAAAAATTAATTTATTTGATAAACGATCATTAAAAACAGGGAGGAGATAGACCTAACTGTTGGCTGTACCAAGAAGCTCTGTTACTTGAATTTTAAAGCACCTTTTTGAAGTAAGTCATGAAAATGTTGATGTGTAGATCAAAAAATCTGATGTGTCAGAAAGGCGTAAGTGCCAAAACAAACGAATTGAGAATTTTAATGAAAAGAGTGCGTAAGTGATAGTTGTTTCACCTCACACTAGGTTAATATAAAATTGCTTTTTAAATTTTTATATATATTATTTTTTTTTGCTTCAAACGTAGCATGAGATAAACTAAAAATCTTTATTTTAATATTTAAGTCTTTTTGCTTTGACTCTATCAAAATATGTATAGAGAAACTATTAGGTATTTGGATAAATCTAATTTGTTAATCTTTGATGAAATTTAGACAAATTCCTTTTTTAAAAAAATGGCGGATCCATTAAGTTTGTGTTAATAGTAGAAAAGATTTTTAGAAATAATCTCAATTGTAAGAGCATTTACATGAATTCATAATGAAAAGAAAACATGTTTTATTTCATCATTAACAGAAATAAACATGATTTATCTTATCGAGATTAGACGAATCTCTTCCATATTTTTCATTTATTGTTTATTTATCATGGGTTTCAAAGTCTTGTCTCATCACGAAGACCTTGATAACCATTATTAAATATTATCCATACCTCCTTGTCAATCTTTCTATTTATACATAACTTTTTCATTACATTTAAAATTCATTTTTAGTCTAAATATTAGGCAAGGATTATATCAAAACTTTCTTATACATTTCATTATCACATTTTGTGGTTTAAACGGACATGGAAAAACTGTCAAGGAACTGCGGATAATATTTAATAATGGCTATGATAAGACAGCAATTTGAAACATTACAAAAAAAAATTAATAATAAATGGAAAATATGAAAATTCATTCACTTATCTTAAATATATAATTATTTTTTATATAATGCTAGTATTAGAAACCATTATCTGCAGAACCATAAATTATTAGATTTAATGTCGTAATATTTTGTGTATTTGTTAATATTCTATGTTAGTTAACATATTTGAAAATTTTCAGGTGTTGTGGAGACAGGTTTGTTTGTCGGAATGGCTAATACTGTTTATTTCGGGCTTCCTGATGGCACTGTCAAAGTTTTGAGAAGTTGATAAGTAACAGAGATTAAATAAACAGAAAATGCTTCTTTACTCTTATTGTTTTCTTATTTAATGTATTATATAAAACAATCCAAACCAACTGTTCATTTATTTATGACCAAAGATAACTCTTATCAAACGAATAGATAATAAAATATTTATCTAGCTTCTTTAGACTTTGTTTATGTAAATTTCATTAAATAAAATAGAAATAGAAAAATCATCTTTATTCTGGGACTAGGTCCCTTTAGAATAACAGTATCGTTCATAAAAATTAACCATAAATCTGCCAAAAAGACCTATTACAATGAATAATAACAAAATACTAGTAATAAATTAAGTATAATAGCTCTTAGGATAAATTAACGAGAACAGTTGGGTAATAGGAGTTCAGTACTACAATATTGGAGCTAAAACAATAGAATAATAATCACTAAATGAAATTAGAAAGGAACGCAAAATCAATTTTATAGGCAAAGCATTGTAGTGATGGAATATAAAAATTTTAAAAAAATAATTGTTAATATATAAAGAAATAAATTGTAAATAAAAAAAAAATGATATACATATGTTCCCTAAGATATTTAAGTGATTACAACAGGTAATTAGAATTTGAACATATTAAGAATTACAAATTATTTGAAACATGGCTCTATGTGCCTGTAGAGCAAGATAAAAAAAAAAATTAACAAATAGAGTATTAGTATCAGGTATGAATAGTGATGCCCCAGAAAATTCAAATTCATAAAAGGAAAATTAGGATTTGTAGCAACTGCACATAATCACATGGACTAAGTGTCATGTTGTATGATGGGGGAAACGCCAATCCCAAAGAAGTTGCTCAGCATGTTACCAGATGTAAAAAGAAATTGTATATAACTTCATATATTTAATACTGAAGAAGACAATATGCATGTTTCTGTTTATAGTTGATTGAATAATTTGAAGAAATTAAATATCTATAAACTACATTAATAGAAATTAGTCACATCTGTCTCAAGATGAGTTCATTAAGTAAATTTATGACCCGGTATTAAAGTATGAATTACCAAGTGCCTGAAAAATTTAACTATAAAACATTATTGTGGGATATTAGCTTAGCAATACTTGGGAAAATCATCTGGTTGGTTAACACTAGTTATCAAAAATCAAACTGTGTGAGCCTGGTTCCAGGTATAACTAGGTGCTTGGTACAATACTCGCTAAGAATTCTAAATGTTTTATCATATCAGTTATTTTTAAACAACTCAACCCAACCTAATTATTAATTTTGGATTCTCATGAACTAATCCTGATACTTTTCTACTATTTTATAGTTTGTATACCAGGTTTAACTCCATGCAGGAGATAAGTAAATTTTTATTTAAGACAGATTTATGCAAAATAAGTTTGATTCTAAGCTGGAGAGGAAGGGCATGATAGTAAATATTGGAAAGAGCAAGGTGATGCTCATTGGTCGTGAAGAGGAGAAAGTTTTGGTTTGCTGCAAAGTAAAAACCTTGAAGACAGAGCAGAAGTAGACTTATCTCGGAGTAGTGCTCAGCAGATACAGGAAAATGTACTATGAGCTCTCAAGCAGGATTAAGAAAGCTAACAGCATATGCTACCAGCTATGCAAAGGGAATTGGAAATAAAATTACATCTTTAAGTCCATATACTTACCTACCTTTATTTGTAGAAGTGAGAGCTGGGTTCTGCTGGACAGAAACGAGTGGAGCTACTGCTGCAGAAATTAAGTACCACCGGAGAATAGTAGGCAAAACAAGGAGGGACAGAGTTAGGAATGAATGGATACGAGGAGAGCTGGGAGTGCCAGCTTTGAGGGAAACAGTCGAAAAGAAGCAGTTGTGATGGTTTGTTCATCTGTGTAGAATGGATGAGGACTGTGATCCAAAGATTTTTTAGGCCAGGTCTACCAGACGCCGTCCTTGAGGAAGACCTTACTATGGATGGACCAAATCTCCAGGATTGGTGAAAAGAATGGGAAGTCAATTAATTCAATGAAGGCGCTGGCTCAGGATCAGGAGACTTAGCAGTCCTGGGTTGGAGCACCTCCACGCTGAGAGGCACCGAGGAGGATGATATTTGATTGTGATTAGTAATTTAGATTTTTTTTTTTAATTGGAGCTAATGAGTTTTTGCTTTAATTCATTTCATACGTAAACATTATAGAATTCAGAAGCATAAGACTTCCTCCAACAAATTGTTAATCCTTTTTTGATTTCCTTAGGAAAAGCAAAAGGTTCAATAGATTTCCATTAGTTGTTCTGAAGTTATAAAAAAAGACTGATTATCCTACTTTATGGACTTATTATCCCACTTTCTCCCCATTATCCGCAGTACTATCATATAAATCTCAGTATTTTTTCATTTCAATTAAATTTAATAATTTTAGGGCTTGCCCCACACAAAGTTATAATCACTTATAAATTCTGAAAAGATTAATTAAATTTATTTTTTTCAAACTAAAAATGTGGTTAAAAAAAATCAGTCATTTCATTGAAATAGTTTTATAGAAGTTTGTAGAAATGGAAACTTTTCTTTAATACAATACTTGATTGAATTATTTTATTTTTACAGTTTGATTAGAATTATTCTGTATGTTATATTAATTTTAAAGTAATATGAGCAGAGGGTTGAACTAAGAAGAAAATATTTTAGAATCATTATTTTAAAAAAATAAAATAGTAAACAATTTTTATTTGAAAGAAACGCAATTAAAAATAAAATATTTCATTACATGTATTTCTTCAAAATAAGTACTATTTTGCATTCTGTTTTAAACGATCAACAGCTTTTACTGTTATTTCAATGCCTTTATTTATATCTGTTTCTGTCATAATCAATGGCGGTGTCAACCTTACCGTGCTATCATCACAAGGTTTCGTTATTAAACCTAAATCCATCATTATTAAACAGAGATCCAATGCAGAACCATATCCTATAAAAACGATAATGATAAATTAATTTTCGAAAATTCACTAACATATTAAAAATCTATTCTTATGAATTATTTAACTACTTACTAGGGTTGACAGTTATTGCATTCATGAGACCTTTCCCCCTTACGATGGGAATGACATCTTCCGCTAACTGATTTCGCAATTCTTTTCTGAACTTTTCTCCTAAAACTCGAGAATTTTCCACTACACCTTCTTCTTTTATTACTTCCAACGTTGCGATTGCTAATTTTGCAGCAAGAGGATTTCCACCAAATGTGGATCCATGACTGCCAGGTGTCAATACACTCATGATTTCATCACTCGACAAGACACCTGAAATCTAAAATTTGTATGTTTCAATCCTCTTTGGATTAATTAGTTACGACTGAAACTGGAAGATAGCATGTAAAATCATATTCTTAGTTACTGAAATAAGATAATCGATTATAACTGAACCATTTTTGAAGACTCAAGCTCAAGGTATGGATGGTTAAATGATATGGTAATAATAAGATGTAAATAACTGAAAACACTGAGAAGAAACATCTTCCAGAAATTTAATATTTACATTAAAAGTAATTCAAGTATTATCCATTTCATGACAATGATTTGAGTGAATTAAAGTAACAAAAGCAGTATAACTATATAACTCAACTATAATTAGTTGGCAGCCAGAGGATGAATCCATGTGCACTAAATTAAAGCTAAAATTTCCATCTATCCCTTAGTCTCTGATATTACGTACAAAGTATTTACAAATATATACATATGTAAGATGTAGAATATTATAGTGACATTTCAAGTGTAAAAGTTGATATTTTTTAAGAGTTTTCAATGTTGTAAGTTATGGCCATGTTTTGTGCCAACCAACGATATTTGAGGGAACGCCCATGGCCTAACTCAAACCTTCGGTGGATTATTTGAAGATTGCTGGACTTGTGATCAGCTGTTCAGAGTACAGTATATAGTTAGTGACACAAGTTCACTTATTAATAGTTGAAGAATTTTGAAGTCATCTTTTAATGTAAACAAGCGTCAGTTCATTTATGATTATTAAATACAAGACCTCCAAGTAAGGATTGTATTTTTAAATAATAATTTAAATTGTAGTTCATTAATGATACTAATAATCAATAAATCATGAAATTTAGTTTTTGTTGTTAATCATAACTGCCTAAAAGGCATAAAATAATTATAAAAATGTCTATATATTTGTAAATATTTTGTAATTAATATGAAATGTCATGAGAAAAACAAAATGTTCGTTTAAACTTAATCACAGCATCAGCTCTTATACCTCTGGCTGAGCTATAGTTATCATAATTATTTAACTTATTTATAACATTTTATTGAAATTATGATTTTTTACTTTTTTGACTTTCTGAAGATAAGTAAAATGAGTTAGAATGTTTAATGTACTACAATAATAAAAATCATAAGGAGAGAACAGAAAATGAAGAATTGAAATTTATATATCAATAAACAATGTTAGTTTTAATAATATTTTTTTCCAATATAAATTTTTGTAACTCACTGGGATGAATCCTCCTCCAAGCCCTTTTCCAATTATTAAAATATCTGGTTTAACATTTTCGTAATCGACTGCAAGAAGAGATCCTGTTCTGCCGAGGCCTGTCTGAATCTCATCAGCTATCCACAGCACATTATATTTGGTACATAACCTCCTAACTTCTTTTAAATAGCCATCATTAGGAACAATAACACCTGCTTCCCCTTGGATGGGCTCTACCATGAAAGCACATACATTGGGGTTTTTTAAAGCTGCCTATAGTATAAAGTTAGGTTAAAATTTCATGTAAGTCAGGCCAATTTTGATTGTAAATTATGTTGTAATAGTTTAAAGTCATTTTACCTCCAAACTGTCCACATCGTTGTATGGTATAATTTGAAAGCCGGGCATGTACGGTCCATAATGGTCATGGGCTACAGGGTTATTAGAAGTTGAAATGGCAGATAAAGTACGACCCCAGAAGTTCTTTTCCACAAATACCACAACAGCTTGATTCTCTGGAATATTTTTCTTCCTATAACCCCATCTCCGTGCAATTTTAAGCGAAGTCTCTGCTCCTTCAACTCCTTTAAAATAAAACAAATATTAAGATGTGAATAATTGAGAAAAAATAAAATAATCGTTCCAAACTATAATGCCATTAGTATCGAACATGCAAGTGAACAGTTAACAGTTGCATGTTGGAGGCTCATGGCTTTATAGTTATAATTATTCCATTCATAGGGTCTCTTTTATCGAGCTTTTTGCTTATATAGTAATAATAATCATTATTATTTACCTGTATTCATGGCAAGAACTCTATCATAATTAAAATATTTTGTGACATATTCTGCAAACTGTGGAAGAACATCATTATGGACTGCTCTTGAAGTATGTGACAATACTTTTGCTTGTTCTATTAAAACATTCAATACTTTTGGATGCGCATGGCCCAAGTTTAAGGTAGCGAATGCAGCTAAGAAGTCTATATACTTTTTTCCATCTACATCCCACATATATGCTCCTATTGAGAAAGAGAAAAAATATATTTATTATATTTGTCAAATGTATGTGTGTACTCAAGTATGATTAACCCTTGGTTCAGAAGGGACAGATTAACTCTGTAAATCAATTTAACTGCTTTAATGTTTCATAAAATTCTTCGTTCTGAAGACTGTTTATTGTACAAAAACACGAGTAATTTCAGATATACTGAGGCTCCAATTGATTCCAAATACAGCATTCAAAAGATAATCCCTCTAAACAATCTTGTTTTTAAACTTTAGTCCCTTAAAAAGATGGCATATGTTAAGTTCAAATGTAAAAAAATTGAATAAGGTAGGTAAACAGGTAAAAATAAATAATCTTATTCTTCTAAATTTCCTCTAGTTTCACCTGGCATCTTGTAATTCAGTTATTCTTTTATAAGTGCAATGAATATTGTTGGAATAATTTTAATTAAGGTTGGTATTTCTTAAAATACTTGTTAAATATTGATTGAAAGAAAGATTTTATTTTACTTTTATGAGTAAATTTATTAGAATCAAATAATTAAATATTTAAAAACTTAGTAAGAACAAGTTATCTGTGAGTAAAAATTGACTTCAGTTTGCAAGTCCTTCCATTGATCTCTGTTAGTCTCTTTATAATAAGTAAAATCACTTTATGTTTTACATTATTACCATATCTTTTAACTTTATTAATTAATTTTCCTATAAATAAAACAAAAAATTCACAAATATAATGCGATATTCGTAACATGTATTAAATTTTAATTTTGTAAGTTAGTGTCTTTAACTGAGAGCACTGTAGCTCAGTGGCTAAAGCATTGATTTTCAATGCTAAACGTCCCGGGTTCGAGTCTGGTTGTGGTAGGTAATTATTAACTCTGTTGTTGAATTAGTCATGGATTGATTCTGGGTCAGGACACCCTCTTGGGGCACACCCGGCCTCTACAAAGTGGGTACTCTTAATTAAAGGATAAAACCCAGCAGTTGAGCATGATCTTGGACCAATCACCTCAGTACACAACCATTGATCTTGAAACAATACTTTCTTACTAACAACTTAGGACACTTCATGATTTGTAGTTTTACAGGTTTTTTTTTAATATCTTTAAATACACATCACGTTGCTAAAGTATTTGAAAAGTATGAGCTATATTAGTCTGTAAATTGATAGAAAATAATAATTTACCTTGACCTCTAGATATTACAACTGGTAGTGGAGCATAATTGTTGGCATTATATCTCTTTTCTTTAGCTATGAGCTCTGTGGAGCTCGACATTTGCCTCGAAACATTGTCTAATTTCTTCGTAAGAAAATTCCTTAAGAACAGCCGGAATGTTTTATTGAAAGTTTCCATGATTTGACTGAAACCTCAAAAATAAATATTGACTTCTTGGATTTTTTTTAGTGCAAATAACTATTAACTAAAAACTTTTGATGTAAAGGACTTATATGGCATTTAAATTATCTGCCTGATTATAACCTCAAACACTTCTCACCAATGTGTGAGATAGCAATGAAGTTTCAATGTCATTATGTAAGGCAGGATTATCAATTTATTGACTGATAATAGATTTTTTTTAGTCAATTATATTGTAAAACTCATAATATATTTTGAATTATTCATTTTATTGATCTCTCTATCTCAACAGCCTCCAATTTATTTGATTTTATCAAATAAAATCTTAAAATAAAGTATTTATTTCCTTCACTGATTTAGATAAATTAGATTTTTTTTTTCTCTCTTAACGTACAAGGTACATTTTATAAACTGATAAGGAAGAGTGGACTGAGATAGATTTTTTTTCCCTCTTTCATTTATGCATCTCTAATCAAAGAGAATTCTTAAATTAAAAAAAAGATTAAATTAGACATTTAATTTATTTTCTAAATTGTTTTTTTAACAATTTGAAGTTAAATTTTATTGATCACTTGAATCAATATCTGTATCAATCAATCTCTGTTTTAAATTATATCATTTTTTTTTTTTTTAATTTTCTAGGAATGTTCAAAGCTACTTGACATTGAGTACCGCCTTGCCGTATAGATCCTTTTCCTCTTTCCTGATGGTTTTTTTTTTTATACCTGATGATTAAGGCACAGATTTATATGTTGCAATAAACATTGATGTATGCCTTAAAAAGTCTGATGATATGCTATGAAATAGTGAAAAAAAAAAAAATAATGATACGATATGGAAATATAAATACAAAAAATAAGCAAACGTTTTTTATCATTTCTTAATAAACGAATATTTCTATTATTTATGATTTTGTACTCTTTTAAAAATAACAACATAAACTAAATATTTATAATTGACAATCATATGAATTTCAAATTAGCTTTCTATTATACTGAATCCTTTTCTCAGTTAATTAATATTTTATAGTAGCCATTAAGTTAGAATTAAATTTATTTTAAATAATTTTCTAAAAATATTCAAAGCTGCTGAGTTCCATTCAAATGCAGACCTTAATGATAATGTTCAGTGAAGGTGTTAGTAAATAAATAGAAAAAGATATATTTTATACTGGCTGAAACCCAATTATCATCTGCACAATCTAATGTTAATGTTAATGTTAATCCATGGGGTTGATGGCATACATACGTCTATGAGGTGGAAAAACTAGTTACTCTAATATAACATCACATTACAATAATGCATCAAGTTCATATGAGAAGAGAATCAAAAATAATATTTTTAGGATGACCCAACATTGTCAAGAATTTCAATCATGATAATATTTATTGGGTTAGGCGACATTTTGATCCAAACATGTGGATCATCATCAAGGATAAAATTACAAATAACATCAGTAAAATAATAAATATTATCACGACTGAAATTCTGTCAATTTTGTTCCATCGTCATAATTGATCAGTCGATTATTTACCCATCTCTAAATAATATTTGTACTCTCCCAAATTGAGAATACTGTTCCTCAATGAAAACTTAATCACATAGTGATGTATTCGTCGTGAAACAATTAATGCTTTAAATATTTTAAATATAAAGCTTCATTATTTCAAGATATGGTGATTAAAAAAAAATGTTTAGGTAATTTAAAAAAAAAGCGCATTTTAATAGCAAAATAATTTATTTTTACACATAAAAGGAATACTAACTATTGCTTGTCTCTTATGGCAACAATGCCATAACAACGTGGTGAAACATAGGAATCAAACAATTTCACTAGAAATGAATGCTTAATACCCTGAAAAAAAAAATAATAATCTTGTCAATCATCAGTAAATAAAACAAACATAAAACTTTATAAAATCATAATTACATTTTCTTGTAGGAATAATAGTCTGTCAAGCAAAATGATGTTTTCTATAACTGGAGCAAGAACAACCCTAATCATGAAATAAAATTCAAGAAACTGAAGGGACGGAGCATATTTTTCAAAAAAAGTTGCAATCTCCTCATCAGAAACCTTGAAATGAATATATATTAAAACAAACTTATGTAATCTTATTATTAATGGTACAGAAATGATTGAATGTAGTTCTAAATTAAGGAATGGTTAGTCGGAAGGGAGGAGAGTGTGGTAAAAAATCATACACATACCATGTTTTAATACTAATTAGATAACTTATGTTTTGATCTACATTATAAGTCTTTATCAGAACTTTAATCTAACATTGTCGGAAGACTCATGGGGCATAGAGAATCCAGCAAAGCACTTATATGCGGTAGCAGAAAATGTAGGTCGAAGTTTAGGTAGGCTATTCAATAAATATTACACAAACATAGTATGTATGTGATTACTGACCACAGGCCTCCTCTCCAGACTATTTCTTTAATTTTATTTAGTCTGATAAATAATACTTACATGAATATTATAACCCAATTTTTTAATTCCTTTTCTTGAATACTCAACGAATGAAGAACATTTCGATCTCATTCTTCCTACTTCTCTGCCTTTACCGATGCACTTTCCCATTTTGTGCTCCATAAATGATTCAAAAACCGCTCGAAACATTAACGTCTGAGGAATCTGAAAAATAATAAATAAAATCTGAAATGGCAATGTTTCTTTTTCGGTAGGAAGAAAAATTGTCAAACATAAGAAAGCTTTGTAATAGTGAAGAAAGAGAAAACACTTTTTTGCCCTCTAATTTCATAAATTTAAAGATTAACTCTGTGGATCTACGACTCGTCCATGCCGGATTTGGTATTATCTTTATGATGAGAAAAGTACTAACTATTGCTAATCTGATTTTGACGAAATTTCCAGGTATTGTGCAGGTTGGTACATAAATGTTCGTGTATCATTTTAATCTACCAATATTTTTTATACAAGCATAAAAGAATTTTCATAAACATTACAAATTCAAAATTTGTTTTGTTTGCTTTGGCCAAAATTGGGGATTGGTATGAACATGGTCTAGAAACAATTTAATCAAATTTCGTTCACTTGTGTAATGTATTTCCCTTGACACGCATATAGTTCAAAAAGGACTCATCCAAAGTGCCTCAAAATCGGAAGTTAAAAAAAACCTTTATCAATTACTTCTGGCTACGCATGCACCAATATATCTTCCTTGACTAACCTATATTTCAACAATGGCTGTAGAATATGTTATCATAAAACAAACAAATAATCTTGATTTACACATTTGTGTACTAATTTGGACCTGGTTTAATAACCAATTTTACCCTCTTTTCAGAGGGGGAAGGTTCATCCAGATACATTCCATAGGTACATATAAATATATTCTGCCACGAAATAAATTTCAACCTGCCTAGACTGTGTTTTAAATGGTTTTATCAGTTTATGGATTTATTTTGACATTTTCTTAACAATTATAAGTGGTAAGTTACCATAGGTAAAATAAAAAATAATCAAGATAATTATAAGCAATTAACAGTATTTAAAATTAAATTCTTTGGAATAAATTACTAACCAATTAACATAACAATCAGCACCTATTATATAATTTACTAAAATCATATCAGTTCTCAGTAATACTATTAAATTACCTCTTTAGAAACAAATATTCTTGCTGGGGCTTGTAAGGAAAGCATTCTAGCATTTCTACCCAATACAAAATTAGACTGTTTTAAGTAATTGCTCATTGGGAAAGTACTTTCATGGTCATTTCCTTCCTCTAACAGATGGTAGCAACAACCGATGTTGACCAAAAACGGAGCATTATTATTGTATAAAAATTGCCTTAAACAAATCGGGGATAGATTTCCACAAGTGTGCAGACCAATTAGACCATATTGATATTCAATGCTACCTGGAAATTTTTCATAGAGAAGGTTCTTGAGATCTGTGTCATAGGTAATAAACTTGGTCACCTGTTTGTAACATTCATTACGCTTGTTGGTGTCCTCAATACTTTTAGTTTTTGAAGGTGTTTCATTATTAAATGGTTCATCTTCGATGTCAAATTTATTTAAGGCACTATTCCACCTTTTCTGTATAAAAGAAAGAAAAGAACACAATTAGAAATAAAAGAATTATGAACTTACAAATTTAAACAAACATGGATTTAATGTTGAAATCTGTTTTGATTTCTAAAATGTAAAGAATAATTGATCAAATATCAATTTTTTTATTTTTACATTACTTAATCACATACTGTTAGATATTATGAGATAAAGAATAAAAAAAATAATAATACCCATCAGACTTCTAATAATTGATTGTGGATGATGTTGCTACTTTACAAATTATTCAAAATAGAGTTTTTATCAGGAGAGAAAGTGTTATAGAAAAGTTTATATTTGCTTTGCTTTACTAATAACCCAACATTCTCAGTTAATTACAATGTTGGATTGATTATGTCTTAAAAAAAAAGTCTTTTTGTCAATATCTAACATTAATAATACAACACTTCATCCACTAATGTCTAGTTTTTACAATTATAGATATGAGTAAATACCACTTCAATTGTCTATTTAATGTAAATAATAACTAATTTCGGTACCACTGCACAACTGACCCATTCTCCAATAGGCCAAGATCTCTTGTTTGTGGTATAAATAGGATTCTGAGGATTGACAATGTGTTCACAGTATAAACTCTCTTTTTTTTAGATAGCGATTACAGACTTCGGCAAACTACCTACTGATTCTTTTCATTAAAAATCACGGAATTAATTACCATGCTGTATTCGACTCCTACTCACTCTAAAGGGATAAGCAAATTACCAATGATTCAGTCGCTTATGTCTAGTTTCGAACATATTCAACCATTCTCAGGATTCCATTTAAAGTTTGATCATGAAATCTTGTGTAAACTATGAAAGTGGAGAGACATTTGTACAGCAGAAATCTAACTCCAATCATAAAATTAAAAACTTCTGATGAAACAGTTCTACTTATAGAGAGGTACTTCACTTATCAACTATTATAAGAAGTTACAGCACCTACCAGTTAACCAACTAGACACTCATGATTTAGTAATGGAATTAAAAATAATTTCAACAATATTATATGAAATTGAATAAATTATGTATTTTAAATGATACATTAGGTTAGGTAAATACCTGAAGTTTGTTGGCTCTTTCTGCTGCACCTTGGGTCAAATTTGTTGAACTGTCTAATCCCAAAACTTGTAATTTATAAACTAAAGATAGATAAGAACTTAAATAACCTTTGCCGTCACCAATATCAATAACATGAGTAGCATCAGTTGTCCTAACTAAATCTGCAACAAGTTCACTCATTTTTTTCACTTCATGGAACTTCTTTTCAGACATAAATTTATCTTTATTGACACAATCCATATTTGAACACCTATTCATTCGGAAAGCTTTCTGGAGTTCATCAATGCCAATGATTATTTCATTTTTTTCAAGGGAGTTTGCAGAACAGGACTGTATGAATCTTCCCAATTCTGAATGGCTAGCCTCCAAATTCTCAAGAAATATATCAATAATATTTTCTTTATTCCAATGCTTTTCCTTAAATTCGGTTTTAATCTTATTGGGAACATGGGCTTCCCACAAATCATTACTGAAAAACTCTACCATGTGAGAATTCACCAAAGGTAAGTAACTTGAAATAAAACTGACACTTTCTTGTAACTTTTTACGAACTTTATCCATTTCAGTAATTTAATTTAGAAGTAGTTGGACGAAACAGAGGCTGTATTCCAGCCAGAGAACAAGACAATTTATACAAAGATCGCATGTTTTCCAATACTTCATCAAAATCTATATTCTCGTTATTTTCCCGGGGAAAATCTTTGGAAAGAGAAGAAAGTTTCAAAAGTGAAGTTTTCAGTTTAGAAGAGAGCTGTTCATTTTCCAACAATGCTTCAGCAAAGCCCACATAATGTCCAATTTCTTTTCCAATTGCAGCACCCTGATGGTATCCTAGATGGTAACCTTCCTTTAGTCCAGAATTTTCACCAACCTTAAAACCTTCATCGAATCCTTGCTTACTTATTATTAATTCCTTGCAAGCAATAGAATCAAATATGTCATTTATGTCTGTATCCATCAAATAACCGTCCAGCTCTCAAACTGTTAATTAGATAAAACGACAGACGGAGGTTATAAATGGAAGTTTATAAATATTGGGAGTTTCTAGAAACAAACATAGAGGTAAACCCCCATTAGATATAGGATATTTTTAAAAAAAATAAGATTTCTCCTAATTGTCGCAATATCACACTATTAAATATGCTTTAATGCATCTCATAAATCGAAACATCTATTTCTTATAAAAACAAATATTTGTTATATTAAGAGTATATGAACTAAGTTTCGCTGGTTAGTAGAAATAATACTTTCCCGGAAGCTAGGAAGTTGCTGGCCAGACTCCTCTTCAAAAGGAAGAGCAACTTGCCAAACTATATAAGAATCATACTCTATATAATGACTAAGACATCGAAGAACCTCAAGGTCAAAAGATTTCGGCCAATATTATCATCATCATCAAATCATAAGAATATATTTCCACTAAAGTTATAGAGACAGGAGATGTCATACCGACATAACGCTATGACTTATAAGGGAGGAGAGCTATTTTATGCTTTTTCTGTTTGAAATATTCCTTTTGATAGCGTGTGGTGGCCGAGTGTACTCCGGCAGCTTCTGTAGAATGAAACTCTCGGTAACTTGAATATTTTGCCGAAAAGATACCTTCAGTACCGGACATTAAATATTTCAGTATATTCTATGAAGAAGGAGTGATTGTGGTGTGAACTAACCTCTATAGGTTGCCAATAGATTTCGGTCCTTAGTCTCGGCCTGTTGAAAGTGGGATTTGACTTATTATTGAGCTTTCTGGAAGGAGCAGTTCCCTATTGTGAAAGATCTAGTTGCAGTTGTGCCGAGATACATTGAAGTCAGGCTTCTCAACAATGCATCAGCCTTGGAGGAGGGTGGTGCAAAAGAAAGATGATGCGGAGTGGTTACTAAGATGTTTTGTGCAAGAAAGGTCCACGTTCCTTATAATTAGAGAAGTAGGATCACATTATCACTAACTAAACACAGGAGGCGTTAGGAGTTGCAGAAGGCGCTTTCTATATCCTCAGATAACCTACTGCAACAATGACTGATTAAGAATAAAGAAAAGCTGAGGATATCCACTGAAAGTTATAAATGAACTATGCATCCCCAGTTTAGATCTGAAACCTTACAGATTGACAGTAGGGGAGGTTGTGATCGATTTTGCTGCGAATCACCTGAGCTTGCAGAAATCGTTTTCTCGAGGTGATGCTAATACTATAAGGAATCACTATTCCAGGATGATTACTATTTATCATCAGATCATACTAGTTACAGAAGATTTTATACTTCCGGAATTGTTGATTGATGCTCTTTCACCGCTCGGTAAGAGAGACAGATTTGTCGGAGCTACAAGGTAAAGCGGACCCTACAACTTTAGCGTTGTGTATATTTGTCAGTTCTTTTTCCCATTTTTCTCAACAAATTTATTATTTTCGCAATACCTTTCCTTAATTTTTGTAAATAGTAGACTTATATTTTACTAAATTTTGTCAAAACGATTTTCTATGAGACTAACCTTACTACTAGATAGGTTAGTTTACCTAGGTCTCGTTTTTAAGTAAATAATTTCATGAAAGTAAATAGTTGTTTATATCCCTAGTCTATATTTTTACTAACCATTTTCAACTATTTTTTCTTTAAATAGTCAAGTATGCAAAAAATGTAAAAAAAAAAAGTGGAAACTTTACAATTTACTTATAGAAAAAAAAAATCTTTAACTGTTGTGTTTATTTGTCATTAATTTTCCATTTTCTTAACAAATTGATTATTTTCGCAATACTTTTCCTAGATTTTTGTATGCAGTTGAATTATATCTTTACAACTTTGGTCTAAACTATTTTCAGACACTAGGAAGTAATTATTATATCTCTGCTTTTCTCTTGATGCCCAATATTATAAATGACAATGTCCAAATAAGCATATCTATGCTGTTTCTTTGTTTACAACTGAGCTAAATTGGTGTCAGCAATGATAAGTAATGATTGAACGTGTAAGGGTCTTCATGATCAAAGCGATCCCGAGCAATCTTGGCAATTCTTGTGACGTTCATTCAAGAATTATCGTGTAGGGTCCGCTTAAAGATTGGTGAAGAGGAGCAAAGAAAATGAAAAAAATCATTCGGAAGTACAGCGTTGGAGAATTGAACCGACAGACGAACGACCCATGAAGGGACAATTGCTACGACTACTTTTCTAACCTTAGGTCAAGATATTTCTTCAGGACTAATGGGTCTCTCAACTCTTCGCGGTCTACAGAGGCTTTCGATAATGTGTGGGCGAGATGGCCGAACGGGCTATTGTGTGTGCACAGCACCACCGTTGCCCGGCAACCTCATCTATGAGACAATGGATATGAAATAGTCACGAGTTCGCGTCCCGGTGCCGACGGAGTCCTTTAAATCCCCGCCCACACCAGCTGGCCCGAAAAACGACGCATAGCCTTAAAGGCGAGGACCCAAAAACAAAAAAAAAAAAAAATAGAGGCTTTCGATAATCCGGCCTGGGAGGAGTTGACTTTTATTTCGTGGCGGACCTTTCATTTGTTAATTTAAAAGATACAATAGATGCTGAAATGAAAAAGAAGTTCATCATGTAAACTTTACCAAAATTACTGAGTAGTTTTATGAAAAAATTCGCGGTTTCCTCCTATACGCAATTTGTCTTTTAATGAATTTAATCATAAAATTTCTAGTCATTATAAAACATAGGTCATACCTAGAGCCACAATTTTGTAAGGATAAAAATAAAATTAACTAACGTTTTACTTCATGCCTCTTAGCATATGTTTTTGGTTTGACCTCTTTGGTGAACGAAAAGAGGTTGTTTATTTGAACGATCGAGTATGAACTATCAATACATATATTGTCAATATTGAATAGTTTTCTCATGTTAATGTGTGTTGTGTGTTAGTTAAAATGCCTCTTCCTCCCGCTCTTGCAGCACGTTTAGCAAAACGTGGAATAGTAAGTGAATCAGTTCTTAAAGAAGGTGTTGAGAAAAAGAGTAAATTAGATACTGAAGAGGAAGTCATAGCAGAAAACTATGATAGCAACTTCAAAGGTAATGTTGTGATATCAAATTATAGTCAAGAAAATGAAGAAGTTACATCTATTCAAGCAGACAAACATTTCAAGGGCCATTCAGGTTGTCCTAATAAATGGAATGTATATCATGAGTGCACATCATTTTGTATTAGACATTGGGGAAAAGGAAAGGTTATACCCGATCTAATTTACATGAGAAAATTTAATAGGTTAATGGCCAAGTATCCATTACCTTCTAACTGGAAAGAAGTTTATGATCCAGGAGCAGGACGTCATTACTTTTGGGAAATGTCTAGTGATATGGTTTCCTGGTTTCCTCCTGGTCATCCCAAAGCATCAGTAAGTGAGGCTGCAGCTACAGTTCGAGAGGATAGGCATTTAGTTGCTACTGATGCTGATGGCTCAGATCGTGATTCTGATAGTTCTAATGAAGAAGAAGAGGAAATATTACCCAGAGGGAAGGAGGAAAAGAAAGTCGAACGTGATAGGAAACACAATGGAAGAGTCAAGACTAAATCTAATGATCTCGATCCAATGGATCCTGCAGCTTATTCTGAAGCCCCTAGAGGAAAGTGGTCGGATGGGTTGGATCGTGGAATTGAAGCCAAAACCGGGGTAGATGTTACTGCTTCTGGGCCATTGTATCAAATGAGACCTTATCCCAGCCCAGGTGCTGTATTGAGAGCTAATGCTACTCGTGGAAATCCGTAACTATTTAATTTGACTATGTCACTGTATACATCATTATTTTAATGATTTTATATGAAGATAATCTTTTAAAAATTATAAATAAAGTTTTCTCATATAGTTTATAATTTAACTTGTTTAGAATACTATTAATATCTATTCCTTATAGGTATCAACTTGTATAAAATAAAATAAATTTATTATTCTCTTAAAATAATAAAAATTTTAAAAAAGACTGCGTCCTGAATATTTATCACCCATGATATTCTCTTAGAAGTATAATTATAAATCAAATTATTTTTGTGTATTCATTAAGATCCCTTATCAATGGAATTTTGATTCTATAATGCAAATTAGATTACAAAAAGAATAAAATAAGTCCTAAATTTCTTTTATGCATATTTACAAAGCTAAGTTGTATTAAAGAAAAGTGGAGAGAGGTGGGTTGGATGATTGGTTCCTGCTGCATCACAGACTGCAAGCTTTTAGCTGACTGCTAGGTAGGTAGGTAGCTTGATAAATTGTTTCTTTCTTTAAAACTTTTTACTGAAATCCAAGAAAAAGCTTTCAGTTTTTTCAAAAAGTAAAGAGAAGTAAGAAATTTTGTTTAAAAATGTGTTTTATTTACTTTTATATATAAATTAAATAAGCTAGTCTTAAAAATATAGAAATAATACATTGTAAGTACACATCACATCTAAGGTTCACTCTCTCACAAACATAAAGCTTCAAAGCTCTTATAATCCAATGATTAATCGCAACGTTTCCGTCTTTGATTTCTTGCAGAAAATAATTTATATTTCTGGTGAAAAATAAATGTCAAAAAATTGACAAAGTGCATTTTGATCTGGAGCTCATCAAAGATTGCAGCAAGTGGCTATGTCAGTCTTTTATACCGAAAGTCAGGATATTAAATTCTCTATTGTTAGAATTTTTTTTTTATAGTGATTTTTTACATCGCTTAAAACTTCTTACCACTTCTTTGGTCTTGCCAATCTTCTTATCGAAGACTTCTGACGGCCATGCCTTTTTCCACATCCTACAGCCATTTCATCCTGAGTTTTAATTTAATTTATTAAACCACTGTGATTTACCAAGATTATGCTCACCGTAAGATTCTACAAGCGTGCAATGCGATTCTGCATTGTAACAGAAAACTAATGCTGTCTGCAAATCATAATTTTCAGGCATAATACTACACATGTTGAACACTACCAAAACTGTCAAACTGCTGTATTAAAATTGTATTGTTGTGAGTTGAAAATCTTTGCCAGCTGTCGAAGAAACAAAGTGGTGCCAATAATGCAGTTGAATGATAACTATATTAACAATTAGAACCATTTACGGAGGAATTTCAGTTTCATATTTACACACTTGTTGTTAACTTTGACATTTCATTAGATGCCTATACTATAAATAAAATTATTAATAAGGAGAATGAAATCTATTTTCATAAATTTGCTATTTCAGTTTTATATGTCTCATCATTATATGAAAAAAAGACTAACTGTTTTGAGTAGTTGAGTGCTTGGCTAAAAAAATGAAATAAATTTAGTTTCTAAAAACATGACAGGAGAAAATCCTGTAACATATGAATGCTAAGTTTCTGGAAATATGACATTTATCAGCTACCAAAATGACATTTCTAAAAATCAATCAATTTTATTGAATCCCTGGATGATTTTAAAAAGAGTATGTGTTCACCACAAGTTGAAATATAAGAGATGTGAATGTTTCAATATATACCATTCTTTCAAGATTTTCTCTTCTGCGATTTCTATTTTGTACTATTATGTTTACAAATTTTTACTTTTTTAAAATAAACTCCTTAATTTTGAAGTCTCTTGAGGCTGATTGACCTAACTAATGATCATTGCCTAGTTCCTAGTAATCATAATTTGAATGAAATGCCTTGATATTACTTCAAAAACTAATTAAAAGTCCCCAATTTTTTTTTCTTGAAATTTTATATAGGCATTAATTAAATTGAAGTTATTAAAATAATTGTATTTTAGTTTTATTCATGAATAAATTAAAAACCAAAGAAGTGGACACATTAAGAACACCCTGTCTCAGTATTCTGTTTGCTTAAGTGCCTTACATGGTCAAATTAAAAAAAAAAAAAAGTTTTTTGACCTAAAAGCTTTAGAGGGTTATCTGAGAGTGGTCAATAATATGAGAATTCACAAATTTATTGAACTATCGATTTGCTTGATAACATATTTAACCATGTAAGAGATTTTTTAATATACTAGAAAGAAATTTTTTTTTACTTTACTAATAGAAATATAATTTGTTGTTTCCTAGTGTACAATTATTTTTCTATGGACCAAAAAGATTTTAGTGATGAGCTATTAAATCTAACTATCTCTACAGTCTATCACAAAAAAATTGCCAAGAAAATAATTATTTTTTAAAGTGAATTTTTGTAAACTTCCATGAGTTTTAGTAATTATTATTTTCACCATTCAAAATTTCTATGATCATATTATAGTTTAAATTCATGAGAATTGTTTAGATCAAGGTAATTTAGAATTTCCAATGAAAATAATCGATAAAAATCAGCTGCCTTATGTATTTATAAACAATAGAACATTATGAAGAACATTGTTGGATAAGACAATGTGAAATATACTTCTTTCAAAAAGCTATATTTATACAAACAAACAAATGTAGTTTTTATAAATGGAGAAAAATGGGAGTATTCCTTTTCAAAATGCTCCCTTAGATCCAAAAGGCTTGTAGGAACGAATGCCAGGACATGTATCCAATATTTTTGGACTTAAAATCATAAAAACAATAAGAGATTAGTTGAATTCGGTAACACATTGACTGTGAACTCAGCTTATTGGTCAGATTAATTACTTTAGCCAATTGTTCTTTTTGCAGGTGATTCGCAGATTTCAAAATTCTTATATTAGGTCCCAATTACTCTAGGCAACCTGCCAGATGATCTATTTGTGTGACCAGTATCTGTTAACATTTACTATAAACGTAAATTGAGTAACCAACTTACCTAGTGAATTAATACCAAGAGAACAAGCTGTATCACTTGCTTCTCAACTTTACAAGACACTGGCCACATGGATGTTGAATTTTCTTTTCAATTCTTTCAACAATTCAAACATCCGGGAAATTGATATAATCATATGTTATTCTTGATTGTAATAATGTATTGGTGATATACACAATACAATTTGATTTCTTAAAATATCGCATCGATAAAGAAAACTGTTGGCAAATGTATTATTTTAATACTTCATGTAGATGCATACCAATTTCTGGAAAAGAATAGAACATCGTTCTCTTCAATAGGCTTTTCATTATTTTACAATTCTCTCCACTCTCCAACATTGTATTGTTTTAAATTTATTATATAATGGCTGAATTAAACAAATTCAGTGAATAAGGCACTGATTTAAAATGCTCAAATCATATGGTTTAGTTTGACAATGGCAAGTAATCATTTATTCTGCAAAGACCTCAGCCTGGAAATTGGAAGAATTACTGCCACCAGCCGATGCTTCTTTAACCTATTGAAACATCTACAAAGTAGGTCTCTAGGCAATAAAACCAAAATACACTAACACTAACCGACAAAGACGCTAATATGGCCAGTACCTATGACTCAGAAGCTCGGACTGCAACAAAGACAGACGAAGGAAAACTTCTTATGTTGGAACGGAGGATCCTCCGAAAAATCTTTGGGCCAGTTAGAGACAGGAATGTATAGTGCAGAAGTAAAAATCAGGAGCTTTACAAAGAGGTGGATATGGTCAAGTTTATTGGAAGGTTACGCTGGGCTGGCCATGTTTCTGGAATGGATGGTTCCGGGATTCAATAACTACTGTCAGAGAAACTCCATAGGACAAGATGGCTTGTGTAGTCCACCTTTACAAAGAAGTGGACATGATCAAGTTTATTAAGATTGGAAGGTTATGCTGGACTGGCCATGTTTCTCGGATGGATGGTTTCGGGATTCCGTAACTACTGTCCAACTGGAGAGGAACTCCACAGGACAAGAATAGTAAGAAGACAGGACAAGATGGCTTGACAGAGTGTCTGTGGATGCAAGAGATCTACTACAAATCCGGAAGTGGACAGCTGCATCACAGGACTGCCGACTGGCAGAGGCCCAGTGATGGGTTTTGTGCCAGATATGATGATAACATCAGCTACAGATGAGACCATTCTGGGGCACTGTTTGTCTTTTATAAAATGGGTATTCTTGCTTGTGGTAAATAATTAAGAGAAAAATCTGATAGTTGAGTGTGATCCCAGCTCGATCACCACTGATGTCCTTGAATCAGTACTTCCTTGCGAAGTACTGAATCCAAGACAATCCATAGTATAATATTTTACTTTCGCTTACCTATATATGCAATAAAGAGAAATGTAAAGTATTGGGATTGTAAAAATTTGAAACACTCGGACAGTAAAAACAAAATCACTATGGTGGTCACCATACCTAGCCTCTATAAAGCATTTAAAAAATAAAATAAAAAAACCTGTACTACTACAACCCATGAAGGGTCCTGAGTTCAGTAATATGTAGAGAAAGCACTGTTTCTTGGTCTACGGTTGTGCAGGGAGGTGATTTTACCGAGATCTTGCTCAACTTCAAAACCTTTATTCTCTTAAATTGTAGTAGAAATTAACGCATGACACCTTAAGAAGTATAAAATGGTGGTCGCGTACACTTAGCCTCTTTGAGCTGAATACCTGAGGGTATGAGGCTATTAATGCAAGGAATGGTTATTGTCAGTTGCATATTGCTCGAGGAGTGTTATATGTTTAAATTTTTTGTATTTGTAATTTTTTATGGAATATCAGAAATAACTCATTTCTAATTAAACTGCTTTATTTCAATGAATGTTAAAATATAGAAACAATTATTTCAGACATAAATATAGTAGTTATTTCATTGGCAATATGAAATATTAGTAGAGAAGAATGAGTGGGATGATAAAAAAAAAATAAAAAAAATAAGTATATTTATTTTATATATTATTATTCATCAGGGCTAAGAAAAAAACAGATAACAATAGGTATGAGAACTATTAACATTAAAAAATAATATGTAGATGAAAGGTATAGTTTAAAAAATGTAGGTAGGATAATAACAGTGGCAGAGAATCAACTTACTGTTATTATTCTAACCACATTTTTTAGACTATATCTTTCACCTAAATACTAATTTATTTATTTAGTAATGTTTATAGTTTCTCATACCTATTGTTATCTGTTTTTTTCTTAGCCCTGGAACTTGGAGACGAAACATCGGCAAAAATAAAAATACTTATTAATTTTTTTGATTGATCAGCCCAACGATTCTTCTCTTCAATTATTCACTACAGTCAACCATCAATCCACAGTTATTTCAGAAATAAATTATTCCGAAATACCCAGAACTACCTTAAAGTAGTCGTTTAAGTTTTTTTTTTTGTTCAGAATTTAATACTTTATTTATTGAAATAATTAAAAGATTTTGTAATACTTTTACAATCAAATGTACCTGAGGGTTCAATATAGTACATCTATGTGAGGTTCATTAAAATGAAGAAGAAAATTTGTACAGAAAAGCTGTCCAATAGAGCATATTTGTCCTACTATGCAGGTCTAGTATACTTCAGCAGACGAGCGACACGACTCCTATCTAGTCACCCTTTTAGTAATGCAACTTAGTTGCCTAGTGTAATAGAGCACTTACAGTTAAATCAGTCTTGAAAAACTGAGAAAAGTTACCTGTAAAATTAGGTAAGTTAAAAATAAAATTTGAGAAAAAAAATTGTTCCATATTTGTTTCTATTTTTTTTTTTTTTTTTTTTTTATGTACATAGCATAGCAAAATTATTTTAACACTAATTTACAGCAGTCACTCCATATTTCAATCAAATAAATAACAGAGCTATAAATGGTCAGGAAATATAGCAGAATATTTATAAGAAAACATGTCTTAATTATAATCTATGGTAGAACCAATACCTCATCAACAAACATACAAACTATAATCCCATACTGAACTTCCTTTATTCAACAATGGAGAACATAAAATATATCTATATATACAAAATGTTACATGATGCCCTCGCTAGCCTGAGATCAAAAGATGCTATTGCTGTACCAAGGATATTGCATTAAGGCGGATATTACAAAAAAATAAAATAAATATAATATAATAAATAATAAGATCTAACTTCTAGTTTAAACTACTTGCTTAACTTTAAAAGTACACAAATATTACTGTCATGAAAAGCGATGCCATAACATAGTTTACATTATACTATATGGGTAAATTATAAAACTTAAACAAATAGGAAATTACAATATATATATATTTATAAAAAAAAAAAGAAATATCACAAATTTTCAGGCATACATCAGTAAATTTAATTCTAATACTTATTCGAATAGAACAAATCTTTTCTAAATTAATCGACCATTCTCGTAACAATAATAGTTTAATAATCTATAGGCTTAATAATGGATGAAGTAAACCCTATGCCGTAAAGTAAAATAGATGTAATCGGGACGTATTTTCATAAAAAATAAGTTAATTTTACAGATTCAGTCAAGAGCTTAACACATTAAGCAGATTATTTTGATGCAAGATCTCAGACAAATGAGGTCGAAATATACAAATACCTTTAACTAGTTATAGCATAACTTCATTAAAGCTAGCGACTTATACTTGACACCTTGGGAACTAATAGTTCCACCTTCTTAAAGAGGTAAGGAAGATAAGTAAATGGCTAAATTAGCAGCAGTATACGGTAATGGTAAATGTTAATATCCTACAATCAATTTTACCAAAACATGTTATTAAATTAATATCATAAATAGTGTTATTTAATCTGGTAACCACAAAATGAGAAGTTTAAGAAATAAAAATGTATTGGCAAAATAACAGAATTACTAAAACTTTTAGTTGTTGAAGCAATATTCAATCATATTATGTTTTTGATTCAATTAACAAAGTTTCTTCTTTTGCTAACAGAATAAAACTTAATTATACTATCTTTCTGCTAATAATTTTATTTAGTCCCTCGTATCTATACCATGTACAATAATTGAACAATGTAATTCTTGACAATATTAATTTATAACTTCATTCGCGAGTACCAAAGCAATGGCAGAGAGATTAACAAAGGTGGTACAAATTTTAAAATAATAAATTATTCGAAGAGAGACTACTATTAATAATTCAATTAAGAGGCAACTAAATTCTGGGTTGACAGTAAACCAATTAAAAATATACATATATTAATGAAATCACATGTTTAAAAAAATATCGGTAAAATTGACAGTGGTTCATTGAATTATCATATCTAAATCAACTTTAAGGTAATTGATTAAATCTGAGTGGAAATAAATAAATAAAATCCTCCAGATTACGCAATAATTAAAATTAAATTTAAATGTTGTTTGATTAAAAATATGGTTAAATGATTTATAAATGTATAATAAGCGTATGACTACTCACCCAGTATTAAGTAGATTATTAAATCGATAATAGCTTAACGAAAGCAGAGATAAGAGCAAAATTGCAAAACTTGGTGCTTAGATATGACTAGTTTTTACTAATATCAGGCTTTGGCTGTACTAAGAATTTCATCAAATTTAATAACGAACTGCAAGAACACAAATTACGGGATGAATATATCTAAATGTAACCAGTAGATCTAAGCACTATGTTTTACAATTATAAGATTATTTAAATGAATATTAACTTAAAAAGTTAATTTTACAAATAGTGTCGATAATAATGCGAATAGTACTATTATATACATCAAGTTCAACTACAGCATAGTAACTCTCTTCCTAGTCTCTTTTGCATAAATTTTAAATTTTGGAAATGAAACAAATAGTCTAAGAGTTTCTAAAAAAATATGGAAGAATACATTAATATATTATAATTAAGGAAATATAGACCTTAGAAATATGAAAAACATTCTACTGAAGTCGAACATGTCATTGTTAACATAAGCAAAATTAACAATATTCAACAGAAAAAGTAAAAACATTTCTTTCTTCTTTAACATTGCAGCTCAAAACAAAGAAAAATAAATTAAATTGTTGATTTAAAAAAAAATTAGTTGTATTTTTTCTTTTTATGCAGCTCTTAAGAACATAGCTATCGATACTTTTATGTATATACACTTTTTTTTTTTTTTTAAGAATTAAATCAATAAAGTAGCCAAGAATACTGGTGTTATACAAGCTCTTATCTATTTAAAAATATACAATAAAAATTCACCTATAAAAACATTGAGGAAATAGTCCTAAGAGAAGCATGATAACTTGAACACATCATGAATAATTTCATGTTTGAATAATACAAAAACTTTTTACAAATTAAAACTGTTTCGTTGATAGCAGTTTAAGTATATTTAATGTAATATATAGAAATTTACAATAGACTAACCTAACTATAAAACAAACTTAAAACACGATATACACTTTATTCATATATTTACAATTTGTTCATTTATCGTTGCAATTTATAATACATATAACACATTCCATACATTGTTTTATATATAAATATATACATTCTCGACTGTTATTATTACTTTACAGGCATTAACAAATAGTTTAATTTTTTTAATGAGGATTTGACATAAGATTGCTAATAATCGTTTACGTTGTGCATAGTGTATACAATTTTAAGAGCTCAATATCATTATTGGCATAATTTACATTAGTATGATACAACCCATCCTCTGAGTAATATATACAAAAATATTTATAATATTATCTATAAAGTACTGCGGATAAGAATATACAAGATAAAAACATTATTTTTTCCCTTTTTATTATTAGAAAAATCTAAATAACCCCAGAATAACGTTTTAAAAATAAAATCGCAATTACACGAGGAATAAAATTCCTATTACATGAGCTGTTAGGCTCTAAAAGCAGTCTCGTTGACGGAATTTAATATTTAACCATTTTTCATAACAACTAATAATTTTACAATTTGTTCCCCCTATCACACCAGATCAATACTCAATAAAATATAATTAAAAACAAAAATCCATATGGTGGATACAGATAACTAAAATAACTCAATATGTAAACCAACTTGCAAATTACTACCAACCATTTAAGCGAGGGGGAAAATATTAAAATAAAAGAATTCTAACATTCTTAAAAACTTTAGGCTATTGATATGCCAACGAAACGGATTGCTTTACAATGTTTGAGCTAAATGTGACTGTCTTCTTTTCTCAACTTTATTTGAATACTCACTGAAACATATTCCTTGATTGTGAAACTCTTTTTGTGGTACATTCAGTTCATGCTCATTCGTTTGATTCTATCGATTGAACACTTTCATTGATAAAATATACTTTGGACAGAGCAGAACACGGCATATTGCACTTTCTTTATGATTTGGTCATTATTATAGGAACTCTTCACTGTCTGCTTACTTTGGTAGCAGGTGAATTCAATTGTGAGGGATAAACTGATAACAGTTCTAGCAATAGTCATTAAAAGGTGTAATCACGTTGAGGCAAAAAGGTATCGGACATGTTACCTAACTCACATCTTTTTCTTCTCTTCATTCGAAAGCTGAAAAAAAAAAAAAAAAATTAGCCAAGTTAAAAACAGATATGATAAACCGTGTTTTATTAATCTGATAGGGTTAGAATGATAGTAGTTGTTTTTTGTCTCAATAGGATATCAACTAAAACCTTTTTTATTTTATTTATTTATTTTTTCTTTCTTCCCTACCTCGTCTTTTAGTCTTTACGGGATTTTCCCGGGCCGGGGGGTGAGGGCAGGGAATTTAAATCCCCTCCGGCACCGGGATGCAAACTCGTACTTTTTAAATCATCTCAAATCTCTGTTATCCGGTTGCCAGGCAACTAGCGGTGCTGTGCACACGCTTTAGCCCATTCGGCCACCCCGCCCCCAATCAACTAAAACCTGTTGACAAGATTTTTAGGCCGTTTTTGGAAAAATTCCCTAAAAATTTTTTTTTAATTTCATGATGGATATGTTTAGGTATCTAACCCTAATAAAAATTAAACAGCCTCTCTTCAGTATGAAATATCAAAGCAACCTATTTTGATAATAAGAACTACTTTATAGAATACTGACTTTTAAAATTATTTTATGAAGCCAAAACATTATTTTTTTTGTTGCCTTTTTGGAGGTATAAAAATATTTTTTAAAAACACAAATTAACTTTACTGGCAGAGAAATAGTTTTAAAAATATAATTGTTAATAAAATTAACGTTAATCACAAAACATTGATGAACACAACGTAATTTCCTTTGATGTGTCATACAGATGTACAAATGTTATATAATATTGAGATATGTATCACAATCATATAAAGATATTGTGACAAATAATAATCCTGAATCGTAATGGCAAAGTTGTACTTGCCGATAAAATAACATATAGTATAAAATGAAATAATACTTTTGTTTGTTATAGCCTCATGGAAAAACGATAATAACGAACTCCTCACCACCTTTTGGTCGCAATTTAGAGCATTTTACAAATTAAAAAGAAAAATTGATATTAATCTATTACTCAATAATACCACAAAATATCATTGGTTAATTTAACTAACCTTCAAACTTGTAGAGGATTTACTTATTACCCTGTTTTTCTAGAGTCGAAACTCTAAATAAGAAAGAGCTTGGGAGAATATTGGATTAATAATAACTAAAGGTATACAATTTGGGTGAGTTTCTATAGAGAAGTTGCAACGAAGGGGGACAATTATTTAGGGTAGATTAACTATATTGGTAAATTCAGTCCAAAAACTTATAACATTAAATTAAAAATAATTTACAGTTGGTAATTTGGTAATAAAGTTGGTAAATTCAGCCCAAAAACTTATAACATTAAATTAAAAAATTTAAAGTTTTTTGGGATATAATTTATAAGCAATCTTAAATATTCTCTAAACAAACTCACATCGATTGTATTCCTCACACAATTTTTAGTGTTTTTTTTTTTTCCATACTTCTTCTATTACTCCATAGTTTATAATTTTTATGAGTCGTTCTTTCACTTATTTGTAATAAAATTAATAATAGTTAATTAAAATATAACTAATAAAAATAAAGTAACTCACTCCCAGGCTCTCAACATTGACAAGTTAAAAATACTTACTCGAAAACTTACTCAAGAGATGTGATGCATCAGGCGGTGCATAGTTCAAAAAATCCCAGATTAAAATTGTATCATCATGCGATGAAGATACTATCTGGAACTCGTCAAATTGCAGTCTGAACACGCGTCCAGTATGCTCCTTAGAAAAATAAATAAATTAATATTACAAATAAAAGTGAGTAAAATAAGCATAATGATTTCGTTCTAAATTAAATGGTAAAAATCATCTTTTAAAAATTTATTTAAACTAACATTTTGAAATAACTTTAAGACAAGGCAATCAGTTGACTTTAAATAGCTACTATAATCATACATCACGCAAGTCATTGTCAGTAAACTCATCCGTTAAATTTTCAATTTTTCTATAATCATTTTCACATTACAAAGAATGGTCGCACACTTTTTTCCAATCAACAGCACTGATCATATTGGCCGCCCCTCACATTTATTAAGTCGGATAATTTTTCCATTTTTAGTTCCAATTATTTTTCACAAAATATCCTTTTATATTGGCCCATATTTTTTTTATTAGATTTAATTCTGGGTGATACGGTGGCAATCTAAGGATGCCGAAATTATATTCTTTCAAAATTTCATCAAAATAATATTTAGTGTGAAAATCCTTGTTAATTTTTATGTTCGTACAACTTAGTATTCAACATTTTTTTATTTGTCAGCCATTCTACCCTATTATTTTTTTTTAATTGGATGTCGGCACCTTTTCTTATAGCTTATTATGATAGGAAGCGTTATCTACAACCAAAACAGCTCTTGAAGATAAATTGGGTAATAATTTTTCACGTAACTATTTTTCGTAATTTGTTGCGTTTATGTCTCCACTTTTAAGATGGGATTGAAAAGTTAAGAAGGCCCTTGAAATGAAACGATTTTCAGATCCTACAAGAACTATTATCATCCTTGTTTTCTAGCTAATTTTTTTTTAAAGCTCAACTGAGTTCCAACAGCCCAGATGAAATTATTCTCATGTGTTGAATGAACATAGCTTTCATCTGAGTAAACAATGGGACAACCTTCTTTTCGATATTTAGTTATTTGGTTCAAATATTTTATTTTTTTGAGTCATAAGTCACTTTTCGCAATCAAAGTTTTTCGATTGTCGAGTGGATAGTTTTTCCTCTATCCAATTTACTTCACATAGAATGTTTTCTATAAATTGATAAAAAAAAAAAAGAATAATAAAAGAAATTTCTACTTGTAAGAAAAAATTTAGAAGTATGTTTGGATGAGTAGAGAAGAAAAAGAGGGGTAGAAAATGTTTTGCCATTGCACATCCCCTTTCCCCTCAAATCTATCTTAGATAGAGTCTACCTAATTATTTAAATATAACATCAGACCTAGACTTATTGAACTACAGGGAAGGAAATGTATTTAACGTTAATAAACAGATGCTTTATACGTCTATGAAATATTATCATATTTCACTGCTTATTTTACATAAGTGCAATGAATAGTTTTTTAAACAACGTCATTGCCTTGATTTGATGGATTTTAAATACTTTTTCAAACTTTAAAGTACCACTTCTGGTTAGCTAATATTGACGAAAAAGTTTCTTTAGTATCCCAGGCATATATAAACCTTAAATATGCTATTTCACTTGGTTATTTGGACTCAGGAGACCTCAAAAAGTGTATTTCGATTGAAAAGTCAAATTCAAAATTTTTTACGATTGCAACACTTATCCTTACTATATATTACATAAATAGGTAAGTGAAAGTAAAAATAAGAAAACTATTAAATTTTCAGTTTCTTATAAAAAATAATAACATCACTTTAGTTATTTATATGCATAAGAATAATGTTTCTACTAGCATATTTTTAAAATTTTGTCCAGGAGCTACACTACACTTTGTACCACTTATGTATCCTGATCTTGTAGGTTATCGGCTATCCTCCTTAATTATTTGATTGACAACAAATAACACTGGGCAACAATGTATGAAAACATTTTGGGCTCAAGAATAGTCAATTCATACATATTTCCATGTGCTGAATTAAAAAACCACAGATTAGCTCTGGCTTTGGAGATAAAGTGACATTTCATTTGTAGAGTCCACAGTTTCAATTGGGGGTAATTTCTTTATTTCGGAGTTGGTACACCTGTCAAATAACAAAACACAAATGCTCTTCAGCTGTTTGTTAATAATAAAAATAGTTAATGTTGCTATGACTGTGTTTCATATAGATTCTGCTGTAATTAACGAAGAATTTTGGTTCATTATTTTCAATAATCAACCATTGTGATCGACCAAAAAATCAAAAAAACTTAACCCCCTCTCAAAATTTGAGGTTTCAAGTAGAATTCGAAAAACGAATAAAAATTTTGTTGTCCACCGTCCACGCATTTTCTCCGAAACTAATGAACCGATTTTTTTTCAAATTTGGATATAAAATCAGTGGTCACTCGAGGATGATCCTCCTTCATCGACATTACTATCCACCTTTTACTTTCAAAATGGCGGCTGAAAAACCCTCGTTGCTATAGACTAGCTCCTGAACGAATGTACTGATTTCAATGAAACTTCGCCAAAGTCATTTTCCCGATGCCCTTTAAATTTATTTATATCACATACTTCAACGAAAAGAAGCTAGAAAAAAAGTTACGAGGGATGGTAAAACTAAATTCTGAATAACTCAAAAACTTTACACTTTTTTGTTGATATTGTATACTGTTTTTTAAAAGCTTACGGAATTTCCTAAAGAACAAAAAAAAATCGTCAAAATCGGACAATTAGGAGCAAAGATATGGTCTTCAGTTCTTTTTTATAAGTTCTGCTCCAAATGTTATATCGTTTGTTTGGTTTTTAAATTTTGAATGTGTTACTAAACTGAAGTAATGCTATTTTTTTTTAGCATATTACTAATGATTAAAAATAAGAAAGTTTAGTCCAATAATTGGAATCACCTTTTATTTATTTTTCTTTGTAACTAGGAAGGTAATGTTACTTTAGACGTATAATTGTTTGGAAATAATAAACCATTGTGAAATAATTTGCAGCGTTTCTGGTTTGAGAGTGTCTTTTTAGTGAATAATTCGTAAAAAGGCTACAAAAATGTATAAATACGGTGAATGAATTTTGTTAAATTTGTGGTGAAATAAGATTTTCCTCACAGAAACGCAATTTTACGCCCCTTGTTAAAACTGCCAAGTAGTAGACAACCCCCTGTATTTACTTCTTTATGTGAGGAAATTAGAAGGAGTATATAATATAAAGGAATGTGAGGTTGCACGATGAATTGTACTCAATTGTGCAGAGGAACAAATTCATTGAAAAGTCTCATATCGATAAACAATCGCTGAAGAAGGAAAATGGTCCCGGTCAGGTAACAGCAGCTGGAGAAAGACGCCAGGGAGAGAAGGGGGACTTGAGGCTAGGACACGGATGCGAGAGAACGCTAGGCCTGGACAGGAAGGAAGGAGGTTGTCAGAAGAGAGAGATACTATATTGAAGACTAAGAAATCAACCCTACAGTTATAAGACTTTTATACATTTATTTATTTAGCTGTCCTATATGCCTCACGATTGAAGAATAATAAACCAGGTGAGTCAATTCATTCAAAGTGTGTTTACTAAGTCCCACATTTCATATATATATATTCTTATTGTTTCTTCTCATTCAATGTCACAAAAGGTATTAGATTCCCAAATTATCCACAACAGTTAAAAACCCTCAAAAAGTCGATATCCAGTGCCGGGGTTTTGTTTTAATAATCACGAGTGTAAATAACCTAGTTCCCCGATATAAAAGCGGAAGGCTATTCGCCAATTCCTGCCAAAACTAATTATTTAAAATTTTAATTTTCAACATGTTATTTACAGCCTATCAGCATTATTTCGGTATTAAAGTAGGGGACCAGGATAAGCCTAGGGCTCCATTGTCATATTCATTTTTCTCAACCCAACATTAGTAATAATTGACTCATAAAGTGCTGGAAACATTCACAAATTTGTTTTTTGTTGCCCAGAGTCATTAGAGAAAAAGAAAATTTCAATAAACTTACTACAAGCGTTCGAAGGCATAGGGTACTAGCAGGAGCTCTTGGATCTAAGGCAGCCACTAAGTTCCAAACTTTAATTTTCCTGTAAAGAACAATTAACAATTAAGAGCGAGCTACAAGAAAAAAAAAATGATTTTGAATAATAAAATTATTTTATTTGGATTTGGATAAATAAAAAACATGTCTCTTGTTGTGACAAATAAGGAGTTTCATACCCGTCATAGGCTCCGGACACAATTCTTTTACTATCGAATCTGATACACCTCACCAGTTCTTCATGTCCTTCCAATACTCTCAAACATGCACCACATTCAATGTCCCACAGTCTGAAAAGAAATTATTTAAAAAATCAAATTAAATAAAAACCTTTCAAGTTGATATAGATAATAACAAATTTTAAAAATGTATGTATTTTTGAGATATAGATATTAAGATGTTTGACTGCCGACCTAAGAAATGAATTTTCTTGACTAGGACTCTATGAATCAACTATTAGTTTTCTTAGTCTCCATATTTGTATAATTACAATAAAATTTAAATAATTTTTAATAATACATGATTAAATTAAATTGTTTTATTTTTATATAAATTAGGCCAATTATCACCAAACATTTTATTGATACGCTATTCAATTCGACGTTTCGACCATACTAAGGCTCATTTTCAAGTCTTGATGAGTCCTCAATTATATATTCATCATTGATTTCTGATTAAATTCGGTTTTTTGTTTAAAAATTTACTACGATAGTTATTTTTGTTATGGTTTATTTTCTGCTGTTTGTTAGTCCATCCAGAAATGACGTAGGTGAAACCCCTAAAGACCATGACAATTCAATGTTCATTGAACATATTATTTGCGACATTAATGATGAATATATAACGGAGGACTAACCAAGACTTGAAAATGACCCTTAGTATGGTCGAAACATCGAATTAAATAGCGTATCAATAAAATGTTTGGCGATAATTGGCCTAATTTATATAAAAATAAAACCACAAGACACCAAAATTAGGATAAATGAACAGAAGTAAATTAAATTGGCTTTTTACTCTAGAAATCTGTAAAGCATAGTGGGCAGTCAAAGTACTTAACGAGAAACCTACCACATGCAAAAAGAAATTAATAAAACAACAAAATTTTATTATTTTGTCTTTTTCAAGTTGGGGAAGTTTGTTAATTATTTAAAGGTTGGCAAATAAGAAACTACCCTAAAAATTTAACATAAAAACTTACACAAAAATTTTATATCTAAAATAATAGTAAGTTAAACAAAATTAAGTAATAAGTAGTTTTAAAACAAAATTGATACAGGTGTAAGACAAGTGCTAGAAGTAATAAAATACATTTATTGAGTTTTTTTTATTAAACAAACTAGCCATAATAGGGTCTGGAATGATTCAACCAGATATTCCTCTGGGCATGGATTCAACGAAAAGAATTATAAAACGGACCCCCCAAAATTCACTGAAAGAGAAATATGCACAAAAAATTGAAGGGAAACGATGGAGTGGATTGCTCAAAGAAAGTGGCAGGATCCCTAGAGGGCAAGCCGTGGCATGCTTTAGATTGCTCACAGGCCATGGTTTCCTTCAGAAGCACCTCCACCGCATCGGTATAAAAGATAGCCCGACATGCCCTTTATGTTCCTTAGACATGATGACAGGAGAACATCTTGATACATGCCCTGCATTACAGGACAAGATGTTGCTTTAATGAAATGGACAGCCCTTATGCCAGGAGAGCAAAATTATATTGGACTGCAAAAGCACGCATGGCTGAAAAAGCAGGCGTTACTTAGGCGTAGGGAAAAAAAAATAGTTTTTTTTATTAAAAATATTTTTACTCCAAAAACTCTTCTTTTTCATCCCTCCATTTGCCTTTCAACGTTGGACTTCAAACCATAAGTTTTTATTTATCCCTGACAAAAACTTGAGTACTATAAAATGATTATTTATTATTGACTTTCCTAGACTTGGTTTCTGATCTCTCTTAATACCACAATGTTTGCAGCTGTATAAATCACGCTTTTATGATCTAAGGCCTACTCCTGACCACACCTTCCAGGAGCATTGTTATTTCAAGTTTTTAGGTAAACATGAATGACCTCCCCCCATTTTTTCCCTTTATAATTATGACTTTAATTCTATTGCAAGCTCACAATTAATACATCCAACTGGTCATTCTCCTTTTTAAAAAAGAATCAATTAATTTTGGTCTTCGTGAGTCAGGCAGTAAGCAGTCATAAATTATATGCTTACAAGTTTGTTCTAGCCCATCAGAGAACAATTATATTATTTATTTAATTAAATCTTTTTAAAAGGGATTCGTTCTGAAACCTGTGCCAATTCATAATGTAGAGATTAGAGTAAACTAAGTTATAAGTGTTTGTTATTAGGGGAACAAAAATAAATAGCCTGAGTTACTCTGATGAAAATCGGGAGTCTACAAGAGTTTGACACCTTGATTCTTCGGATACATACAATTTATAAAATAATTCAAAAAATATTTAATTTAGTAAATCATTCAAAATGAAGTTAGTAAAACATTTACTTTCTGATAAAATTTATAAAAAGTCTTGACTTTACATTGGTTCTCTAAGTCTGTAAACATCGTAAGAAAAAAAGGAGTTCTTTCTTAATAAAAATATATAGTAACCAGACTAACAGGCACAGTCAAGTTATAAACTTCACGGTGTTGAATGACAACACATAGCATAATATAATAACATTAGATAGATATATGCAAAAGAAACAATTATCATTCGGTAAATATTAAATAATCAAGGCATTACCTAATAGTGTTGTCAGAAGATCCGCTAACAACTAAACGATCTCTATATTGCAGGCATGCGATACCACGTTTGTGACCGTTCAATGTACGTACAAATTCACACGATGCAGTGTTCCATACTTTAATTGTCCTATCACCTGACGCCGACACAATATATTTCTCATCAAAATCGACTACATTTACAGCGGCTCTATGACCGACGAGAACTCTTCTTAGAGTTATTTCAGTAGGTGAATACATGTCCCAGACAGCGATAGATCTGTCCTGAAAAAAAGAAAACAATATTAATAAGTAGAAAACTAGTTAATTTGTCTACAAGAAAATCTAGATCACATAGGAGCTAAAGAAGGGAAAAGGCAAATGTATATAAATGAAAAAGAAATAAATCAAAGATAAAAAAAAATTAGCAAAATTTAAAAAAAAGAAAACCTGCACCACTAACAACCCATGAAGGGTATTGGGTTCAGTACAATGTGAGGAAATACTAAACCAACGGTTATGCACAGAGGTAATCGGGCCGAGATCACACTCAACCACCAGGTTTTTCCTCCTTAGTTAATTATTAAATTAAAAAAAAGAAAAGAGTTATTTCAATTTGATGAAAATACTGTTGATAGAATACTCAATAATGAAGGTTTTAATATACTACTACATAAGAATATAAAAATAAAAAGTAAATACATACTTTAGAACATGTAACCATCATTCCATTTGAAAATCTTAAATGCAATACAGCTTCACAATGATGTATGAGAGTGTTGACCATCTCTCCCGAAACGACATCCCAAACCCTAACAGTACTATCACTGGAACCACTAATGATTACCTGAAACAAATACAAATACAATTACAATAAATATTATAATGTACAAATATAATTAGCAAATTATCAATGTATGTTTTTAATTTAACCCTTCAAACTTATCCATTAATAGAGGCAAGATACGGTTAATTGTAACATTGTTCCAAATAAATAAACTAAGATTACCTGTCTTTACCAATGGAGAAAGAAAATATAGTTTGAAAGAATATTTTATAAATGATTAATTGTATCCATCAATCCAAATCTTGTATTGGTGCTTCGATTAAATGTCAATATTATAAAACAGCTTTAGAAAAATTATTAAAGAGAAATCAAGGAATTAAAAATCTGCTGCGCGCATCACACAACTTTCACTTATCACCCTCTTCTTAGCAGAACTAAGTAAGTATTTTCAGACAAAGGTGAAGTAAAAGTAAAAATTATAGACACTATATTTATTTATTAAGGAAGAAGACGGTCCGGAGTGGCGGTCATAAATAGGCTAAATAGTGGCAAAACTATCTTATTAAAAGACAACGTTTCGACCCGACTTTGCAAGTCATCTTCAGGGAGGTGTGTTACACAAAGAGTTTCACTTCAGTTTTAAGTGAAAATCTTTGCTGAACCCACCTTTGTTTGAAATTAAAAAAAATTAAAGGTATTTTAGGGGAAGCTAATAGTGAAAATCAGCCACTTAAGCCCTGTTAGAGAACATTAATCAGAATAAAAACTACATTTTGTTTAAAACTGCTTAATTTTACACAGATATAATGAATTTAATCAAAATCGTTAGAGCCGTTTTCAAAAAATGTGTTTAGTCCATTATAAAAAGTACCACTTCTGGTTAGCCGATTTTGACGAAAACGTTGCTGTACCATCTCTAGTATATATAAACCTTAAATATGGAATTTCACTTTCGTTCGACTCTTCTTTTATGAGCTAGACTATGGGGCGCTGATGACCCTGATGTTTTGCGCCTAGACATCAAAACAAACTAACAAAACTGATGGAATGATGATGATAAGTAATAACATCCAAATATTTTGACAATCCAGTAGATATTCACATTGTTACCGATTGTACATTTCTTGCAAGTAATTATATCAACATCAAATGATCTTGTGAAAAAAAAAAACAATTCATTTTCTAATATCTTATAATTTTTATGTTTTTAATTTACTTATCTTGAGGTTATTTTATTTTTTATTGTATATAGTTATTGATTAATATTCAGTTATTATTTTACTTTTGTTAGCTTTATGTTTTCTGTTTATATGGTGTGAATGTGTTCAATAGCTCACTATAATTATTGTCCACATGACAGGTTATTATATTTCTAAATAAAATAATATCTTCGGGTAACATGGGAAGAGCTTGATGTACATTTTCTCATGTTATTCTTTTTCTAAAATCGGTTTTATTTTTGTCAATAATTTATTATATAAACTGACTAGTAAATTTGATAATTCTCGGAAATTCTCTTCGTAAAAACACAGACCATTTTGCGGGGCATGGTTATTTGGCCTCAGGGAACCTCAAAACGTGTATTTCTGTTGAAAACTCAGATTAGAAAATTTTCACGATCGCAATACTTTCCTTTACTATATATTTCATATATAGGTAACCGAAAGTAAAAATGTCTTCAATTCAATTAGCCAACAGTTAGCACATTCGTGCTACTTTTTTTTTTAATGTGGATTGAAGAAAGCCTTTTAAGGTCCACTACAATATAAACAAAAACAAACCACCTTTTATGACCCCGACCTTTTTATTATAATACAATTTATATTTATCGAAAAGTTATATATATATATATAATACCTTATCGTCATACTGTAGGCAGAGGACTGAGCCAGTGTGACCAGTCAAAACTTTAACACATTGAAGAGTGTACCTGTCCCAGATTTTGATGGTATTGTCTCTTAAACCAGAAACTATTTTGTGATCATCATACTGAAGGCAGTAAACTCCTTTAGAATTTTCAGAACGGCAATTTATCCGCTGCAAATTGTGTCGACCCATCCTCCAGTTGTTTTCAATGCTCTATGAAAAAAAAAGATATATAAAATTATATGAATAACCTACAATTATGTTGGCAAAAATAAAAAAATTTTTAAAAAAGACTGCGTCCTGAATATTTATCACCCACTACAATTATGAACAAAATATGAAACACTTTAAAACTATTAGATAAGTGATACTTAATAAAATCCGTACATAAATCATTAATGATGTAGAGATGGTTGACCATGATATAATATGAGGAGTTGATCGGGCGGGGGGTGCTGTGAAATAAGTACTAAATTATACAAATATCGTTTAATTTTTGCTGACGTTTCGACCCACTTTGCAGGTCTTCATCAGGGCTACAAAAGATACAAAATATGGTGAAAATAAAATAAATGAATATAAGTAGATATAAAATAAGAAGAAGTTGTCTGATAAAGAAATAAAAAGATGATATCAGAGATATAGTGGGTGACAATGTAGTTAAAATATCATATATATAATACTTGTATATTGCTTTACTTGTACACTTGTATTCTGTATGTATTGTAATACTATATAAATATCATATATGTATAATACTTGATATTTTAACTACATTGTCAACCACTATATCTCTGAATATTATCTTTTTATTTCTTTATCAGACAACTTCTTCTTATTTTATATCTATTTATATTCATTTATTTTATTTTCACCATGTTTTGTATCTTTTGTAGCCCTGATGAAGACATGCAAAGTGGGTCGAAACGTCAGCAAAAATTAAACAATACTATCTGTATAATTTGGTATTTATTTGACAGCATTCCCTGATCAACTCCTTTTCATAAGCCATTAATAATATATTGCAGTTTGCATAGATTTTTAATTGCAAGGATATATATTATAATAATTTTTATGTATTCAGCCAGTTAAAAAAACAGACGCTTTTGATGAACTAAATTTAACAATGCATTGATAATTTATAATTTAAATTATTATTTGAAGTACAATTTTTAACAGGTTATCTATTACAAACTTAGCATAAAAAGACTGATAACAGTCTTCTTCATAAAAAAATCAATACGACTAAAATCATTACAACTAATTATCTGAACTAACACTATTAACCATTTATTTATTTATATTTTTTACCTTCCCTTCCTTGCCTAGTGTATGTATATATGTGTATAGGGTTTTTCTGGGACAGAGGGTTAAATACTAGAGTTAAAAGACCTTCTCGAGACCAAACTCATGATTATTATTTACCTCTAAACTTCAGTTTATCATCTAGCTGCTGAGCAACGCCCAGTGCTGTGCACACGTATCAGCCCGCTCGGCTGCCCTGCCCCTTGACACCATTAACCTAACTGAACCTATCTAATCTATTAACTGAACTGCATATATGTATAAAATCTTTATAACCTACAGAAGATTCTAGGCCATGCATGGCTACTCTCTTCAATTAACTTATTAAAATCCTTCAAATTAAAGTAAATCATTAAAATAATCTCCATGTAATATAAAGTAAGGCCGTATTATTTCGCCATTTGTTTATTTTCTTTTTTTATATTTTACATAGGCTTACCTTATATTTGTGAACATTGCCTAAAACAAAAAAACATACATGAATTTAAACATGACCGTTCAGAGGCTAAATAGGTCAAGGATTCAGGAGATTTGGATTTGACTTAAATCTTTTATTAATTTTTTTTTTTTTTTTTTTTTTTTTTTTTTTATTTCAATGGAATTTACAACTGTATTACATAGAGAATACAACAAGTAAATGAGAAATTTGTAACATGGCATGTACAACATGAAGAGAAACTACCCATTGGTAGAACTCAAATTAAAGTTCTATATTAGAAGATCCCGAGGCCATCTTCTTTTCAGACGCCTCGGAGGGTTATCAGGGATCGAGGAGGAAGCAAGGTTTGAAACGAGAGGATTCGGATGATTCTGCAGTTTGTTATGGAAGGAAAGATATCTGGATTGGGCCAGATCGGAAACATATGGAACATTAAGGTCTTTATGGATGATTTTATTTGTGACAAAGTAAGGAGCGTTGAGGATTTTACGAAGGATTTTGGATTGTAAGGATTGGATACGAGAGGAATTCGATGGTTTAGTGGAGCCCCAAAGCTCAATTCCGTAAGTCCAAATAGGTCTTATTATTGTCATATATACGAGTCGTTTATAATTGATTGAAAGCTTAGATCGTTTGTCTAGTAAGTGCTGCAGTAGTCGAAAACGTCGGGCGGTTTCTAGTCGTTTCAGTCTGGTATGGGGGTTCCAAGTGAGTCGTTTGTCAAGGTGGAGTCCTAAGTAGCGGATTTGCTCAACAGGAATAAGTGGAGTATTATTGAAGGATACTGTAGGACAAGAGGTCATAGGTTTACGAAGGAGGGTAAAAGTGATTTGATGGGATTTGTTGGAATTTATTTTTATTCTCCAATTTTTACACCATTCCTCAAGGCTTGTGATATGTGATTGAAGAGTTTGGGATGCAATTAAAGGATCGTTATTAACTGATAGGATACACGTGTCATCGGCATAGGTGGTGATGACAGTGTTGGTTTTATTAATTTAAGTGATAAATATGTAAAAGATGGCTTGGAAATGGGATCATAGGCGAAACGTAGCCAATGTAAAAAAAAAAAAATAAAAAATAAAAGAAACAAATGGTGAAATAATACAGCTTTACTTTATATTATTGAATATAATTTCACCTAAAACAAAAAACATACATAAATTTCATCGGTTTTCAGGCTGTCAAACATCTCAAAATGTCCAAACGCCATGGTGATCACAGCTATTTATTTCTCTACCACTTATTGTCCCTTTAAGTTCCTAGCTACCCCAAACCTTAAGAACTCGCGGTTTTTCAAATAGCTTAAAAAACAGTTGCAGAACACTCCTTACACCACTAGTGTTATACTTTTAGTGTCATAGTTTTTCTTGGATCTTTTTGGTGTTTGAGGTCGAATTGAAGTTTTGGATCTGCTAGCTGTTTTACACGGTGGGCCAGACCCCCCTACCGTGCACCCTCCCCACATCCCTATAAATTGCATATCGTTGTGTTCCTTGTAACTATTTATTAAAAAAAAAAGCCAATGTTCGCACAAACAAAAATGAACACATTGCCCCAAAATGGCGTCTGAACATGGCGGATTGACGACTTTGACTTTAGTTAATTTTTTCGTTACTGAGAATCAGCATTTGGATTAATTTCGTCATAGTTGGTCTTTTATTAAAGCTGAATAGTCAGATCATAATAAAACATTTAAAAATATTAAAAAATAATTGGCTTAGGCAGTAAAAAACACCTGTAAAGTCAACTTTTACAACAAAAAAAAATCACATTTAAAATTAAGTGTCGTTTGTAAGTAAACGGAAAACAATAACACAAAACGTGCTGAAATAAAACCTCTGAAGAATATATTTCTCTTTCTAAAACACTGATTACTTTTTCAAATATTTGAAGTAGTTCCGTAGAAAATGCACTCAAGCGGCAGAAAAGCGGTACTGGAGTAGGTGCCTACAGGCCTCTACCACACCATTCAGTGCTCATAAATGGCTTAATTATAGTACTATAATAATGTTTTTGGTACATAATATTGATTGCATTAACGAACAAATATTAATGCAATAATTTAATTGTCCAAAAAATTTTTTTTTTTAATTTAACTTCCTTTATTCTGTATGCAGATAGTTTAAGAAGGCCTCTATTGTAAAAATGATATCACTATAATAATAAAACTTGATTCAAAAATACTTTGCTAAATATCTAGAATTTTTTATTTAACGTTTGCAATTTAACACTTTGTTTTGTATATTTATTGATCTTTAGAGGTAATTTAAACTGTATATACTTCCCCGGAAATTAGTCACATTAATACCAGTTTTATAAACTAAAATAATATATACCTAATCAGAACTACATATAATGAATAGTTGATGGGTTGTTTGGTAAAACTCATATATGACAAATCAAAAAAATTAATTTCATTATTTTGTTTGGAACTTGGGTCATATCATAAAAAAACAGGAAATTTTAAATATTGAATGCATTATTCTCTCTGCACAAAAAAAGATGGAAAGAGTGAAGCAGCTATAAGTTCTTCTAGATAACCTGAACTGATTGTTAGTATTTGGTCTCAAAATGGGGGAAAACGTAAAATTGAACACAAACATTGGAAAAATACATTAAGATAACAAGAAAGGAAGTGACAAAATCTCTTTAAAGAAAACAAGGATAAAAACCATTCAAGAATAAAAATTGTAATAATGTTTAAGATATAAATATATAATCTAAAATCTATTAATGACAAAATCTTTTTCCTTACCTCTATATCTTGAATTATTTTAGGAAATAGAGACCTATAAAACTTATGGTTTGGGTGTGCCTTTCCGGGTTTTGGTTTGAATAAATAATTTATCCTGAAAAAATAAATAAATTAACAATAATGATAATGATCAAATTAAGAGAACTAAAAATAAAAAAACAAAAACCAGTTATTACCATGTTCTCCGTTCAGCAAGCCCCCTCCATAAGGAGTCAGTTCTAACCTTTCTCTCTATCAACTTTTTCCACAACATTCCTTCGGAAATTACTCTGTACCATTCTTTACATACTAATTCGGCTGAACACAACGAATCAGCATCGAGATAAGAAAGAATATTTTCAGCAACATGATCCAATCCTTTCTCTGAAATATAAACATTGAAGGGTTACTTCTGTCTACTTTGTATTATTGCAATAAATACAATTCTCAATAAATTCATATTCATAATTATGAGAATTGATTATACTGAAGATATGAAAGATACTAAATTTTATTTTCTCCCTAGATTACCTAAAGGCAATTTGAATTTGGCTGTGGTGATTCGATATATTCTAAAGCTGATATTCTTAGGGGACATTATGTCCCAGTACAAGATAATTTTCATTCATTCATCAGTACAAGTTAATTTTCATTCATTCATGATTGTAAGGATTATAGTTGACTGCCATACACATCAAAAACACAACAGCTACTACTTGAGTCAATACTACTATCAAATTCATAGCGGTACAGGTACTGGTGAAGAAGGGAGACAAATCCGGCAAGTTGGCCTCGCAGTCCTTTCGCCAATCTTAAATAAGGTATACCAATGGAAACTATTTTTCCTCCATCTCGAAGCGTTTTATTTTACACATGAAACTCAAACAGGACAGCCATTCAATGGAGAAACCCTTTTATAATAAGATTTTGTCAAATCATAGCATGCTATACCTAAACAATGGTTTAGATTCTTAGATTATTAACATAATGGTTGCAATCTACTACATAATATAGGGCAGTTTCTCACGCCTTCAGGCACAAATGATAGATTTCGTCCCTTACTATCACACAGATCTCTAAATGTCTTTTGAGTCGATGGCCTGTCAGTGCTCCAATAGTTCATTAAAATTCATTCCTCTTTAGACCAAGCAGCCATTTCATTATAGAGAATTAATTTTTTTTTTTAATGAATAGATTAGCTTAATAACTCAGACTGCAATAATTGTTTTCTTACTTTTGACAGCTTTAAGAATTTTAAATTTAAGTTATCTCGCAATTGAGATATTAAACTGTCACACTCTGTCTAACATATGATTGAAACACACAAACAAATAATAAATAAATAGAAATTTTAAAAAATGACAAGGAAACTTACTCGGAAGAAGTGAAATAAAATCTCTTTGCAGCATAGGCTTGAGGTAAGTATTTATATGCCCATGCTGATAATGGCACATCCGAGACAGTAAATGTTGTACGAATTCGATTTGGTGGTTTTCGCTCCATCGTTCAAAATATTTTAAGCAGGTTTCTTTTTCAGTACTGAACTGGGAATTTTCTTTTTTATTATTCCCACTTCCACACTTGTCATATAATATAGTCATACCGCCGATCTAAAAACAAAAAGTTCGTCATTTTATTAAAAAAAATTATAAAAGCCATTTATTTTTAACATTGAAGAATTAACACTATATTTAATTTATAATTCAGCATGAATAAAATTAAAAACTAACTGTAAAAATGATAGTACAAGTTAAGCCATCGACTACATAATAAACAAAAGTTAATTTGGATTAAAATCAAAATACATCTTATATCATAAAGATACCAGTGAATGAAGTAATTAATCGATCCATGTAATAGATGTATAGAAATAAACTTAAGCCACTACTAGATATGATTTTAATCTAAAAGTCATTTAAAATAAAGAAATAAAAAGTTGATATTTATATAATTAATTCACAACCTGCCATCCTCTAAATAGTAAAGTAAATATACAAAAAAAAAAAAAAAAAAAAAAAAAAAAAAAAAAAAAAAAAAAAAGAATAAAAGCACAAATTAGAATTGAAACTATAAATTTGTTTCTATTTAAAAAAAATTATTTGGTTTCTGCATATTACATAAACTTCATTATTGGAATCGTAAATAAGGGCTAATTTAGGCTTTCGTTGAGTATTTCACAAACCACCTAGTCTAGTTAGTTGTTTGAAACAAAACAAAATAGCTAGGATGAATTCCACATGACCTTGCAAACAAAGATAGGATCAGCACAAAGGCAGACGATAAAAAGGTAGGAGAAAAATAGATTTTATAATGAATATTGGATCCAGTCAGGGAAGCATATTCTAGAAAAAAGAAATATCGGATAACTCTCCCAAATCATAGTTATTATGTCAAATTAATCAATATTAATAGATTCATAGAAAATTAAATCAAGAAATAGATAGCTGCACAAGATATCCTACAGATGCGAAAAATCTCTTAAACAGGCATAAAAGGATGCCTATATCAGCTGTTCTCAAACATTATTTGCCACGGCATCTTTGCCGAGCTATAAGTTTTCTACGAAGCCTTATTGGCCTAAAAATGTTCACTGCACCTTTGTAGGATTAAAAATATTTGTAGCACATTAATCCTTAAAGCAGTATTTTTATAAAATCTTTACACATTTTTTATGCAATATACATAAACAAAAATTATAAATTTTTAGAATGTTAATTAACCTAATTCGAAATTAATTAACCTAATTCGAAATTAATTAACCTAAATTCGATGCCGCACACTGTTTGAGAACCTACGAGCTATATGAAAGAAATATCAGATGAAAACTATTGGAGAACACTTAGGACTCATTAAGAGTCTCTGAAGTCACTAGAAATATATATATATAGGTGAAAAAACAATTTTTCATAAATTTAAAACAAAAGGTGACCATCACTCAGAGCAATGGGAATCATGGTATTAATATAACAGTTAGCTATGTATATCCATTAACCCTTTGTTGATGATCAACAAACTAAAACAAGTAACCTATTCATATTGCGATAGCTAATCTAATCCATGTATGCCAATCAACAAGTACCGAAATGATTGTAGCTGTGATACGAGGGTTCAACTATACAGCTAATATGAAAATGACAACTATAAAACATACAAATGCTAATCTTTCATGAAGCAATTAATTTCTGTGTTCTGGGAGGCATACAGAAATTTAAAGAAAAAAAAAATTTTGTGGACGCTTAAAGCTCTGCTAACTTAAATATTTCAATATAATAACATATTTGTTTTTTTAAGACAAAAAATTTTGTCTATAAATGGTTATGATACCATAATATCCTAATAATGTTTAACAATTATATAAAAGTTTCTTAAAACTATGAAAAATAATTATTATTAAAATTTAAAAAAAATATTTTCTTTGAAAAGTACATTAGGTTGAAATATATTTTTAATATTAACAATCTGATGGAAAATTTAGTATAGGAGACAAACAAAACTGTATACATTTATTTAAAAATCATTTAGGTCTTATTAGTCACTTCTTTAACGCTGGAGTATCCAAGAACAGAATGAAACAGAATTTTGACAGAATAGTCAAGAAAACAAAAATTTCCAGTAATGAATTGTATTACTGAAAATAATTATACTTCATCATAAGATACTTTCAATTGACAGAATGACTAACTCCAATTTTATCATTTTTTAGTAAAGTCATTTTAGTGACATTTCTAGTTAGAAAATTTATAATACCTGTACAGACAGTGAGTAAGTTGATTCTAGAGCAGGAGATTACAGCGATGAAATATAGAATTGTGTGAATAAAGGTATAAATTTTCCTAATAGAAATATCACTAAAATTAATAATAAAAAATATAGAAATTGGAGTTAAGTCATTCTGTCAAACTGAAAGGCTCATGTACGAATATTCTACTGAGATTAAGACAAATAATTTAACAGAACCAATAAAGAAACCAACAAAATCTTATAACACAATAATCACAAAATTGTTAACATTTTAATAACCAAAGAGTAGTAGTTTCGAATCAGTACTACAAGATGGCGGGTGGTTTTAAGATCAGCCTGAGCAGATTGTAGATGAAATTCTAAAACTACCCCGATGGGCAAGAAAATAGGAGAACAATCAACAACCCCAACCCAAATGTAAACAGTGAAAAATTACCCACCATTTTAGATGAACTTAAATTTCTGTTAAGTTAGCTCAGCTCTAGCCCTAATCTTGTCCAATTCTTGTAATAGATTAATATAACAAAATAAACCAACTTATTGAAATGATCGACAGCTGTTCATTGAAACTTTCACTTCTTCCCAGGAAATAAATACTGAAAAAAGATTAATTTTTAGAATTCCGACCTATGATAATTCTGTTTCCCTGTATTTATTCACACCATTAAGCACAATAACCACGAATGACAATAATTATGCAAACAATTAAATTAAATTTTTATTTTTAATAAATTTCTCCATATCATAGACCATATAATTAAAATAAAATAATAATTAGGATAGTTAATTAGAATTACGGTGTAGTTCAAGACATGGTCAATAATTAACTACTTTTGGCATTCTTCAGGGTTCCATCAAGAGTGTGCTCGATATGATCATGAAATCAGCCACCATTTTTTAGTAGCGATGTAGGAATAACAATAACTAAAATTCTTAATTATAATGCTAAATAATAATTTTCTAAATTATATTATAAAAAACATACTGTACTAGAGGATAAACACTAAAAATGGGAAACACATCAAATTGTAATCAGACAGTTTTTAGAGCATTATAGCAATTATTGTTTGACAAACATTGTTGTCAAATATTTCAATAACTAGTTAAAGAGTATAGTTGCAATCAAACTTTGATAAGGTAATAAATATACAAGAGCAAAGGAAATTGAATAAACCAAGTTATATTTCAATTTAAAAAGGGAATTAATGACACTGATTTCTCTTGAATATGTTTTTTTAATGACTACTAAAATAAGAATTTGATGCTAATAATTTTTTGGGGATGATTTGATGTTCAACATTCATGCACCCTTATACTTAATAATACTAATAATTAAATATCCATTGCATACTCACTTATGATTAACAGATATCATATAAGTACATTCAACAATGTGTTCAGTATTTAAAAATTAATATGTGAATCTGCAAGAAAATACCCACATTGTTTAAGAACTCAAAATATTAGAAATATACTTCATGGTCATATTAGGTGAAAGTTTAGCAATCATAGCCAGTAACAAACAGTAATACTTCATTAATTTCAGTATTATATAAAATCTAAGTCTTTGAAATAATGATTCCGGGTTCATAGATTATGATTCATATTAATTAGAAAATTTACTCTTTATAAGATGTTATACTAGAAAAACATCCACGATTCGAAATAAAAATAAAATATGTTCAAATAAAAAAATTCTTACTAAACTTGAAGTTAAAAATTGAGGAAATGTTACATGAAGCAAAATATGAGCATAGACTAAATTTCAATTTAACACAATAATGCTTGATAAATGTTGATACAAAATACTGATCTCTGATAAAAGAGACAATTCCATGAGAACTATCATAAAAATAAAGCAATGATTAACATTAGTTACAAGTCACAATGACTAATAGTTTAAAAATATAAAATTTTGTCAATGTTTACTTAAGGAATGAGTCAATATAGAAATATAGATAAAGTTTTAATAATTACACTCAAAAATTACAAGTACTTAAAATTCCACAAGTTTCCAAAAATAAGCATGTATCAATTTAAAAATAAAATTTTGATATTAAGCCTTCATATTTCTAGCTTCTGTTTAATATAATAAACAAGAATACAGAATAACTTAACAAGTCGATAAGATCAAAGCATTGGAAATAAACTTATTATGGAAATAGAAATGAAACCTTCTTGTTATCTATAAATCAACACTTTCAGGATTTAGATGTAGGTTTTAATTTAAAATACCAAAACCTTTTAGTTAAAAATTGTCATACCTAGTAAACATTAAAAAAATGGGCAAAGAAAATAACTTCAATTCTAGAAAAAAAAATAAGGCATAATGTTAATATTTTGATGAAATAATATATTTTGTTCGAATACAACAGTAAATATGTGGACTTTTTACAGAATCTAGCTCAACCAAGTTTGATAAACAAAAGGAGGACACTTAGCAACACTCAGGAGACACTTGCAACAAAGCAAGAAGTTAAGGTTAACAATATTTGGATTAGTTTCTATATAAATGGACAACTTTCAAAGGTTATCAAACTGATAACGTTTTCAAATTAAGTTCAAAACTCCTTAAAATTTCAGCTAAAATATTTTATAAACAAGAAAAGAAAAAAAAAATCTATCGAGAAAACGGGTAAGGAAGTACACTGGCCATTCGAGGTGAGAACTTTCTCATAGGTCCATACCTGTGAATTGTTTAAACTGTCATCCAACACATTTTCAGTTTCCATATTAATCATAATATCACTAAATTAGTCATAAAAACTGCTGACACAATTATGGGCACTATAAACACAAAGAAAAGTCAATACAACTCACGATACTGCTATTAATGTGACGTCATTTTAGACTACAGCAACTCGGGGTAGATAGTACATTCAAAGCCTCCAGAATAGATTATAAAAAAACAAAACAGATTATTGCCAACCATCAAATGAAAATTTTTATATTTGTTAACTATTCCCGATTCATAAGAACATAGTTTTAAAAATATATATATACATTTAAAACTAAAGAATATTGAGGGTTTTTAATTTTTATTAAAATAATCATCACTTGTGTTTTATTTGTTAGAAATAGTCAATAAAAAAAAAAAATATTGGTATAAAATATTAAAAAAGATTTGTCAACAAAAAAAAAGATATTTATAATCATTTTTGTCACAAATGAAAGGGGGGGGGGATTCCTCTGGCTTACGACTTCCTTTAAGGAAACCATATACACTGCTATTGAAGTAGGAAATTGTAAGTTTTTTTCGATGGAAGATTCGAGTCAAATCACTTGCCAATTTAAGAGGAGGGTGCCTTTGGGCAAATAGTATCAGTTTCTCCAAACAAAAAAAAAGAAAACAGAAGTATACCAAAGTATATAAAAAGAAATATGAGAAGGAGTTAGTCGAGGGTGCGGTCAAATAAATAAAAAAATTAAAATATATAAATTATTTTAATTTTTGCCGACGTTTTGACCCACTTTGCAGGTCGTCTTCAGGGCGTAGGATGTGGCAGCAGCGGCGGGGGCACAAAAAAGAAATATGTATTAATTTTTTTTATTTCGTCTATTATTTTGCCACAAAATGGCAGCCAACATTCCTTAACTGGATAATTGGCGTCTATGAACCTTAAATGCTACATATTTTCTTTAAATTCAATTAAAAATAGTTTACAAGGGGTCAGATCACTTTTTCAGCAAAAATATTCAGCTATTCCACAAAACCCCTTCCTGGATCAGCTAGATATGTATATAGTTTATTTACTTATATCCTAGTTCCTTATCACTTTTATGGCTACTTAAATTTATAGTTTATACTTTAGATTTTTATTTTTAATTTAATTCTATTTAAAACAATTAGTTTAATTTTAGGAAATAATTTAATGAAAACTCTTAAATTTTTATTAGATCCTAATTTAACATATATATATATATATATATATATATATATATATAATGAATCATAATTATGCTTGGACTATTCTGAATTTTGGTTTATTATTTTCAATTATGAAAGATTGTGATCGACCAAAAAATTCAAAAACATAACCCCTCCTGCGTTGCTATAGACTGTAGCTCCTAAACGAATGCACAGATTTCAATGAAACTTCGCTGAAGTCATTTTCTCGAGGCCCTTTAAATTTATCTATATAACATACTTCAACGAAAAGAAGCTGAAAAAAAGTTACGAGGGATGGTAAAGTTAAATTCCGAATAACTCGAAAAGTTTTAAGTTTGTGGATATTGTAATGGTTTTTTAAAAGTTTACGAAATTTCCTAAAAAACAAAAAAAAAATCGTTAAAATTGGACAATTAGGAGCAAAGATATGATCTCCGTTTTTTTTTTATGTATTCTACTCCAAATGTTACATCCTTGGTTTGGTTTTTAAATTTTGAAATGTGATACTGAACTAATACTATTTTTTTTTAGCATATTACTAATTATTAAAGAAAAATAGTTTCGTCCAATAATTGGAATCATCTTTTGTTTTTTTTTTTCTTTGTAACTCGGAAGGTAATGTTACTTTAGATGTATAATTGTTTGGAGATAATAAACCATTGTGAAATAATTTGCAGCGTTTTTTTTTTTAATGAAATAAAATCAATGATATAATTTTTTTTATGTATAAAATTATATTATAATATTTTTATTATATAATTGATAATTACAAATGTTGTGGTTGTGGATAACTAGGCCATGTTTATATCACTGGTTTTATAAACAAAAATATCCAATACAACTAATAACCGTTACCATTGAACACTAGCGGATCCAGGATTTAATTTTGGGGGAGGGTGGCTTCAGCCCGAAAGCTTTTTTTTTCAAATATATAACGATAATTAATTTGAAAAAAAAAGAAAAAGAAACTAACTACCTATATGACATGGTGTTTAAGTGATTCTCGAAGTCCTATTAAGTGTAATTACCCGAACAATAATACTTTGACAGATAGTTTTTTTTTTCTATAAAACATGGTTATATTTTACCATTTTGGGGGGCCCCTCTCCTCCCGTAGATTCGCCTGTGCCATTAAAAAATTATTGATCTAAAAATGCAAAATAATAGAGCTTCGTTACTTTCTCAGGTTTATTTAGTGTTACTTTATAACAAAAAACAAATTATATTCAAAGCTTTCAACACTAGTTCAGTAATTCTTTTGGATTGGAGCTGAATTGTGTACCTCTATATTATTTTGTATAAAATTTAGTTTCTCGTTATATGAAGTAATAGATTTTTTGAACTATGTTTAAAGACCACTTTCACAAAAATATGTCAGTGATTAAATTATTACAGCAAGAAAGTGGTACTTACAACCCACTCAAACTAATTTAGGACTAATGAGGAGCTACCTTGACGAACAGGTTTAATTTTATAGTTCCCTTAACCTCGATATTGAAATTGCCTTCCGCCTACTTCAAGTTCCGCAAGACGATTGACAATCAGTGATAACAATATTAGAGGCGCTCCTGTGGCTCAAAGGTGAACTTCCAGTTTTCAATCTTATCAGTTCAAGTAATTGTAATACAGGCATATTAGCATGTTCATGAACAATTAACTATATAATATGTTTTTATTATAATAAAAAGGTTTATTCCGTTTACTCACTAGTATAGGCATATTACCCAATAATGTATTTTATTAATAAAATAATGAAGAGAAGGATAGTTGGGGTGATCAGTTAAAATAAAAATGGCAAAAATAAATAACAATATTTATTTTATTTTTTACATAAATTAGGCCAAATATCACCAAACATTTTATTGATACGCTATTTATGTATAGATGTACGCTATGTATAGATTTGGATAAATTTATGTGTATCGAAAATAATATGACATACATCGTTAGACAAGATAATTAAGTGTAATAAGAAATTCTTTTTGTAATTGTGAATGTTAACTAATAATGATATTACAATTTTCCAGGCTTGAAAATGACCCTTAGTATGGTTGAAACGTCAAATTAAATAGCGTATCAATAAAATGTTTGGTGATATTTAGCCTAATTTATGTAAAAAATAAAACCTTAAGACACCAAAATTAGGATAAATGAACAGAAGAAATATTATTATTTATTTTTGCCATTTTTATTTTGACTGATCATCCCAACTATCTGCCGGCTCTTCATTATTCACTACAGTCAACCATCCACTCACAATTTTACATAAACTAACATAATACATATAAGTAAATTGATACGGCTTAATATATTCGATATTTTTTGCTCACAAAAAATTTTTTTCTATATTTATTCTATATTTTTTTCTATATTTATTCTATATGGATTTATTTCTATGTTTATATTTCAACAAACTTTAAAAACAACATTAATTTTTTTTTCTCTGATGATGTCTAGCAATTCAAAAAAACAGCTCACTGTTTTTCAGGACCTATTAAATGAAATTTTTTATAACATCAACAAATCCAATGACACAGGTAAGAATTAGTCTTGTAATTTGTCTAACAATTTACTCCAGCCATGAATACTAACTAAAAGTAACAGATTTTGTTTCAATACTTAATCTATTCATGGCACTGGATTAAGATAACCCTACATTATTAAGGAAACAGAAGTAGACTTACATTATTACTTGATATTATTAAACTAGGGAGTGGGGTAGCTCATTGGTAAGGCACTGAGCTTCCAATGCTCAAGGTCTCTGGTTTGAATCCCGGCTCATGGCAGAAAAAAAACCAGCCTCTACAAAGTGGGTATCCTTAATTAAAAAATAATTAAGGGGAAAAACCTGGTGGTTGAATATGATCCTAGCCCGATCTTCTAACTGCACAACCGTTGGTCTTGATATAGTACTGAACTCATGAACCTTTTTGGGTTGTAATGGTAGTTTTATTTTATATATTATGAAACTAAGATATTAAATGAACTAAAATTATAGAAAGTAAATTTTAAAAAAAAATTCTTTAAATGTACAATTTGAGAAAATACAAGAAAAGTAATGGCACTTAGTAGTGGAGATAATCAATAGTTGGATATGTAGATTATATCTAAATTTTAAGGATAGTCTCCTAAAAAACAAATTGTTTATAGTCATTTTACTGATTATCCTGAAAATCTAATAAATATCCAGTTGTAAATCAAATAGTTTCATGAATGAATTAGAAGTAAGTTCACTAGCAGATCCAGGATTTTAATTTGGGGGAGGGAGGCTTCAGCCCAGAAGCTTTTTTCTTTCATACATATAAGGATAATTACTTTGGAAAGAAAAAAGAAAGATATTAACTACCTATATGAAATGGTATTTAAGTGATTCTTGAAGCCTTATTAAATGTAATGACACAAACAATAATACTTTTAGAGAAAATTTTTTCCATAAAACATGGTTCCATTTTACCATATGTGGGGAGGGAGGCTTCAGCTGGAAAGCCCCCCTCCCCATAGATTCGCCTGTGAGTAGGTTAAACAAACATAAATTAGAGCATACTTATTAAACAAATTATTATGATAATCATGGGATGCAGGTAAAAATAAAACAAAAAAATATTATAAAAAATTTAAAGGTACATGTGGTAAAATACAAATAAATTAACAAACAAATGAAATCATGGATACAGGAATACATATACAAAAACAAGGGATACATTATTTCTCACATACATAAGAAATTAAATAGTTACAAACAGTCAAAATAAAACTGACTAATATATGTGGACTTAAAGAGAATGTGAACTATCATAAAAAATAAATTACAAAAGGTGATTTAAGGTAAAAAAAAAAATATTAAAAACTGTTACAGAAGAATGATAAAATCGAACACAAGAGACTTTCCAAAACAAGCTTTCTATACAAAATAATGGGACAGGAAGAAGTGATGGGAAAAAGACAAGTAAAATATAACATTAAAACAATAAATATTAATACAAATATTTTAACTAGCGAAATACAGTAAATCTTACATATTAACATTTAATATGAACACAAAATTTATGTTAAACATTACAATAGTAATCTGAAAAATAAATTAAGGGTAGGAATGCAGTAATAAGGCACAACAGTAATGAAGTTACTTCCTTATCTTATCATATAATAGGGGTATCACAGATAAGGGAATCATACTGATGTAGTTTTTTTAAAACAAATTCACAGATCATTACCACATAGGGTTTCAGTGAACTTAAAAGTGATAAAACCTAACAGTACAATAAAACAGTCTATCATTGGTCACTTATTGGGACTATGCCAAAGTTAGAGATTGTCGACTTGCAGCAGTATCACTGATAATCTTTGGTGGTCTGTATAAGAACCCTTAATGGTTGTCCAATATACATATCAACAGTTCAACTTGACCATAAGTCTTATATTTGACACAACCAATATTTTTAAAACATGGAATGTAACAAATGAGCAAGTAAATAATTAATGTTTGTTGATTTTTTTTTTAACACGTTAGCTGCGGCTATGGTCCCCGGATTCCGATATTTTTCTCGATTTCAGCCGGAATTGTTTCGAATTTTGCCTATCTTACAGAGTCTATAAAATGGTCATGTTAAAAAATATTTGAAAGGGAACTGAATAGATGCAAACTTAAATAATCATTATATCTGATATAAAGCTATCGGACGACGGGGAGTGTAACCGCAGCTAATGTGTTAGTTAGTCTTTTAACTATCATTTCTTTTGGGCTGTTAAGCTGAAACTGGTACTGCGAATGATCAACTCAGTGCGCCACAAGCACTATCTTCAGCATCTAAAATATCAATAAATTGAAAATTATATAACATTTTCTTGATAGTAAATGAAAGTACAAAATATTTTCTATGGTTTTCAAATAACTATTTAATAACATTATAAAAAAAAATAATAAGGAATAAGCAGGTCGATCCAGGCGTGAAAGTTTAATATTTGAAAGGAATTTACTAGAACTTGAAAAGGAAAAAAAAATTGATTTTGAAAAAGTTTTGATATCACTGGAACTTTTATTGTCAATAATTTTTCAGTTTTTTTGTAACAACAGGTTTTTCTCTTGCAATTTGCAATTCAAGGAAATATTATAGCTTTGTTTAAATTTTAAACAATATCTCATTTAATTTTGCTTGACTTGATTGAAAAAAATAAATGAAAGGTATTAAGGTGAATATTATCATCAAAACAATGCCCCGATATGATAACATAACCTATAAACACCATACTGCCAACAAGTTCACTGCTTCAGAAAGGAGCAGTCTAGATGTGATGTCATACCTCTATTGCCCTGCTAGACTAGCAGTGCTCAACTGTCAGCAGTCGCTGGCGGGGGCAGTAAAAGCGAAATAGTACCATTATACTGAATATACAAAAAATAAAAATGTATGTTTTACAATCATACAAAACAACAAAAAAAAAGTTACAATTATTAAATATAATAATAATTTTTCTTTCTTTTTTTAAAGACTTTTCGACTACCGTAGTTGTCCTTGAGCTAAATATTCTAAGATATTTTAACATTCTTCTCTAGCTAAGGCTTGTTCTTCCATGATGACATGATCCGCCAGCCTTTCTTCCACCGCATCTTTCCATTTTATCCTTTTTCCTCCTCCCTTCTACTTCCAGCTCCATATACATCTTTGGCAATTTTTCAGGCGTCATTCTTTTCACACGTCCAAACCAGCATAACTTTTACTTTCAATATTTGTCCAAACTGTTCTTTTTCCATCTCCATCTTTTCCAGAATTCTTTCATTTTTGATCCTTTACCTTCTGGATTTTCTTTCTGTTCTTTTCCAAAAGTCCATCTATATTACTAACAGTCTGTTTCGGTGTCTTGCATTGATGGCCCAAGTCTCCGAGGCATATGTTGTAATTGGTTCGAATATAGCCTTGTATATTAGCCTCTTTGTACTGGGCTGTGTATTCAAGCTCCAAAGGATACTGTAGAGTATTGCTGTGACCTTTCTTCCTTCACCAATTCTTCGGTCGATATCATTGGTGGATGTGGCTTCTCTATTAAATATTGATTCTAGGTATTTAAATTTCTCTACTGTTTTATACCTTTTTCAATTGGCGTGTCATCCGATGAAGTACCAAGGTGCTCTGTTTTCATGGAGTTAATAGTCAACTCCCACTTTTCATAACTCTCAACAACCTTTCTGAACATATAACTGATGTCCTCTCTTAATCCTAGTTTAAAACAGCAGGCATTATTGCGGTAAATTTCTCTTATGATAGTTATTATGGGCTCTGAGATATCTGCTTCCTCAAGAACTTCCTTGGAACTGAGTCATATGCCTTTTCCAAGTCAATGAAGAGACACTCCACATCTTTAGATTTTTCAAATATGTCTCATTGTAGAAATATGATCGATGCACGATTTTCCTGCAGTAAAACCACTTGGGTCTTCTGTGCTCTCATATTCCCTTTCTAACCTACCTTTGACAATTCTTTCTAGGAGTTTCATAAAAGGATTGGTGACACAATTGCCTCTATAGTTTGTTTATTTTTTATTACTTTTTTTATATATGGGGCATAGATACCCTAATTTCATTTCATATAGCAATAATTTATTCACTAATACATATTAATGTACAAAATACTAAATTTATAATTTAAACAGAAAAAAAAAACATTCATCACTACCAAAAAGGCATGGTAGGCTCCATGCGCCTGCTGATGTTAATAATTTAAATAATAAATAAATAAAATAATACACTAGAAACTCTAAGAGGTTAATTTAACAACAACCCCTTCGTAATATAGTAGAAAGAGCAATCTATTAGAGACTGATATATGATATAGGTATATAATCTGTGCCACTTACCAGAAATTAAGAACAGGGGATGATTTGGTATTGTTCTCTTTTGATAAATTTCTCTATAAGGAGTTTTTATACGAACAGCAGAACGTAATAGAGGAGTTTCTCCAATTTTCTTTAGATATGGGTCAAGTGAGTCAATGTTATTTTTAGGAGTAGATGGATATTTTCCTGAATGACAACTTTTATGAAGAGTAGCTATAAAAATACAAAACATGAAATATAGGAAATTACATCTATGATTGTTTTTTTAATAATATATGATGTAAATAGTAAATGTAAAACAAAAACAAAACAACAATAGCTGAAGGTGAAAATAAAAAATATCAAATATAACAATAATTAAAGAAGTTGGTCGGGAATGCAGTCAATAGATACATACTACATAGCCTTTCAGTTGACAGAATGACCAATTTCGACATTTGCAAATGAAATATAAAGCTACTACAATATATAGTATGTGTCAATTGACCGCATCCCTCACCGACTTTAATTTAGAATTATGGTCAACTATTTCCATACCATTATGGAATAACCAATAATTAATTTGTTTTTTTCTTTAAACAAAAGAAATTACATGAAATCCAAATGATATATGAAAATTTATAAATTAATTACCAATTTTTTGGAGGTTAACAGATATTGGTGTAGAACAGGCAGCATTTTTTTGAGTTTCCAACTGAATAGAATTTTCTGAAACAAGTAAAAAGAATTATTATCTAATATGATCATTTTTTCTTGATAAAATATTTAATGAGATGATTTTTATGGCTTAACAGAAAAACATGAAATATATATAGCCAGTTTTCCACTCAAACCATTGAGAAGAAACATGAGAACTTTGAAAATCAGCTTTGATGAATGAGAACAATTCCTTGGGAGTAAATAAATAACTGAAAATGGCAGAGGGTTCAGCGTACTACAACCTTACTTTGACAAACGTCCCAGAAGGAAGAAGAAAAATAAGGTCATAATCGAGGTAAGATATCAGATGATTGAGGCTATATTATGAAGGAGAATGAGAGGCTAGAAAATAATAATGATTTCTTAGCACTGAAGGCAATAAGGCACAGCTGCATAAGCCCAGGTTGCCAGAAAGAAAGAAATATATAGCCAATGATAACACAACACCAGAGGTCTTAACAGCCTGATAGCAAACCAGTCCACAAAAGTTTCATTTATTACACAATATTATCTTAAAAATAATTTACAAAATATGAAATTGAATGAATAACTCTGACACAGTTTTAACGCATTTCAAAAATGCAGAGTCATTCATAGAAATATATCTGTTTTTTACAAAGATTATCATTTGATGACCGTGTTTTTTTACTATAACGCTCATCCCAATTATCATGTGGTATTACTGATTTTACACAGAGAACATTCTACGATTTCTCAAATTAACTTTTTCGCTGGAGGAGTTAAACATAAAAACCAAAAAAGAAAGTCCTAAATAATTGAAATTTTTTATCTTTTACATGTTAGTACCCATGAATATACAAGTAAAAAGAAAATGAAAACTTATACCACACTTTTACAGCAGTATTAACCCCGTTTTGACCCTTGAGTTTCTAGTCTAATATTTTTGAGATCAACAGAGCTTTAGAATAGTTCAATTTATTTAAAATAATATACACTTTTCTGATTCACATTCAAACTTTTTCATTCTGTTTTAGAGAATATTAAATGAAGGTCAGTGCATACTATCAACTTTGTTAATTGCTGGAGAATATTAATAATTTTGAAAAATTATTAAAGAGAATCTAAATAATTATCTTCAGAGTGGTATATCTCAGTGAGTAAGCCACTGGGCTCTTATATCTCAGGTTTGAGTTTGGCTGTGGTAGGTAATTTATTCTGTTACATTAGTCATGGATCGAGTCTGAGATGGGGAGACTCTCTTGGGGCACACCCCCCCCTCTATAGAATGACTACTTTTAACTAAATAATTAATTAAGAGGAAAAACCTGTAAGCTAAACACGATCTCAGTCTAATCACTTCATTGGACAACCATTGATTAAAAAACAGTACTTCTAGTCTGAGAGCTCGTGAGAAAAAAATCGACATTATTTGATAAAAAACTTTTGAGGAGTTGGTAGGGGGGTGCGTTCAAATAAATTCTAAATTATAGAAATAGTATTATTTAATTATAATGCCGACGTTTCGACCCATCTTGCAGGTCTTCTTCAGGGCATGGGATGTGGCACTGCAGGAGGCAGTTGAAACACTGGCAGTGTAAAGTTTGAGAGTTGTTTTTTTACACTGCCACATCCCACACCCTGATGAAGACCTGCAAGGTGGGTCGAAACATCGGCATTATAATTAAATAATACTATTTCTAAAATTTAGTATTTATTTGACCGCACCCCCCCGGTCAACTCCTTCTCATATTATATCACGGTCAACCATCTCTACATCATGATAATAACTTTTATTTGATGAAAAAAGGTTTTTTATCAATCTAACATTCTTTAATTTCATAAAGAATATATTTTTCGTTCCGATACACCATTTAAGAGTTATATATGAAAAAATGAAAAAAATCTGGCTTTTTAGGATGTAAAAATTAAAACCCTTGGTGGCCTGCGTAAGCAATTTTGATTTTTACATGTCTGAACCTATATATACAAGTTAAAAAAATAAAAACTTTCCCCACATTTTTCACAATGAATTTTCTGTTTGATCCTCAAGTTACAGGTCTAATATTCTTTAAATCAGCCACCATTTTACAGGTAGCAAGATCTGACTATCAGATTCTCATTTTTTTAAATATAAATGCTATAAATTAAAAAAAAAAATACTTTAAAAATTGTCATCAAATAATGTTGATTTTTTCTCACGGGCTCCTTAGACAGTAAGGAACACCCAAGAAAGAATCCCAATGGGTTATAGTGATACAATTTTTTAAAATAATTATCTTCATTACATTGCTACAACTAGTTTTACAATAATATAAATAAACTCTAAATGATTAATAACAAAAATGTTAATACCACTGCTGTCTTTTCGTGAATAGCTTGAGAATCTTACAAAGTTTCTTGCTTTTGCCTTACTACACTGGTCACTTTTACCTAAAATTATTGGATTGATCGTTAAAAATTAAAATTATAATTAGATAAAAATAATGGATAGAATATACAGATATAAATATATACATATACTCAGTGCCGGCATTAGGATAGAGCAATCGGGAAAATTGTCCCTGGGCGCCGATCTGGCACTGCATACACTTTATATACCTTAAGCTAATAACATAGTCAAGAATAAAAATAAATTAAATAAAAATGAGAAAACACATACCAGTGTTGCTCCGATTGGTATTTTCCAAGAAATCAAGATATTCTTGATTTAATTCTTCTAACAATTGTTCAATCTTCAAGACAATGCAATCTAACTTAGCATAAAATGGCTTTTTATCAAGCATTGATTTAAAACCACGACTTTTCTCTCCAAGATCTTTTAAAGCTAAAAGATAATTTAATTGTTAACATCCACCATTATATACAAAATATATCATATTGCACAAATATATTAGACAACAGACCTGACATTTTTAATTAAAGTAATAAATAAAAATAGAGAAGAAATTTATGTATTATAGATCTGTTTCAGAAATGAAATAAATATTCACAAATTAGGTTTTATTTTATTTATTAGTTATTTGAAAAAAAAAAAAAAAAAATCAACTGTCATTTTATATATATATATAAAATATATGTGTGTGTGTATATATATACACAATACTGCCGGGTTCCGGAATAGGAACCGGATTCCACAACATGGCCGCCATGGGACTGAGAACGCGGGCACATGGCGGCTCGAAAACTCTTTTCAAATAAAAATAAAATCGAGAACGCACGCGCTGGCCCCAATCTTCATGGGCAAACTGCAGTAGTACCGAGCAACCATTCTCTTCGGATTTCTCCTAGGGCTTAGGATTGACTAATACTTGTGTAACAGCTGTTCACAAGAAACCCTTCTCCACATCAGTCCTCCAGGGTCTCGCTGGAGTATTTGCTACTACCACCAAGATCTGCACCCGCGGCCACAGGCAGGGTTCTCACCCAGACTCTTCCTCGCACATCACAGCGACCCTCTTACTCGTCAAGGCTTAACGGCGACTCCCCATGAGGGGCAGCCCATTTTGCTGTTGACGGTAGAGTATAGGCACGACGCTACATCCCCATTCATTTTCAGGGCTAGTTGCTTCGGCAGGTGAGTTGTTATACACTCCTTAGACTCGTCTCTTCCCGAGAGCCAGCTATCCTGAGGGAAACTTCAGAGGGAACCAGCTACTAGATGGTTCGATTGGTTTTTGGTCCCTATATCCAGCTCAGACGATCGATTTGTAAGTCAGAATCGCCTCAGGTTTCCCCTGACTTCGTCCTGGCCAGGAAAAAAATAACAATAAACTATCATTATATATATATATATACACAACACAGGAGTATAAATCCCTTTTCCGGCTTCAAGAGATTTTTGTAAACAAGATGTATGTCAAAAGAAAGGGAATTTCATTGAAAAGCAATGAAATACTGATAATATTCCAGTCTGGATTTGTGAAAGAAATACACACTAAGAATCCTTCTCTTGTGTATAAACCATAATTGTCTCAGGCAAATACAATGTTCAGTAAAAGTTTAAGGGTAGCTCATTCTTACTGAATGTTATTTCAACAGCCATTATAAAATATGTTAAATACTTTTTTGATAACATGATATTGTTTATAGGAATAAAAATGCTTCCTCAGTATTGCTTATACTTCAAATATATTAGGAAGAAGAAGTATAGGAGGGAGAGTTCTTCCTTGGAAAGACAAGTGATTCGTTATTTGTGAATATCAAAAATGAACAAAATATTTTTTTTTATTTCCTATTTATTCAATTTGTGTGTATTCTGAATATATTGGAAAATGAGGATAGGAAGAGGATGGACCATTCCAGAGATTGACAGAAATTAATTAAGGTGTTTAACTGTTGTTGAGAATTCGGGAATCTAATACCTTTTGTGACACTGAGTGACAAGAATATATATATATATATATATTAAGAATATATATATATATATATATATATATATATATATATATATATATATATATATATATATATATATATATATATATATATATATATATATATTCCCGAATTCCCAACAACAGTTAAACACCCTCAAAAAGTCTATATCCAGTGCTGGGGTTTTGTTTTAATAATCACGAGTATAAATAACCTAGTTCCCCGATACACGGAAGGCTGTTCGCTATTCCCGCCAAAACAAATTATTATTTACATTTAACTTTATTAGGTTATTTACAATCCAGTCAGACATTAGTTGAAAGAAAGAAAGAAAGTAAATTTTATTCTGGGACATTTATTCCCCTCAGAATACCTATTATGAACAACGAAATGACAATTGTCTGGCAATTATGAATAATTAAACGACAATTAAAAATAAATTAATTTACGAAGTTGTCTAACCTTAATATTAAAATTTAAAAAAGACACTATAGTAAATATATGATCTTGAAGTAGACATATGACTTTAAAGATAAATACATACAAGTGAGATCACGTATTTGTACAAATAGGCAATATGACACATACATAGATATCTGCAAGATATCAGTATAATGTAGTTGAAATCTCTAAAGTACAAAATAACTTTATTTTACATATATTTGGAAGATTTATTACTGAGCAGATGGAAAAATAAATTTGTGTTTAAATGAAGTCAAGGATGAGGATTTCCGTATAGATTGGTAGGGAATTCCAAAACGAGGTAGCATGTAAGACAATGGATTTTTTAAAGAAAAAAGTATAAAGTATAAGGATAAATCTAATGAAACAAGTCATTAGTTAGGTCCTTAAATGTTATGCTATGTGTTGAGCATACAACAATTGATGGGATTATAATGCATGAAATAGTTGGAAAATAATCTAGCAGATGTTAATGGTGGCAGTCAAAATAAAAATATTTAATGCCTACTAAATTGAATTCTTTAGATATACAAAGAGGATGAGAATCTCAAATTCAGAAGTAAAAAACAGAAAGAATGAAAGCAAACCAAAGATGTATTAAAAAGTATATATATGAGAGACTAAATAAAGGAAGAGTAATATAAAAGACAATCTGAATATTGATAAAAAATGATGTTGAATCAAAAATTCCGGATCATAAATATAGATAAAGCAATCTACTTTGTGCAATAAAATAACAATGAGTTTTAAGGTAAAAAAAATCCATTTAAGTTTACAGATAAAGTAATATCAACAAACAACAAAGTTATACCATTTAGCAGCTGTTTTGCAGTTTTGGTAACATTTTGATTTCCTTTTACTAATGGATCATCAGTTACTTTCAAGTGATTAACAAGTTTATAACATTTTGAAATCAATTCATTTGAATCTTGAGGATTATATGATCCAGAGTTTACTTTTTCCTTTAATGTTAAAATGACACCTACAATATCTTCATGAATGACCTAGAAAAAATAAAAGTTTATAATAACATTTTAATGCATATAATATGATTTTATATGGTATATGCACATTTTTGAGAAATATACACCTTTTAAGTAGGGTTACCTACAAAGGAGAAAAAAAAAAACATATATATATATATATATATATTTTTTTTTTCTTTCTCCTCGGTAGTAACCCTACATAAGAGGTGTCAAATTTCTAGCGTTATAATTCAAGTGCTTATAATATTTTAAAATCATAATTGTGGATTGATGGTTCAACGTAGTGAATAATTGAACAAAAGAATGGTTGGGATGATCAGTAAAAAAAAATTAGTAAAAATAAATAATTATATTTATTTTTCCCGACCTTTCAGCCTAAAGTTCAGGCCTTCATCAGGGCTAAGAAAATTATTTATACTATTTTACCAACAATGTCACCCCATTTATTTATCATTTTTTTTTTTTTTTTGTCTACACTTAGGTTTATTATCTTATACATTCCACTACTTTTCGTAGTTAATTCATTTTTCATTTCTTATGTTACCTTATTTTGATTATGTTTATTTCATTAGTTCCTAATTTGTTGCCGTTATTATTTATATCTTAGTTCTCTGTTACTGTTACTATTCTACCTATTATATTTTACTTTTATGTTCACTCTATCTACTGTATTTTACTTTACGTTTATTCCTACTACACTTTTTAGTCTATACCTCTCACCTTTAAAAATTTTCTTTCTTTATTATTCAATGTTTATAGTTTCTCATACCTATTGTTATCTGGGTTTTTCTTAGCCCTGATGAAGACCTGAACTTTGGGCCGAAACGTTGGCAAAAATAAAAATAAATATAATTATTTATTTTGAATAATTTATTTTACTGATCATTCATACCATTCTACTCTTTTAGCATAAATAATTGACCTACCATCAGCCGGATTCGAACCTTGGACCTTAAAATTGAAAGTCGGTGCCCTACCACTGAGCTTCCCCACTACCTAATAAATTGTATTATTTTACCAATTAGTTGTTCATTTATTATTCTCTTTATATGATTGAGTGTGATCTCGGTCGAATCCCCTCCTTGCACAACTGTTGACCAAGAAACAGTACTTCCTTACAAAGTACTGAACCCCTTAATGGGTTGAAATGGCACAAATTTTTTTTTGTTTGTTTTAATAACATTTATTATACCTCGGATTTTCAACTACTATAAAGTTATTATTACAAGTAATATTTTTACCAGTTACAACTTAAAATGTAAAAATTAAAGAAATGATAATTATAAAATTTCTATAAAAAAAAAAAAATTAGTTACCTGCACAAATGCAGCTGTATCAACAATGTTATAATCTAGATGGCATGTTAGTGCTTTTAACTCATCTAAGGATTCATCAGTTAGGTACTGAAGAAATCTTTTTTTGACTAAATTGTTTGGATCACAATAGAACGATGTAGCAGCAGGTATAATGTAGTTTGCCAGAAATTCTAAACTTGCCAAGCAACACTGAACTTTCAGTTTTTCTAGAACATATTAAATTGATTTATTGCACTAAACAAACTTATTTATAAAAAAAAATTGTTCGTTGATGGATTGAAAAAATTCTCCTACCTTTGGTTGTTAAGGAAAATAGAGAATAAATAAGATGATTAAAATTATTAACTATTCCATTAATAATTAAATAAAATAGTTTATTTATTTAATAATCATTTAATTTTTCTTACTACTGTTTATCATTAAGAAATATTTCAGGCACTAAAATTCAATACTTCATAGATTACTTACTATTTTTACAATCAGTACAGGCAACTGCATAGTTTCCGATGAGCTGAACCCTTTCAAAATATTCATCTAACACGTTTACTTCATTTTGTATGTCACTTGGCTGCCTTGAATTACTGGAATTAGAACAGTAATTTCCTGATTTTTTAATGATACTTTTAAGCGGAGGGAGAAATTTAGAACTCACCTGAAAAACCAAACTCAAAATTAACTACTTAGAATAAAAAAGAAACGAACAAACCAGATTTACTGTTCAACTTGAATAATCAAAAATAATAAAAGTTATCAAACATTAGTATAAACTTAGTATTATTTAAACAGAATCATCCAGTATTTTACATTAGTTCCTTTCTCAAGTAAATTATTTTCATTTTGTGACTGAAAAATATCTTAATCAATAAATAGAAATTTTTAAGTCTTATCGCTCTTCCACTAGTAATGGTAACAGTCCTATCTAAGGTAGGACACAAATGTAATGTTTAAAAAAATTAACTTACATTTAGATACAACCTCAGCACTGCAATATTTACTTTTCTTTCTAAAACAGCTATCGAACAGAGGATTGCATCTTTTTTCAAAGGCTCTTTTTCAATATCAGCAATTGTGAATATCTCTGATGTACAGATCAAAACCTAGGAATTATACACATAACACTTCAGTATCACAGCTCTGTATTAACAATGTATCAAACCAATAATAAATAATTTAAATTTATTAATTCCATATTTAAAAAAAAAATGTCTAATACTATACCATAAAATATGAACGGCCACCAATAAATGGTATGTCTTGAATTTCTTATAACAAATATAGAATTATCTGAACTATTTATTAATATCCTGGAATAAACAGAGAAAATTAAAAAAAAAAAAAATCTAGTCAAAGAAGTTGGTTGGGGACTGTAGTCTGTGAAGAACACAAAAATTAACATTTTTTTTTTTTTTTTTTTGTACTTCACTGACTGCTACCACCAATCACTTCTTTACAATCAACCATTTCTCCAACAGTAAAAAAAAAAAAAAAAAAAAAAAAAAAAAAAAAAAAAAAAAAAAAAAAAACTAATTGATTATATCATCATATGTGGCACAACATCCCGTTACCGAGACTGGGCCTCCTCCAAGAGCCTCCGCCAGTTGGCTCTGTCTTCTGCTGCAGCTCTCCAGTTCCCTACACCAAGCAGGGTTCTCGCATCATAGGCCACGTTGTCCAACCATCTTGTCCTCGGCCTTCCTACCCGTCTTATGAGGTGCAGCTCCTCCATCATTATTTTTTTTGGTATTTCAACGGTGCCAGTTTAATATACGTGACTACGTCGATGTCTGCATAGAGAGAACTGAGCTCCCTATTTTTCCTTTTCCTCCAGACATCACCCTCCTTTACTGGACCATAAATCCTTCTGAGGACTCCTCGCTCAAACACACTCAGCTTCATCTCATCCTTTTTAGTCATCGTCCAAGCCTCTGAGCCATATGTCAAAACAGGCCGAACAAGGGTCTTGTATATGATCAGCTTGGTCTTCTTTGAGAGGTACCTACTTCTTAAGTGTCGGCCAAGTCCAAAGACACATCTATTGGCAGCCGTGATCCTTCTTTGTATTTCTTGAGCCATGTCATTTTTGCTATTAATTTCAGACCCAAGGTATATAAAACTTTTCACTCTCTCAAACTTAAAAGAACCTACCTCAAATGGAGAGTTCAGATCCACCTCACCACCAACTCTCATATACTTAGTTTTCCTCTCGTTGACTTCTAGACCAAGTGGTCTTGCAGCTGCTTCAAGGCTTATAAACGCTTCTCTGAGAGCCCGTTCAGACCTACCTATTATGTCAATATCATCAGCAAAACCAAGAAGCTGTGTCAGGCGATTGAAGATTATATCGTTGGTCTGAATACCGGAGTCTCTTACAGCTTTCTCCTCTGCCAAGTTGAACAATAGACAGGCGAGGGCATCCCCTTGCCTAACCCCACTGCTCACTTTAAACTCTTCGGAGTCGTCAGAACCGACGCGTATTCTACATCTCGAGCTGTCCATGGTCATCTTGATTAGGCGTACGAGCTTCTGAGGGATGCTTAGGTCCTCCAAGGCACAGTATAGTTGCGTTCTATCAACGCTGTCGTATGCTGCTTTAAAGTCCAGGAATAAATGGTGGGTGACTACCTTACGCTCCATAGTCTTTTCTAGGATCATCCTCAGAACGAACAGTTGATCAGTGGTTGAGCGTCCTCTTCGAAATCCAGCCTGATATTTCCCCAGTTCCTTTTCAGAATACGGGAGGATCCTCTCAAAAAGAATGTTAGAGAGCAGCTTATAAGCACACGAAAGGAGTGAGATTCCTCGATAGTTAGCGCATTCTGTTTGATCTCCTTTCTTATGTATTGGGCAGATAATGGCTGTTGCCCATTCCGTAGGCATAGCTTCCCTCTCCCAGATGGTCAGCATTAAATCATGCAGAGCTTTCTTGAGTTCTTCACCTCCACATTTCAACAGCTCTGACTGGATTCCGTCCGGGCCTGGCGCCTTTCCATTTTTCAATTTCCTCAGGGCGTTTTCCATTTCCTCCTCATCCGGGGGTTCAATAGAATTCAGGGAGTCTTCCTTCATTACTCCTACTTCTCCAGGCACCGTTCCTCTGTTTAATGCGCCTTTGAAATGTTGTACCCATCTCCTTAGTACGTCATCTTTGTGGCTTAAAAGAGTTCCATTCGTGTCTTTGCATGCCGTCACTCTGGGCCTGAAAGCTGCCCTACCCTCGTTTATTCTCTGAAAGAACAGGCAACTTTCATTTTGGCCACGCAATGCCTCTGTGTCCTCCATGTTCTTATTTTCCCAAGCTCTTCTCTTTCCGCGGAATAATCTCTTCTCTTCGCATCTTTTTCTTCGATATGTTTCTTGGGAGAGCCTTGTGGGAAGCTGAACCTTCTTTCTGTAGGCTTCATTTTTCACTTTTACTGCTTGAAGTCACTCAGCATCAAACCATGGGGGCCTTCTAGGTTTAGTCTCGTAGCCAAGAGCTTCTTCTGCTGCCTGTTTCATTGCGTTGCTGCATCTCTTCCACTGTTCATCGACCATAGAGCTGTCATCAATTACTTCTTCATTAAGTTTCGTCTCCACAGCTTGTTGATACAAATATTGGTGGTCTGAGTCCTTAAGTTTAGCCACATCAATCTTCTTCTTTGGTCGTTGGTAGTGGTTTTAATCAGCGAAATTCGTGATCTGACCTCGGTAATGCTCAAATAGTGATCCGTGTCCATATTTGCACCTCTATAAGATCTTGCATTTATCATGTTGGACTTGTGACGGGCACTAATGAGTACATGGTCTATCTGTGATGCTGTTTGCCCATTTGGAGAGATCCATGTTGCTTTGTGGATATTCTTTCGAGGAAAAAGAGTTGTTCCAACAACCAGTCCGTGCAATGTAGCAAAGTTCACCATCCGTAGCCCATTATCATTACTGGTCTCATGCAAGCTATGGGTTCCTATGGTCGGCATGAGTGCCACCTCCTTACCAACTTGGGCGTTAAAGTCACCAACAATGATTTTAACATCATTTTTGGGGCAGCTTTCTGTCACGCGTCCAAGTTCTTCATAAAATGCTTCCTTATCCTCCTCAGGTGACACCTCTGTTGGGTGATTGATTATATAAGGATGCACAAACATTTAACACTATTCTAAATCAGTTATTTTTATTCCCAAAAATTTAGAATCTAGCAAAAACCAAATCAATTCCTATTCTTTAGTTTCATTTGATTTCAGCACTGTGATAGATCATGGGATTAGTTTATATAAAAAAAGGTTTGATTCTGTAAATTAATGTGTAATATTTTTAAATAAACAATGATTAAACACTTGAATTACTCGAGTTATTAAGAGTTGACTGTATTTCAAATGATGAACTGTAAAAGAAAAAATTAATGAAAAAGATTAATACATAATATTACATTTCTACAAGCTGCTGCAATTTCTTGATAATCTTCTTCAGCTGCAACCTTAGCTATTGTCAATGCATGACATAATAAGTCTTCAATAAGCATCTTCAATGAAGCATCGTGCAGGTCAGATTTAATAAAAAAATCAGCTATGTTATCAACTGATTTCATAAATAATCCACTGGGTTCTGAATCATCTTCTAAACCACCTCCTTTCGTAATTCTTAAAACCTCATTAAAGCACCAATGAAGTTTTTCTGCTAAATAATGAGTAATTTCCTAAATAAACACAAATAAATTAGTTTTCAAAATAAAGGGCATATATATATTTACAAAATAAATAAAACTTACTTTAAAAGCTGGATCTGTTCTTGCTGTCAATATCTTGACAAATGACGGAAGAACTTTGGCCAATTGGCTACTGCATAATTTTATTTTATTTGAGTAGCATTTCAATTCAGATTTTTTACTCAAAACATAAATTTCATCAATAGCATCAGGTATATTTTTAATCAGAATCTGTACATTAATAATACTAAATGATAGTTTTAACAACATAGGTGAAAAATAATAAAATAGCAGGTACTCCAATAGATAAAAAACAAAGAAATATTTCCATTAGTGGGAATAATAGTCATTTGACGTTCAAATATGTAAGTACAACAAAATATTCTAAAAACCAAGCTTATAAATATTTCTCTGAAAAAGAGAAAAAAACAAGGAAATAAAATGTCTTTAATGCCAATGCAGAATCTTAATAATAATAAACGCATGGATTATTTGGGAAATACAGTTTTTCTAGGGCAGTTGTTGATATCCAAGTATATCAAAATATCATTGCTAAGCTAATAAAATTTACTTCTACTTAGATTAGAAAATACCAGAATGTAAGTACCCGAATGGGCACCCCAAGCTGACAGCTGAATTCAAGATCACTTTGGGTACACTGCAAATAGAATCCTGAAAGTAATAGTATTGACCGAAAAGGTACCAAAAATACATTGGTAATTTATTATATTGATATTTAATTGAAAAATAAAAACTATTATATAATTAATGTATAGGGAGCTGACAGCATATTTGGATTGCAACCAATCACTGGTCCTATAAGTTGGAGGCAACATTTACAATGATGCCCACACAATAAACTACAGCACACAAGCTTATATAGATAGTGTTGTAAAAACAAGCCTCAAGGCATGTGTCGTAAAGGATCGGTTCTAAAGCCATTGGACCTTGAGGTTCAAGTCATACTGAATTTATCTTTAAAAAATACTTAAATTATTGTACATTTTCGTAAAACATTATATATTTTTTCTGTTAGTAGTAATAATGCGAATATATTCCTGAAATATAATGTCAATAAATAGATAGAGGAAAAAACAAGTAAGGCTTGAGCTGCGACTAGAGTCTATTATTGCTGAGCTCTTATAACTCGAGTCAGGAAAGCTTGAGCCTTTTTGGCTCAAGCCTTGTAGCTTTCTGCCCGAGCTACATTAAACACAACCACTTTATTAAGGTCACCTTCAAAACATAGCCTTGGATTACTTCGCTAGGGCCTAATAAGCAGACCTGGCTAGTTAAAGATATGTAATATTATAAAGATATATGACCAAGCTACAATTGAACATGATAATTTGTGCAAAGAAAGGTGTGTGTCTGTCCACATTGGGAACTGGAGTAGTAAAGCTCACTATCACACTCATTTACAAAACTCTCCTTTTACCCTTTCCATGATGCTGAATTAGCTCACCTGGGTATAAGGTACAAAAATGAGGAAGAAAAAAATAATTAATGCATAGAAATGACTGGATGGGATTTACGAAGTTGCTGATGAAATCTGTCATTGATGTGGATAGGCATCACAGATCGCCCTGCAGTATATAACAGAGTGTGAATGATATACTTTACTAGAGTACAGTCTACCAGGCTTAGAAGCAAGAAACACAAGGATTTCTGCCTTGAATGGTTGTTTTTTTTTTCCTGAACGGTTGTTCAGGAAAATTAGGATTTTTATCAGGAAAACCAGAATATTCAATACAACGGAAACAAGTTTCCAATGAGTAATTTGGAATAGGCAAGTAGAAAACACCAGTACCAGAACTTGATCATGCTTTCTTCATTACTAATACCAGTGTGATAGGCTATTAACAATGATATGGTATATCCTATTTGAATTCAGACACAAAATTACAAGTACTGAAAACTTTTCTAAGTGATATTCTAACTAATAATAATACTTACTTCTGTAATTTTTTTCTTATTCTTTAATGTATTTACATCGATAGTTTCTAAAATATCTAAAACATTTTCAATAGTTTGACAGCTCATGTTTGTAAAATATTCTAGACAATCTTCAAGCAGAAATAAAGGCCAAGTATGCGTAATATTACACGAGAAAATTTAATAATAGAATAATAAAACCAAACGAACGTCAGGAGTAATTAAGTACTTCTTACAATAACAAGAATTATACTTGACAATCAACTTAGAACAAATTTGAAACCTTCAATTATTAGTTCCCGCCTTTCACTTCAGTTGCAGCGATGGTATATAGAAGGGAAATTATATCGATATTAGCATATAATAACGTTATTATTTTAAAATAGGTAAGATTTTGATGAATGTAATGAAACAACTATAGACTATATTTTCTCAAGAATGCAAATGTTTGAAAAAAAACAAACAAAAAACACGCCTTCCAAATAGATTTCGCCACCTTTACTAGATTTTAAACAGCCACATAATTGTTTAAATGAGATCGTAGTAGATGAGTGAATAAGGAACTGTGCATAAGAGCCAATGCTGCAGATCTCGGTTTCTAGTCCCACTCTGGAGTTTATTCTATTAAATAAACCATGGATCGGCCATAGAGTTTGGAGATCCTCCTGGGAAATACTCAACTTCTACAAAGTCTATAGGCTTTGAAACAATACTGAATGGCGAAGTCTTGATGATTCTCCATGGTTCTGGAGTATAATTTGTTTTCTTATGATAGCATAAACGGTAAATAATTCATAAAGATGATGATAAAACTGGGAATCTCAAACAATCTAGCGACTTTGAATAGAATTGCCCAAAAGAGTTACTGATCCACATTAAAGAGAACTGCCTATAGTTGGAGAAAAATTTTATTGAGTAATATTACATTCTGCCACATGAAAAATCATTAGTGGGATAAGACTACATCAACAGCAGAGGTGCGCAGAAGGCGGTTTTATGGCACAAGGTGCGCAATCAAAATTTTTGAAGAGAGCATATTTTGCGGGTTTTAGTATTTTTGGAGGGAGACAAATTTCGACAGAGTTATTAATTTTCGGAGTAAGGAACAAGGAGAAAAACATGGAACATATAGCAGCAAGTGTAATTGTATATGATCTAGGATTTTTCTAATTCCACCTTAGCTTGCTCTGTTTTAAGGTAAAGATGAGCAATAAAATATCTTGGGAGGACGGGGTTAAAGTTCTTGCGGCATCGACCTTGAGGGGAGGATGGGCGCACCTGATCAACACTATATATAAAGAAAAAATAAAATAAATAGAAGAAAAATAACAAACCTGTACCGCTATAACCCATGAAGGGTCTTCGGGTTCAGTATTATTTTGGAAAAGTACTGTTTCTTGGTAAACAGTTATGCAATCAGGTGGTTTGACCCAGAACACGCCCAACCGCTAGGTTTTTCCTCTCAATTTAATGCAAATTAAAAGCAAAATAACAAGTAAATAAAAATCAAAAAGTATACTATATAAATATTAGACGCGGTGATAATATAAAAATTCCGAGCCAGGTTTGTCCCTCCAATTATAGAGGAAAAAGGATTCCAGAAGATTCCTGCGTTACTCTCTCGACTTCGTCACTGGTGCCAATGCCAGAGGAGATTTAGAGAGAGCGCTTTAGCCAAATACACCCATTGACTAAAGAATCTAGCCATTGTCAGAATTCCAATATAAACATGCTACAAAAGATCCCAGGCCACTGCCGTTTTAAACTTCTTGGGCGATTAGAGGGATTATAGGTATTGTGCAAGGAGATTTGGATTATACGTAAGGTTATGGTGGAATTTGGAGATTTTTTCTGGAATAAGGTCGAGGAGAAATGAGATTTTAAGGCCATGATGTAGGGTTTTGTTCATCACATATAACGGAGCATCAATTATTGTTCGAAGAAGTTTGGACTGAAAGGATTGAATGCGTTTGATGTTTAAAATTTTGCTGTGCCACAGCTCTAGTCCTTAGGTCCTAATAGGTTGAGGATTATCTTGTAGATCAGTAATTTTTTGTCAATTGAAAGTTGAGATTTTCTAGTCAGTAATCTGTATAGTTGGTCGTTTTGTTGAAGTTTTTGTCTTTTGAGTCTGGTATGTGGATTCCACGTTAGTCTTCTGTCTAAAAGGAAGCCCAGACACCATACTGTATCTGAGATGGGAAGCGGTATGAAGTAGGGTAGGTATAAAGAGTCAAAAAATATTGGCGGACAGGATTTGGGTCTGAATATGAGAGTGATATGGTTAAATTTTGATTCATTTATTTTAATACGCCAATTATTACATCAATGTTCAATTAGAGAGTGATGTCTTTGTAGATTGAAGGATGCTATTTCAGGATCTGAGTCGAATGATAGGATGGCGGTATCAGCAGCTAATCTTGCCAGGAAAGTATCAGGATGGACAAGAATATCAGAGATAAAGAGGATATAAAGGAGGGGGCCCAAAACGCTAACTTGAGAAACACCGTCCTGAATAGGATTAGAAAATTCAGTACCGTAGAGGGCTCTAAATCAATACTAAGTGCAATCGAAGAGGCAACGGAGTTGGTATAAAGAGTGGGGCAGATGAGTTTTAAGCTTGAAAATCATCCTGGCTCAAAAGCTTGTGTTATGTCTAGAAATGTACTCAAGCAATATTACTTGCTTTCCATAGCTGAAGAATATGCTCAATCACTTTAGGTCCTTGTTGGACTATGGGGTGTTAAGAATAAAATCCGAACTGATGGGAAGGAAGATTAGAGATTCCATAAAGGGTGTGATTCGTAGCAGGATGATCCTTTAAGGATTTTTGAATGGATTCAAAATAGAATAATTAGTCTATAGGATGGCAAGCTGTTAGGAGGTTTGTCTGGTTTTGGAAACAGGATAATAGTGGAATGTTTCCATAAAAGAGGAAAGTGGGTGGTTCCTAGGATAATATTGTACATGTAATTAAGGAAATGACAGCTTTAGGAGGAAGTTAAATTAGTTGGGACATAAGAGAGTGATGTCTTTGTATTAGTCATTTTTATGTTTAGCGTGAAATACTTTGGATCTGGCTAAAAAAATATTTTAAGATTAGGTAGAGGCGTCCACTCGATCTTTACCTTGGGGTGTATCAGATATTAGATAAACTGACTGTTGAATAATATCATCTCACGCGTCTCATTGTGCATGAATACATATATTGGGGCCTCTAATCATAACCAATCGGTCTAATAGACACCTGATTTAGTTATCTGAATTTAAGTATCAGCTAAACGGATTAGACAGGCTAATATCCTTAGTTTGAGATTACGATGAGTCAAAATTATTATTAAGCCTAATAATTTAAAAAAAAATAAACAAACGTTATCAAATCACACTGGAAAGAAAAGGCATTCAAGGAAATTTTTTTAACACTTCGACGCTGAGAATAGTACAGTTGCTAGCTCATTATGAAGAAGCAGTTAGAGTGTTAATCTTGCGATTTTAGTAATGTCCTAAGCCCATGCCTCGATTTTGAAATTTTTAGTTGATTTATTTTTTTATAACTGTTTTAGTGAACCAAATTTCAATAACTGTCCTTGCCTTAGCAAAATCACCACGACTTACTTAGATCAATGAGCAACTCTTGTAGTAGCCAAGGTGGTTTCTCTTTCAGAGAAGGTGAAAAATTGAGTTACTAGAGGTAGAAAATGTAGTCTCTTTGGTGACGCCATAGATTCAACCAAGCCGAAAAAAAAATCTGGTGTTGAAGTTTGTATGAGTCAGGGAGACCTGTTGATTGTGATCTAGTGGATTATATCAATTTTGTGTTTTATATACATCGTCCTTTTATTTCATGTTAGTATGCGTTTATACTTTATTCCTGAATTATTTAATCATTAACCAGTAGGAATGGAAAATTTGTGATTTGAAATTTATATATTTTTGAAAAATAAACACACATAAAATCAAATTTAATCTTTTGGCATTGTCAAAGTCTTGCCCAATGTATACCAGTTGTTTTTTATTTTCCCACTTGGTACAGTGAATTTAGTACAATTTAAAATGTATATTCTACTATACTATGTTTGTTCTTCCCAAATCTTAATTGTACTGATATAGATTTTAACATTTATTTTAAGAGTTTAATTTTTGGCTCATTCTTTCAAGCAATAAGATAGTTTTGTAATTGTTTTCTTTCTTTTATAATTTTGTTTATATGAAAATTTCAAATTTAATTTAACAAATTGAATTTGTTTATTTCTATTATACTATTACCAATTCTAAAGAAAAAAAATACTATGTCATTGAATGGATAAGTCATGTCTAATGCGGCTGAGCCTTATTTTTTACCATAAATATCTTAGATAATTATTTTACTAAAAAAAAAAAAAGACATTTTATAATTTATTATGGTCTATATCAATATTTTTTATTTATTTTAACAACAGATAAATGCAAACAATCTGTTGATTGATTAAACAATTGGTTGATTAATTAACCTGCTAACAAATAGAGGTGTCTTTAACTATCAGAATTAGTTATCTCGGTCAGTCCTATCAGTTTCAATTCATCTAGTATTTCGTTTTTCATTGGCAAATCTGGTGAAATACTCCTGATATCATATGCATAGTCTGCTTCTGTGTCTTTTGATAGTTGGATAAGCTTTTGTTGTTTTACTTTGGATTACTCGAGTAACCTGCATGCTTCGCTAAACCATTTTAGTTGAAGCCTACATAATGTGATTTTCATTGGGATTTCATCTATTCCATTATCATCTCATTTTTTCTGCAGTCTCTGTCTCTTACCTGCTATTTGGAGATGATATTTTGTTTCTGTTTCATTTGTCTGACTAATATCATTTAACTTCCAAAACAATACAGCTTCAAAGATGTGGTGCATGACGTGGTTTGTGAAATCTTTTGGTATCTATGTCAACACAAATCTGTTAATGTTCTTTATTAGCTCTTTAGATTCTGCTGATGGTGTTGCTAACTATTGTATTCAATTATGAGACGTTTTCAACAATCGTAAACTTCATGCTCTTACCAAAGAAGTATGAAAATGAAAAAATGAAAATGAAAAAAATGTTTTATTATTCTGGGACTGTTGTCCCTTAAGAACAAAATATGAATACAGATTATATGTCTGTGTGGCTACAATTGAATTGTATATTTACAATGAAAGTTGACTTACGATAAAAATACAGAAAAGAGAAAGAAAAGAACAAGTAAATTGTACATATATATGAGAAACTAAAATAATCTTAATAAATTGAGGTAGTCTCTGGTGGTGCTCAGATATTTCTCTTAGATATATTTCACAATCATTCGGATTGAGAAAGGAGTAGGTGCTTAAAGAGGAGTGGTTTAAACGAGGAAACTGATTGAGCGTGTCGAATATCAGGTGGGATGGAATTCCAGAGGGAGGCGGCTTGTATTGCAAAGGATTTGTCAAACGCAGCAGTTCGGTGAGGAGGAGGATAGAGGTCGGAAGTACGAGATCTGGTGGGACGGGATTGGATGGAATATTTGAATTGTAAGCTGTGAAAAATGTAGGAGGGTCGATGGGTTCTAATAATTTGGTACAGAAAGGTGGCTAGGAAGTACTGACGGCGATAGGATGGGTAGAGCCACCTCAACTCAGTGTAATACTGGGTAATATGCGTATCCCTTGAGATTCCGAAAACAAATCGTAGTGCGCAATTCATTAGGCGTTTAAGTTTGGCCTCGGAATCTCCCGGGAGTCCGCCGTACACCATACAGCCGTAGTCGAAGTGGGGGAAAACAAGGGAGGAAACTAGGAGTTGACGGGACTTATATGGAAGGAGATATCGTAGACGATTGAACTGTTTTAGGGTGGAGATAGTGCGACGGGAAATTTGGGAGATGTGAGGTTTCCAGGATAGGGATTGATCGAAAGTAACACCTAGGTTTTTAACGGTGGTGTAGAATAAGATAGGTGAGTTGTTCAGGAAGAGATTGGGAGATACTGGGGAGGATTTGAGGAGTGAAGGGGATCCGATCAAGATGGCTTTTGTCTTCTCGGCGTTCAGAGTGAGCCTATTGAGGTTTGCCCAAGCACTTATTCTGTCAATATCTTCCTGAAGTTTTTGAGTGGCATCTGAGATATCTGTCGGATTAAAGGAGAGGTAAATTTGAATGTCGTCGGCATACAGGTGGTAATGACAGTGCAGGATAGAGGATGGGAGGTCATTTATATAGATGGAGAAAAGGGTGGGGGATAAGGAAGAGCCTTGTGGGACGCCTCTGGTCAGAGGTAGAGATTCTGATGGTGGGTTATTAGGAATTACAACGTACTGGGAGCGACCGGTTAGGAAGGATTGGAACCAATTAAGGGAACTAGAAGAAAAAGAGATATTTTTAAGTTTGGTTAGGAGGATGTTGTGGTCTACTGAATCAAAAGCTTTGGAGAAGTCTAGGAGAATAAGGATGGTTAGTTTCTGCTGATCTATGGCTGTGTGAAGGTCTTGGGAAATTTTGATTAGGGCAGACTGAGTAGAATAACCAGGCCTGAATCCAGACTGGTAGGGATTTAGGAGATTATTGTCCTCTAAAAAATGGGATAGCTGGGATTGGACTAACCGCTCTAATGGTTTTGAGAGGTTTGAAAGGAGGGAAATCGGTCGGAAATCATTAGGAACTGATGGGTTTGAAGTCTTCTTCAATGGGCGTACTAGGGCGGTTTTCCAGGATGTAGGGAAGGTAGCATTTTGAAGAGAATAATTGTATATATGATAAAGGATCGGAAGAATGGATGGCAATGCGGCTTTAATCAGTCTGACTGGGATGTTGTCGGGACCGTAGTCATTGGTATGGGACTTCTGAATGGATTTAAGGAGCTCATCTGGTGTAATATGGGAAAGAAAGAAGTGATCAGGATTAAAGGAAGAGAACATAGGAGCCAGACTGGACGTGGGAGATGTGGATGCAAGAGGACAGGAGACAAAGTGAGCGTTGAGGTTATCAGCAGAAACGGAATTGGACTGAGACTGGGGTGTATTACCAATGGTCAGTTTTCTAAGAATAGCCCACGTAGCCTTGGTATTGGGAGAGTTGGATAGGGAATGATGGTAGTAACGGGATTTAGCACGGCGTACTGCTGATTGAGTGCTATTTCGAAGCTGTTTGTAGGAGAGAAAATCATCAGGAAGTCGAGTTCGTTTAAACCGTCGCCTTGCAGCATCTCTTTCTCTCATACACTCCCTCAAAGCAGGGGTAAGCCAAGGAGCTGGAGGATATCGGATGGTTTTTGTGATAAGAGGAGCATGTCGGTCGAGGATAGAGTGAAGTTGAGTGGTTAGGATTTCTACCATGGTGTCTATGGATTTTGAGGAGTAGATGGGATCCCACTGGATATCGTCAAGACCTTCTGACAATGTTTCGTGAGTGAGATAATCTAGGTTTCGGAAGGATATTGTTCGGGGAGAAAAGGATGGAACAGGGACATTGTAAGAGATCTGGACAAGATCGTGGGAAGATAGAAACGGAACCGGGTGCTGAGATGCGGCAAGGAGTTTGTCTGAGGAATCCAGGATAATTAGATCGAGCCAGGACTCTGAATACTGAGTATGATGGGTTGGATTGTAGGGTACTATGTAAAGGCTGAGAGAATTAAAGAGGTTTGTTAGGTAGGAATAATCAGAGGATGGTGCCAGTAAATTGGTGTTAAAGTCACCGGAGAGGATGATGTTTGAGTAGGAAGGGATTAAGTTGTACAATAAAGTCTCAAGTGATTCATCGAAAGGAATTCTAGGAGGGCGATATATGACAGCAAACAGAATGGCAGATGAGGTGGTGAGGATTTCGGCGAAAAGGTATTCAACGTGCGGAGAATCGGTTATGGAAGAGCAGTGAAGAATTTTGGATTTGAGACTGTCATGGACAAAGAGACCTACTCCACCACCCGTGCGATCTACTCTGTCATGACGAAGGAGAGTATAGTTAGGTAGAAGGATCTGGGAGGACGGGATTGTGGGTTTCAACCAGGTTTCGGATACGGCAATTAAATGGTAGAAGTTATGGAGAAAAAAGTCGTAAAATTCATCAAAATGGGCTAAGAGTGACTGAGCGTTGACGTGGCAGGTTAGAAGGATATTAGTCATGGAAGAAGGAGGGGTGGCTTGGTAAACGGACAGAAGGAGTTAAGGATAGGAATATTTCTACAGCAGCTAGAGCCAATTGTGTGCAAGATCTCCTAGATATTAATAAGGATGGTAAACAAAAAATATAAAATTTAGTTAACGAAAAGCATATTCCTATTGTGCAAAAGAAAAAAAATACACAAATTAGAGTTTCTGGACAGATCAGACCTAAAATATTCTCATAAACAAAAATGAAATTATTATCATAGTCTATTATTAAAACAAACGCAACAAAAACATAAAACTGGGGATATAAAAAAGTAAAAACAAAATTGTTCAAAGTGTTGTAACATGTATATGCATGTCAAGCAAATGTTTCTAAATCTGATGGTGAGTTGATGACGACGACCTGCTGTCCATCGTCTCGTCGACATTTCACCTTGCCTGCGCTAAACCAACTGTACCTGAAATATGCATCATCCTCTTTCCCAAAAAATCTTCAGGACTTTACTTTTTGTGAAGTTTATTGCCATTCCTTTTCCAAGATTCTTTTCTTGCCATTTACATAAGACAAACTGCAGTTTCATTTTGTTATCATAGAAAACCAAGGTGCCTTAATTGATAAGCTCGTACTAATATTGTTTAAAAGTTTCACAGATCTCACTGTGGTCTTTCTCTTACTTAACTTTCCTCCGTAATTATGATATAAAAAAAGGAGTGAGACTGTTCTAATTTCTACTATAGGGAAGAAATTTGAACTCGTACCATATCTATATTGACTTAACTGCTTAATTAAAGCCACAAGACCTTTTTTCCTGTCTTATTAATACTATAAATCGAGTCAAAAATTGCTAAGATGTTTAGAAAAGTCACTATTTATCACCCAGTATGTAGTAGTCCCAGGCTAACCTTCATCTAAGACCCTTCCCCTCTCCTGTGGTGTCCCTCAAGGTTCCTCTCTATCTCCTACTCTGTTTGCTATTCACATTAATGACCTTCCTCTCATGATCCATCACTCCCAATACCATATCTATGCAGATGATTTCCAAATATACCTGTCCTTCCCGCCCTCCGACCTATTATCTGCCACAGAGAAACTACAAGAAGACTTGGATAAGATTTGTGACTGGGTGAAAACTAACAAGTTGAAGTTGAATGCGGGAAAGACGAAGGCTATCTTAATAGGCTCCAATCACCTCCTTAAAACTGTTCCTAATATTCCAACTCTGTTTCTGCATGATAATCCCATCAAATTTTACCCCACCATCAAAACCTTGGAATAACCTTCGATCAAACACTTTCCTGGAAAAACCATGTATCAAATATTTCCCGCCTTACCATTTCCACTCTAAAATGTCTAAATTATTCTTGTCACCTATTTCCATTTGAAACCCGTAGGCTCCTAGTCACTCTCCTAGTCACTTCTTTAATTTTCCTCCATTTTGACTATTGCTTTCGTCTCTGGGGATCTCAAGGCGAAACTAAAATGTTTAATAAATTGCTTTGTACGATTCATCTTCGGGATACCAAGGGACGCTTCTGTTTTCCATTTTTATGCAGAGTTGAAGTGGCTTTATCCTTCCTACCAATCTAATACCTTTCCTACCTTTAAATCCCGCCTGTTCAATAATTTCTTATCCATCCAGTCCCCATGAAATTGTAAATAGATACTAATGTAAATATGCATATAAATTATTAGCTCGTTCTTCATTATTTTTACTTCATACTTTCTTTTAAATTTTTTATTATTAATTGATTAAAATTAGAAAGTAACTTATAATTTTTAATTTTATTACTATGACTGTTTAATTACTCTGTATCTTTATTTATGTATCTCTGAGACTCCTTAGCCCATATTTATGTCTTTCTGTATTATTCTAAAGGGACTCGTCCCAGAATAAATAAAGTATTATTATTATCTATATCTGTGTTCTGTCTCTATCCATATTTGTGTTCTGTCACAATCCCTATGTGTTTTTATGTAGTTCTGAGTTTGTCTTCCCAGTTGGAATGCAGTCTGCTCTTTCTTAAGATCATTTTCCATAAGTTGTCTCAGTATTTGTTTCAGAATTGAAGTATTGATGGTTGGTATTTGTTAAAATCGAATGTAATATGTTTATTTACTTATATTAAATTACTGTGATTGTAGTATGCAAATATGTCTATGACTTATCTCTAAACTTTGTTTCTAGTTTATTTATTTTTTAAAATTTTATTAATAATTTTCAATGAAGCAAAATATAATTAATTTGTTTTTTCTTTTATAGAATGGCGTCTCCTAATGACGATATGTTTGGGGGATTCGATATGTAAGTATATATATTATTTTATAGCTTTAATATAGTTATTTTGGTAGCAGCCCTAATTACTGCCTCCTTACTTATGACATATTTATCGAATCTTAATCAGCTGTGGCTTATATAGTTGTAATTCAATGTATAATTATTAGCCGGTAGGAATCAAAATTTATTCTAATTTTTTCTTTGTTTTCTGTTTTATTATTATCAAAAGTAATAAGATCATGGAATTAGGTATCATGTCAAGGATTTTAGCTTTGAACAGTGGGGAAAGAAGCCCTAGGGCAGGCATTGTAATTAACAATCCTAGCATTCATGTAATGGATCTTGAGTAGTATATCAAGACGGATGGTGGTTACGTCTAATATCTACATATCTACTTTGCTGGATTAATATTGAGGAGGGTATATCTCCTGTTGAAGTAATGGCTTATAAAATGTGATCATGTGGATACCCATTCTTGGAGCCTCTGGGAATTCTGTCGAATGAATTTGTTTGACTTGGTGAATTCATATTGAAGAGAAGTAATTGTAAATGGTCATGCTGCGATCCTCGCTTTTTAAGGGCCAAGAGAACAGAGCTGGATAGATGTTACGCTGACCTCAATACTAGTAAGATATATTGTCCGTCAGACCTTCACATGTCAACGACAGCAGATATGAAACGAGCACAATAATTTTATTTAACCTAGCACACACCATTGGTATGGGTTCTTCAACCCGAAGAGAAGAATGAAATACTTTTCTGGCAGCCCTTGAGAGAAAATTGGAAAACTGCTCTCATGAAGAATGGGAAGTTGTGACACTATACAGCACCAAAAGGCGGGACCTCGCCCTATACCTCTTTAAAGAGAAAGCTCCACAAGGGCTGGCAGTCCTACCAGAGGTGCTATTGTGACTAGGAGAGCTCTGCACTTCATAATAGGTACATTCCGAGGTTTATCAAAACAAGGTACACTTGAGCAGAAGTGAAGATGTTAAGATTTTATTTAAAAAGACTCTGCATGGAATCCTTAAGGTATTCTAGCCAAGATTGCTCTGCATTGTATGTGTAGCTCTTAAGCAAGGAGATGCTCAACCGGAGATCAGCAAGAATTTTCTTCTAGATGATACCCCAGGGAAAACCAATCTCTTAGCAAAGAATATGCCATCTTTGTAATGCACACCGAAATATATACAATGCACAATTTTATGTTTCCACCTTGGGATGGTATTTTTGAACTGTCTTGGATTGAAAGAAGATTAGATGTGGGCCAGGTTTAGATGCTATTAACTCAGCGATACTCAAGAAAAGCATTCTCTCTGTATTGAAGGCCAGTTTTTTGGTAATCTGGTACCTGGTAATGTATATTATAAATTACCTAGTGTTGTTAAATTGTCTAGTAATCAAGATAACTAATACCAATTAGTTTTTAATTTAATTTATCTATACTTACTCAATATATTATATTATTTCTTGTCAAGAAGTATTTATTTTTTTAATATATAATTTTTTTTTTCAGGAACTCAATTGATTATGTTTTAGTAAGTATTTTTTGATATTTTTATATTAACTATACTATTCTTATTCCTTTACAATAAAATATGGAAAAGTGAAGTACTATTAAATATAATCCTCAATTTACCATGTTTCTATTAATTTTTTTCTCTCTAGCCTGATGATATCAATGGAGATTTACTGGATGGAAATTTCTTTTTTGTTGGTAATATTCCTACCAAAGAAGAATACCCTGGTCCCTTTAACTTTACTCTGACCATGGACACCAATGGGCAAAAATGGGTAGTAAGTATCTGATTTGTTTTTTAGATAACGATAATGATTGTGATTTTATAAATTCTAAATTATTTGTATGCGTTGAATTCAGAATTTTTGTTGATGAATCTTGACTTAAGTTTATAAACAAACTTCCTTATGTTCATATTCATTTTCAATATTCTAATTCTGGTACCGGTACTGGTGGGGGAACTAATCCGTCATGTGGACCTCATGGTCCTTTTTGCCAACCCCTAATTGCTATCTTGAGGATACTTACCAAAGTGGGTGTGTCAAGATTCCTTTCTCAGGGCTGCTGAGAAATCAAATTAAATGACCCAGGTGAGAATTGGACCCACAACATTCAGAACTGGGCACTTTGCGACCTATGCCCAAACATGCTTGGCCATCATGTCCTCAATATTCTTATAACTCTAATAAGAAATTAAGTGTGTGAACTCATGATTTAAATTTGAAGTGAGTCCATTCCGTAAAGGAAACAAGCTTGTTAATCATTATGTTATCTTGCTTCCCTTCAAAGACTTCCCATCTATAGTATTTTATCTCTTTCATAAAATTCGAAGAATCTTTATGCATCTTTTGTTTTTGCACTTGAGAAAAAAAAAGTTTGAAGAATAATTTTTAGAAATAATATTTTATCATTATTTAATTTTGATAACTTGTATTTTATATTTGATTATTATAGCCACTATGTTTACTTTTCAGTATTCCAAGCCTCTCGAACAAGTATTTATTGGCATGAACAAAGTTTTAGTACTGAATTTTCATACCGAATTGCAATTACCCCTAGATGAAGGATATTATATTAGAGCATTGCCTGTATATAGTAATAACGAACACATAAACGTACCTGTTTGCCGATGCACATTTCATGCATTTGAAGATGATCCCCAATCTCAAGGTAAGCTTTATAATTTAATTTAATTATAAACGTTATCTGAAAAAAAAAATTTTCTCTCTCTTAAAAGGACTATTTTATTTATTTGTGTCTATTTTCTTATTATATAATTAACCTTAAGCGTATTACAAGAAATTGAATGAGGGTAACAGAAAGATACATGAGGTGCTCTGTAGTCTGGACAGTTCCTTAATTTGATCTGCCCTTAGGCTTAAATTGCTTGAAAAAGCAAAGTTATTATATGAATTGAATGGAGAATGAACTAAAATTTTATTAAAATTATCTGATGGGATTCTTTACGAATGATTCCAACTTTTAATCATCTCTACTGTTTGGTAAAGTATAATCTACTTATTGCTTAAATCCTACTTACCTGACTAGAGATAGCTTCTATTCTGTAAATTATTTTACCTTTCATTATTGTAAAACAGTGAAATGAGCACATTTATTGATTGAGTTTATAAAAAGAATTTCATCCTGATTAGGTAATAGTCAAATAGTAGTTTTTGACTAAATGAAGGAAGTTTGTAAATTATCAATGGAAACAGCTGTCTTTATATATGAGAAACTAGTGAATTTTTTCAAGAAGGTACAGGAACTTCGAATCACAGCCTTTTTGGTATTGATCCAATTACTGAATCTTTATTATTCCTATTTATTTCTTTTTCAGCTCACCATACACCAGATAAATGTAGATGTGAAGAATTCAATAATGTCGGGCATGTAGTTAGAGCCCAATGCAGAGACGCTATTTACTGTTTTGACAAACATTCAGGTCGGCACAGTGTAATGATACCAGTAAATCGTCCCCAACCAGGGTCTGATAAAATAGCCATTCCTTATTCCTTCGCGTGCAAAACAAGTTGTCAAGGAGGAATGCAGAGGCGTGCTATTCATCTAATATTCACCCTTGAAACTATAGAGTAAGTCTATGATGTCACTCTAACATTCCAAACTTGGTCGAGGATTGCAGTCATCGAAGTACATAAAAATAAATTCTATTTATTTTCTTCGTGTGTTATATTTAAATTATATTCATTTATTTTTGGGTATGTCCATGACTGCAATCCCCAACCTTATTTTATTATAAAAATCAACAGTCAAAATTTCTCCATCATCTTACATCTATATCATTCTATCTTTGTGTTATTAACTTAAAATTTATTTTAATTTCAGTGGTTCTATTCTTGGAAGAAGAATATTAGGAATTAAAATTTGTAGTTGTCCTAAAAGAGATAAGGAACGACAAGAAAAGGATTTTTATGCTGACAAACTTGGGGAAAATCAGAGCAAACAAAGGCTTCCTCAATCTAATAATGAACCAAAAACCAAAAAAATTAAGCTGGAACACCTGGAGCTCTTACAACCTCCAAAGGTGATTTTTTTGAAATTATGAATTTTATTTATGATTTTTTTTTTAAAACTCACTTATCTTGTTGGTTTTCATTGAATTTTAAAGATGAATTGAGGTATCGGCTGTTCCTTACTAGAACCTCTCACTTATGAAATTTCTCTCTAGGTAGCATTTAAGTAAACTTTTTCATCTTTGTTCTCTTCCTTCTTCAGCCAGAGATCCTGTGAGTCACTCTGAAGAGCTATTTACCAGTGCAGTACTGATATTTTACCTCTTTAGTACCTTTCTCAAACTTGACACCAACAAATTGTATTTATATACCTTATAAAAACTTTTAAAAAATGTGCTAAGAATTGAAAATTTCCATTCGCATTATATGCTTAAAGATATCAAGTTTGGTTTGGTGTCTGTCTGTTGTCAAATCGATGTGACAAGCATAGCACCTACTATCTTGTATCCAATGTTCATGAAATTTTCAGGGATTGTGCGGATGGTTGATGCCTAGATGATCATCTATAAATTTAATCAAATTCCGACCAGTGCTCATGCTTGCACTCACCTAAATTTTTGCTAATATTTCAGAAATGGCTTATTCAATTCGGCTAAAAGTTGGAAGAAAGGCGAGTATTGTTAAAAAAAATTGTGTTATATGTGATTGTTTCTTTTGAAGTTTAACCACCTCATTGTGTTTTTGATTTCTCCCTTAAATACCAATATAGTTTAAAGTTCACTCATGTTTGTGTATTCCACATTAAATTTGTTTTGCTTTGACTGATGGAAAATGTTGGTTTCGTTAACATCGAACAAACAAAAAGTGGAATTTTTTGTCAATAATAAAAGGAACTTTCAGATCTAATATGGACGCTATATACTAGTGTATGGGTACTGTATCAGTACATGGGCCGTATTAACGTTCTATTTTGCTGGCGCGGCTCACAACAGCAACCGCTATTCCACGTTACCAACTGCTGTTGGCGTAGCTATTTCGCTGAAACTGCTCACTGGGGTTGTTATAACCTGCCTATAACCTTCAAACATTTCGCTTTATCTTCGAAGATAAAAAAATGGACATTCTTTCTCTGACTACGCTTTTTTATTTGAGGAGGAAGAATAAGAAGAGGAAATGGTGTTCATAAGGAGAAGGAATATCAGTATTTCTATGAGATGATCATCATCAAATCCCTTCTTTGACATTGTTTGCTATTGTCTAAATGAACAATAAAAAATTAAGGAACAACCAAAAAAGAATAAAAAGGTGGGCAACACTGTACTAACAATAGTCCCTCTGATATTAGATATTATTAGTTTGAAAAGTAATAGTAATTATTACATAATTGATTAGTAATAAATATCATATATTTGTAATTAAATCACATCAGACGATGTTTTATCGTTTTATCAATAGTAATCAGTAAATCCCCACTTTAATTAAAAAATACAAGTAGATTTTTCAATGAGTGGATTTCAGTATTTACCTGACGTTAAAATTTGTTGGATTCTTTAATTTATTTAGTATCGTTTGGATTTAGGTATATTTGAATTTTTCTGTAAAATGTTGTTGGTGGAATAAATAAATAATCTTGTTACTTCAACCTTAAAAAAATAATTTATTATTGCATTGTTAAGTTTTAAACAATATTTCTTATAATTTTGCCTGACGTAAAAGAAACATAGGAAATAAAACGTATCAACGTGACTGTTATCATCAAAACAATGCTCTGATATGATAACATAACCAACAACCGCCAACAGCTCCACTGCTTCAAGAGCGGTCAGATAGGAGCAGCTTAGATATGACGTCATACCTAGACTGCCGAGCAGCGCCAGTGAAATAGTACCTTTAGACCTCCTTGAGAGTACCTTTTATGATTGATGTTAGTAAATAATAGCCCTTTTTATCATTGACCTCACCCAATTTAATCAGTTTTCTAAAAAAATATGGGTTGTAGTGGTACATTTTTTTTTTTATGATATACATGCATATTTTATACCTTTTATTCTTCACAATTCAACAATATTTATATCAATTGTATTGTTTTTTTGTTCTCCAAATTATAGGTGCTTCTCCTTAAGTATAATAAAGTAAATATTTTTAATGAATGAAATATCATTTTTATTGTAGGCTCCAGTTGATGGTGATCTTAAGCGAGAAATAAAAGATTTTAAAAAAATGTTTGATGACTTTTCGAGTAGTTTAAACAGTTTGATGTCTATGCACAGCAAAATGCTCCAAAAAATGAAACGTATCGATGAACTTCAGCGGAGTTTTACATTTTAACAATTTTTGTATTGGTTGTATCTTAAATAAGAGATGTTTTATTATTTTTTTTGTTAATTTTCAGCAATATTTTATTACATTACTGGATATATTGATAAATTTTGTATTAATACTGACGAATTCTAAGTATTTTCTTTTATTGCATGTTTTTGTTTATTTATATATATATATTTTTTACTATCAAGTTAGTACATCTCTGTTTTTCAAGTGATAATATAAAATAAGTCTTTCAATTTGAATATGGTTAAGAATAAATATATATTTATATATATAAAAGTTTATACTTTTTCTCAAGGTTTAACTTAGTGTTGAGGTTATGTTAGAATTAATTTTATTATCAAATAATATTTTTTTCATATTTGATCTCATTGTTATCTACTTAGCTAGATATAAAATGATATGTGATAACAATTTTGTTATCGTTAAGTAGTCATAACATTTTTTACAGTGACCTTGGTGCTTAAGTTTGTGCAAATTAAACTATTAAGTTATAGTCATAACATTTTTCAGTGACATTGGTGCTTAAAAGTTTGTGTAAATTAAACTATGAAGTTTATTCAACCAGTTTTGATAGAAGATATTTCAGCTTTGTATAAGGATTAGTTGTGTATTTTTTTTTTTTTTTTTTTTTACAGTTATCAATGTTAGTTTATTGTATCCTTTATTTTTTTCTCAATAAAATGCCATATTGATTATTTTCTTTATTTATACCCCATTTAAGATTTGAATTATGTTCACTAGGTTGAATTACCCATGTTCCCAACATATACATGCTGTGCTTTAACTTGACTGAAACATTGATCTCATCAAAATGACATTATTATAATTTTAAAAATCTGGTGTGTCCACTCACACGACTTTCCTACCTATTTCAGAAAAGATTTTATATCTTTACATATGTCCATCAAGAAACAACAAAAAATTAATTAGATTTATCAAAGAAAAGATTTGAGTACGATTTATTTGATAAACTAAAGCAATGTAAACCGGCTTAAGGTAGATCAGTATCAAAATCTCAATACCCTCTAATATTGCTGATCAAACATTTTTTGCCATAGCCTAATTTTGTCAAACAATAATATCTGTTAAAAGTAAAGGAAATAGTGAAGCTTGTATGATGCAGGCAACAGATTTTCTCACTTTCACTTAGTTATCTTTTTTCTCTCATTCATCACTTTCTGACACCAGGATATGTACCCGTAATCTTATATTGGAAATTGAATAGCTGTAACTTTGTTAATAGTTGTACGAAATGAACGATTTTTATATAGTTTTGTAGGGAATTTCATTACCTTTAAAAAAAAACAGTTTAAACGGTGTACAAAATGTGTAAGGGCAATTATTAGAATATTATAGGAAAGTTTCATCAAAATCGTTTCACGAGCCGTTTTCACAGTCTATAGAAAAACATGTTTTTAGTTTATTGCGCATGGAGCACCCAATTTCTGTCACAATCATCAGCAGCCAATCAAAACCCCACAAAATAAAAAAAGAAACAACAAAATCGGCTCAGTAGTTCCTGAGAAAACCTTGGCACAGACAGACCAATGGCTAAAAATGTGTTTTTCAGACTCAGGAGGCTCAGAAACTTTTAGATCCGTCGAAAACCGCATATTGGAAATTTGACCTGATTGCAATACTTTCCTTACCTAGTATATGTAGGAAAGTAAAAAAAATTGAAAATGAACATATCATCTTTCTGTAACTACTCCGAAATAAGAAAGAAGTTTTATGTTTCTAGAAGAAAAACCATTGTCAAGCTGGGCAAGACTTAGAAAAAAAATTTTAATATATAAGTTTCAAGGGTTTTATTTAATTACGTTCTTGGTTTTTAGTAAAATTATAACATTTATTTACATTCTTAAAAAAAAAAAAAAAAGTTATGTTGGATGAGAATTATACAGTAATTGGGGTTACAGATATAAATTATCTTATGTATTGTTAACAATAGGTTGCTTCAATAGAACTTTAAAATAAGTCCTGTAAAACTTTTGAAAATTGCAAGGAAAAAATTTGATTTTTTTTTTATAGACAAACTGTAAATCTTTGGCCGTGTGATGTCTCCTTACAGATGGGTAGCCTGGAGGTGGGTCACACAACCTTACGTTGTTAAGGACCATGGTGCATTGGCAGACCACCCATAGCCGATCCCTGCTTTATGTCCTCATCTGGGTTCAAGAGCTGCATCAAATTGATCGAGATACAAGAATTAGGGCTGCTCAGAGCCAGCAGGTGCACAAGAACGAAACTTCTGGAGAGCAACAGACATCCTGCAAAACCTTATCGTGATTCCCGTCTGATTAAAGTACATAGAGGATGGTCCAAGTATGATTTGCCTCCAGTTGACTGACAGGCTTCACATAATGTGGAGATCGATGGTAGGTCTTCCTCAGTAGGCAGTCACCCATCCAAGTACTTACTACACTTGACGTTGCTTTTAAGTAATGTAATATAAAATAATAACTATGATTATCTATTGCAAGGACTTGAGCCCGCTCAACCATCTTCCCTATTCACAAAATAACAAACGAATTTACACTGAAATTGATTGAAAATTCTATTTTCAGCCATGGAAAATGGTGTAAGACCACTATTATTTAGTTTAGGCCTCCTTTCTAATATACCCCATTTCTTCTATTGCACCTTATTTTAAAAAACAAAATGAAGAAATTGATCAAGATAAGCTTGATGATATTTGATGTGATATATAATTTTGTAATATTTTATTATGGTGTTAAAGATTTTTTACTTTCACTTACCTATATATGAAATATACACCAAGAGAAAAAAAAGTCTCGCCAAATAGTCTGTATGTGTGTGTATGTATATGAATAGTCTAGCTCAAAAATGAAAAGTCATATGAAAGTGAAATTGCATATTTAATGTTTGTATATACCTGGAACGTTACAACATTTGGTCAAAGTCGGCTAACTGCAAATGGCACTTCATATATTCGAATCGATTTTCTCAAAAAAGGCTCTAACGATTTTGATTAAATCCATTATGACATTGTAAAATTAAGAGGTATTTAATATAATTTAGGTTATATTCTCATTGATTCTAATTTTCAATATTTTTTCCTCTAAAGTATCTTTAATTTTTTTTATTTGAAATAATTAACCATTTCACAATTTACTCAGATATAAAAAATAGTTAAATATAAGAAATGAAAAAACTTGATAATTAACTAAAGGAGAAATAAGAGATAGTAATGAAGAATAGTTGTAATAAAGAGAACTAAGGAATACGAGTTCACCCAAAAGATTAGAACAGGTTTCCATACGTAACATAAGCTTAATATAATATGGACTCCGACAATATTATAAAAATAAACATGTATGGTTTCCATAAATTCTATCAATTGTATTACTTAATCACATGAATTACAGTGATATTAAAATTTGTATACCTAAGATCTGCCATAAATACTGTTACAAAAGTTAACTTTGTTCACATCCTTGGGTATTATTTAGATAATCCTTATCTCTATTAGGTTATTTTCTTTACATGTCAGGATAATAATCCCAATTAGTTTGTATTTTTCTTTTTCTCAGTTAACATAGAGTGGGGTGATAAAGAAAACCAAATAGCTGTGATCGTCATACACAAAGTTGGAAAATGTAGGTCAGAGATTTTCAACACTTTGAAACCTTTAGTTACCAGCTGTATGTTCGTGTACCGCATTATAAATAGATATAATGAGACCCTATCTGAATGTGACAGACCTCGAATGGGCTGTCCCCGAACTGTGAGAACGGCAAATGTAGTGAGAGCAGTGGCTGCTCAAATCAGAAGAAATTCCACTCGGAAACAACAAATCATGACTTGGGAATGGGAATCTCTGTCAAATCAATGTCTCACATAATAAAAAGTGACCTTAGGATGGGTGCATTTCAAAGAATGACAGAACAGAGACTAACTCAAGAAGTGTTACCTGCTGCTATTTATGACTGGCCATGGAGATTAAATGCCTGAATCAAGGCAAAAGGGGGACATTTTGAGTAATTTCTTTTTTGTTTTACTCTTTATAGATGTACATTTTATTTTCTAATAAAGTTATTGAAAAAATTAATTTTTCTGTAGAAATCTGTATATATTTCCTTGTAACAATATTTGTGATAGGACTAGGTATATACCGGTACTTAAACAAATAAAAATACCCACAATGAAACATAAATTAATATAGTGGTGGCCTTCTTTATCAGTGGCACTCTTGTCGGACAAAAAATATTTCGTAGCACTTAATTATTTATTATAATCAAAGAAATAATTGAAATATACAGTTGTAAAAGGAAATAGCTAGTAAAAAAAAAAATAAATATAATACATTAGACGGCTATGAAAAACATATGGTAATTAATTGTTTTAAATAATGTTTCATACCGTCTATCATTTTTACTTTCACTTCCCTTTGTTTGAAAATACCTATTTTTGCTAAGAAGTTGATAGTAAGTGAAAGTTGTGTGATGCGCGCACCGCAACAGATTTTTTTTTTTTAATTTCTTCCAAAACAGCAAATAGTAAAACATAAGAGGAATACGATAAGAAGGTAGGAATAAAAGCAAATACAGAATTAGCTAGTTAATTAGTAGGAAATTGAAAGAAAGAAAAAAAAAACTTTGTGTTGTTTTGAAATTTCCTATAAAAATAGATTTATAATAATATACAGATCACATTTACAATTAAATCCCTAGGCTGATCCCCAATATGGGGACATGGCCGACATAAATACAACATCTACAATTTACTATGATACAAATAGCGATTAAGGTGAAGATCAATGTGGTACATACTGACAAGTATTATATCTACATGATTACTACAAGCATTAATAATAAGATGTAACACAATATTACAAATATGTAAGATTTCATTTTTTTTTTAATTAAATTTTCTTAAGGTTGCCCAAATGCTAATTATATGCCTGGAATAAACTGAGGGCTGTGTAAATATTTTCAACTAGAGCGACATAAACTAATAACATAATATACGCTCACTTTTAAAAAGTAATTATTAATACTATTATCACCAAAAGAGACACATTATAACTTTAAATTAAAAAAAAAAAAAAATATTCTGAACATCAAAAACAAACTAGTCCTTAATAAATATGCTCAGTCATATATAATTGGATCTAATTTTCATATTAATTTGACAATTAATAAATTAAACGTAAAAAGAGAGAAAAAAACAAACATAAAATGTTGACCCAATTAACATTGTTACGATCTTTTTTTTTTTTTCTTTTTGGACAGTATAATTTTTTTCTAATTTGTTCTTTTTCTGCCAAGAAAATTCTTTTACAATTACTAAAGCGTTTGTTTAATTGCTAACAATGTTCAGTCAAAGTAATACTAACTAAACCTTAAATCGAATGTTATTCAATTAATTTAATAATTATTATATACATATAAATGAGCTTTGTTTTACGCTGCCCAAACCATTATAAATATAAAAGATATAAGTAACAACCCTGATAAAAAAGAGCAGAATAAGTTTAGGTTTTAAAAAGTTATTATTTTTTTCTTCAAATCATGTCTTAATTCATTTTACACATTAACAAAAAACGTAAAAACTGTTTTTATTTTCTTCTTAATTATAATTTACACTTCGAAATATTTATAGTTCCCCTATTACCAGGTACATTAAAATTGTAATACTCTCCTACTTAAAACTCTTTTTTTTAATTTTTTTTTTTAAAAACCTTTTTTCTTATTTAAACAATTAAAGCAGTAAGGATCCTCGTTTTTCCTAATTTTAAGTCATTTCAAATACAAAGTATGAACACCACGAATATTAACACAGCTAATAAAAAATGTTGACGTTAATTGGCTATTTGTCAAGATAATACTAATTACCTATTCGATGAGGTAGTGTGTGCCAGTTTACAAACAGACGTAACTAGAACATTTACAGGCAGAGTATTACACAAATACGTCAAACTAATAATCACTTATACACATACTCCATCCGAAAAAACAATATTAAAAAAAAATCTTTGGACTTATAAACAGCATTAATAAACACATTACTGCAATTGATCAATAAATACAAAATTTAAAAATAATATACATCTTACCGTACGTGTGACACCGACTAAAATAAAATAAACTAGTGTAGGCCAAAAACAGTCGTAAAGCGTGAAAGAAAAGTGGAGCTTATAATAAAAATATATACTTAAAATATTTTTTAAAACTCGGCATGGCTATGACTGATGGGTTTGGGGTGGGGGGAATCCGTTGTGAAAAGAAGTAAAAGGTGTCGGATCATCAAGGAGTGCCATCGTATCTAATGGAAGCTGGAGAAGAGGTAAACTCCTACTCAAAGTTTCTAATGACCTAACATCGTTATTCACAGCTTCAAGTGCTCTTTCTAATTCTTCTGTTTCTTCCCTAGTTGGTTCGTATTCGCCGTTTTTATCTGGAAAGAAAACAAGTTTTGTTATTACCTCTATATTGTGGTTACATGAGATAATAATTGTAGAAATACTTTTTTATTTATTTTAGAACACTAAAAGGTAAAGACGTTCTAGGAATAGAAAATAGCATTATTCTCGGACAAAGCCCCTTTAGAATAACAAAATAGTACAAAATTAAAAGACTACATCTGGCCTAAATAAAACAATAACAAAAAAGAAAAGTAAAGAAAACATTAGTTAAACAAGCTATATAAAAAACGCTTGAAACCATGACAACACACTTAAAACTATGTACAGTAGTAAGAAATTATAATTATACACTTTTAAGAAAAAAAATAATTAAAGTTCTTCTTTAAAATAAGCTCTGTGTTATTAATAAACAACTATAACATAAGGCTTTGATTGATCATGAATCTATCTTTTAGTGCAAAAAAAAAAAACATATTCCATAATCCATCTTGAAAAAATCAATTAAAAAATTCTGAGCAAGAAATCTAAAAAGAAAAAATCTTCAATCCCCTCAACATTTGAGGTTTCATGTATCGAGTTTTGTAGATTTCAAAAACATTCTGTTGGGCACAGTTTTTGTGTCAATTTTTTTTTTTTTATCCTTTCCAATTTTATTAAAATAAACATTCTTTATTTCAGAAGTAATGCTTTAACTTTTAAATCTTATAATGAGAATATTAGAACAATTAAAACAAAAAATTCACAAAGTAGACTTAAGAATGTCATTACAAAAATTCCTGTAAAGAAGATGGTTCTTCACTTTTGGATTAAAAACATTTTTTTTTTTTTTTTTTTGTGATGATTTAAGGATGAAAAAAGGTCAGTATGAGCAGACAAGAAATTACGTTTATTGAGTTAAATATTAATTTTATAAAAAATTAAAATTATTAAATTTAGTTAACTCAATGTACTACTTAATTTTTTGACAGCCCATCCTGACCACTTTTCACCTTAAAATTTCATCTGTCAAAGATATACCCATCTCTAAATTTTTCTAGAAATAGTTCTACAATTTTATATTATGTCATTATATTCACTTTTAAAATTTAATAATTAATTAGTTATTGTATGCTAAAGTATTGATTTCATATATAAAGATACATAATAGTCATAAAACGTCCAGAAACAAGAGCAGTAACGGTAATAGTGGTCTAGTGTTTACTTCAGAGCTCTATTTTCCTACCCATCATTTTTCCTCGGAGTGAGCAAACCTGGTAATTTTATAGAGGTTGTCCTTCGCCTTTTCTGTGGGCCCTGGTGGAAGAAAACTCCAGAGCAACTGTTCAAGAACTTGCAGGGAAACTTAACCTTAGCAAATCGACTGTAGATGATCATCTCAAGGCAATTGGAACGATAAAAAAACTTGGAAAGTTGGGTTTCACACACATTAAATGGCCGTCAAAAGAACCAGCATTATTAAGTTTGAACTTCCCTTCTTTGCTGAAACAAAAATGACCGTTTTCTGTCCAGAATTGTTACTTGTTACTTAAGGATAACAGTAGAAGTTCTGGACAGTGGCTCGACAAAGGAGAAGCAGCAGAACATTTTCCAAAATCCCCAACTCATCAAAAAATGGTGATGGTTACTGTTCGGTGAGCTTCATTTGATTTGATACACTACAGCTTCTTAAATCCTAGAGAAACCATCAATGGTGAATCGTATTTTAACCAAAATAATGAAATGCATCAGAAATTGGCGACAAGGAAGCCATCTTTATCTCTGGTCAATCGGAAGGGGCCCATTTTGTTGCATGACAACGCCCGGCCAGATGTCTCATGTGTGACGTCACAAAAACTGTTGGAACTTGGATAAGAACCTCTGCCACATTCGCCCTACTCTCCAGATCTCTCGCCTACAGATTATAATTTTTTTAGACACTTAGACCACTACTTACATGAGAAAAAATTTAATGAACAAAGGGAATTAGGAAAGTTGCCAACATCTTGGCAGAAATGTATTGATAGTAGTGGAGACTATTTTGATTAAATAAAACAGTTGAAAATCTTTCTTTTAAAACAAAAATCCTGCATTATTTTCCAGACAACCCAATAATATTTTGAGATAGCACAAATTAGCTTACCAATGAAAATGTCGTTAAAAGCATCAGTGGACAGCTGATTGAGAACATTGGTTAAATCGTGTTCTTCTAGCAATCTTGTAGCTTGGCTAGCAAGTTCAGCCGGGTCTAAAGAAGCTATAGCAAGAACCTCTTCTACTGGAACTTCTTCCACAACGCCTGTATCTGTAATAAATTTAAACACAATTAAGTAACTATTTTTGACATCTAATAGGGATTGAATTATTTTGATATAAGTTTTTGCATCGATAGATATGATCAAAATTCACAAATACTGCCTAAAAGTTTAGCTTAATAAAAAAAATACAAAGTGAATTTTTGCAATAAACGGACAACATACTTCCATAATTTTCTAAAAATAAGCTATTAGTAATCAGAACTTTTCATGAAAAATTATCATATTAGGATCGATCAATTATGTTTGTCAACAACATCATAACAAGATTATTGAAGGAAGTTAGACGACTGTTCTACATATGATAGGTGATAAATATTCAGGACACAGTCATTATAAAATTTTTATTATACACGGTGGGCCAGACCCCCTTACCGTGCACCCCCCCCACATCCCTATAAATTGCATATCGTTGTGTTCCTTGTAACAATTTATTAAAAAAAAGCCAATGTTCCCACAAAAAAAAGTGAACGCACTGCCCCAAAATGGCGTCCAAAGATGGCGGATTGACGACTTTGACTTTAGTTAGTTTTTTGGTCACTGAGAATCAGCATTAAGCTTAATTTCCTCATAGTTGGTCTTTTATTAAAGCTGAATAGTTATAAAATAATAAAACATGAAGAAATATTAAAAAATAATTGTCTAAGGCTATGAAAAACACCAGTAAACTCAATTTTTTTAACAAAAAAATTTTCAAGTTACAAATCAAGCGTCGTTTGTAATTAAACGGCCTACAATAACGCAAAACGTGCTGAAATAAACCATCTGGAGAATATATTTCTCTTTCTGAAACGCTGATTATTTTTTACAAATGTTTAAGTAGTTCCGTAAAAAATGCACTTATGCGGCAGAAAAGCGGTACTGGCGTGGGTGCCTACAGGCCTCTACCACACCATTCAGTGCCCATAAATGGCTTAGTTATAGTGATATAATAACATTTTTGGTACATTATATTGGTTTTATTAACGAACAAATATTAATGCAATAATTTTATAGTAAAAAAAAAAAATTTAATTTAAAAAAAAATTTATTATAATTTTTTTTAAATTTTAACCTCCTTTATTTTATACGTAGGTCGTTTAAGAATACCTCAATTGTAAAAATGATATAATTATAATAATAAAAGTTAATTAAAAAATATTTTGCTAAATATCTTGATTTTTTTTTATTTAACGTTTGCAATTTAACACTGTGTTTTGAATATTTACTGATTCTTAGAAGTAATTAAAATTTTTATATATTTCCCAGGAAATGAGTCATATTCATACCTTTTTTATAAACTAAAATAATATATACCTAATCTGAACTATATATAATGAATAGCTACCGGGTTGTTTAGTAAAACTCATATATCACTAATTAAAAAATTAATTTTTATTTCCTTTATTTTGTGCAGAAGTTGGACTATATCATAAATAAATAGGAAATTTTAATATTGAATGAATTATTCTCTATGCACAAAGAAAGATATAAAGGGTGACCCTATAAGTTCTTCTATAAACCAAAACTGATTGTTTGGATTTGATCTCAAAATGAGGAAAAACGTGAACTTAAACGAGAAAATTGGAAAAATACATTAAGCGAACGAGAAAGGAAGTGCCAAAACCTCGGAATAGATAAAAAGGACCAGTTATATCCATTATATAGCTCAATGAATGTATAGTAGATAGATGAACAGAATATTTCAAGATGCTGCTAAAACGGGATCAATTGCAGTTTGGATGATATTAAGTGGACGATGTAGGTTTATTATGGTGAAAACCACTTTATTTTCGATTGCTGAAGGTGCACCTCGGGACTATATTAACTTTGAAGATGAATATAGAGATGTATATCGAGAAAGTTATAGCTCATAGCTTTCCTTCTGTTTAGTGGATTTTCAAAAGATTTTTTAAGGTATCTTATATTAGTTGTAGCTCGCTATTCTTCTCGTTATTCTTGAATTGTTCGGAATTTGTACCATATCATAAAAAAATAGGAAATTTTAATATTGAATGTATTATTCTCTCTGCACAAAGAAAGATGGAAAGGGCGAAACCAAACTGCTTTGACAGTTTTGCGCGTACATAGGCAACAAGCATATTAGAAAATAATATGAAAGGACTGTGGTTTTTACCTTTACAAGAAAGGAGATACTAGGAAATGTAATACACATCAAGACCCATTCCTGTTTAGTGTATCAAACAAATTATACACAAGAATCGTAGAAGCTGGAATAAGAAATATTGTCGATTGCCAGAGCGATATGGATTGAGAAACTCAAGTTGCACATTGGAAGAGAAGTTGAAAATTGGGACTGTCTTCACTTTAAGGCAGGTTATAGAGAAGTCCACATAAAAAGAAAAATAGCTCTCTATCTGCTCAGTGCCTCACACTTTGGATTATGCTAATATCTAACTGTCTTTCAGAAAAACTCGTTTTCCTTTTAGATCCCTTAAAAAATCTTTTGAAAATCCACTAAACAGAAGGAAAGCTATGAGCTATAACTTTCTCGATATACATCTCTATATTCATCTTCAAAGTTAATATAGTCCCGAGGTGCACCTTCAGCAATCGAAAATAAAGTGGTTTTCACCATAATAAACCTACATCGTCCACTTAATATCATCCAAACTGCAATTGATCCCGTTTTAGCAGCATCTTGAAATATTCTGTTCATCTATCTACTATACATTCATTGAGCTATATAATGGATATAACTGGTCCTTTTTATCTATTCCGAGGTTTTGGCACTTCCTTTCTCGTTCGCTTAATGTATTTTTCCAATTTTCTCGTTTAAGTTCACGTTTTTCCTCATTTTGAGATCAAATCCAAACAATCAGTTTTGGTTTATAGAAGAACTTATAGGGTCACCCTTTATATCTTTCTTTGTGCATAGAGAATAATTCATTCAATATTAAAATTTCCTATTTATTTATGATATAGTCCAACTTCTGCACAAAATAAAGGAAATAAAAATTAATTTTTTAATTAGTGATATATGAGTTTTACTAAACAACCCGGTAGCTATTCATTATATATAGTTCAGATTAGGTATATATTATTTTAGTTTATAAAAAAGGTATGAATATGACTCATTTCCTGGGAAATATATAAAAATTTTAATTACTTCTAAGAATCAGTAAATATTCAAAACACAGTGTTAAATTGCAAACGTTAAATAAAAAAAAATCAAGATATTTAGCAAAATATTTTTTAATTAACTTTTATTATTATAATTATATCATTTTTACAATTGAGGTATTCTTAAACGACCTACGTATAGAATAAAGGAGGTTAAAATTAAAAAAAATAATAATAATTTTTTTTTTAATTTAATTTTTTTTTTTTACTATAAAATTATTGCATTAATATTTGTTCGTTAATAAAACCAATATAATGTACCAAAAATGTTATTATATCACTATAACTAAGCCATTTATGGGCACTGAATGGTGTGGTAGAGGCCTGTAGGCACCCACGCCAGTACCGCTTTTCTGCCGCATAAGTGCATTTTTTACGGAACTACTTAAACATTTGTAAAAAATAATCAGCGTTTCAGAAAGAGAAATATATTCTCCAGATGGTTTATTTCAGCACGTTTTGCGTTATTGTAGGCCGTTTAATTACAAACGACGCTTGATTTGTAACTTGAAAATTTTTTTGTTAAAAAAATTGACTTTACTGGTGTTTTTCATAGCCTTAGCCAATTATTTTTTAATATTTCTTCATGTTTTATTATTCTATAACTATTCAGCTTTAATAAAAGACCAACTATGAGGAAATTAAGCTTAATGCTGATTCTCAGTGACCAAAAAACTAACTAAAGTCAAAGTCGTCAATCCGCCATCTTTGGACGCCATTTTGGGGCAGTGCGTTCACTTTTTTTTGTGGGAACATTGGCTTTTTTTTAATAAATTGTTACAAGGAACACAACGATATGCAATTTATAGGGATGTGGGGGGGGTGCACGGTAAGGGGGTCTGGCCCACAGACTATTAGTGCCGACGTTTCAACCCAAACATGTGGGTCATCATTAGGACATGTTTCAAGCACTACTCAGTACTTGAATACCTTCAGCGTTCGAAAAAATGCCCTGATGATGACCCACATGCACGGGCGGATCTACGGGGGAGGGGGGGCTTTCGGGCTGAAGCCCCCCCCAAAATGGAAAAATATAACCATGTTTTATGGGAAAAGAAAATTAAAAAATACCTCTTAAAGTATTATTGTTCGTGTAATTACATTTAAAAGTACTTAAGGAATAACTTAAACACCATTTCATATAGGTAGTTAGTTTCTTTCTGTTTTTCCAAAGTAATTATCGTTATTTTTATGAAAAAAAAAAAGGTTTCGGGCTGAAGCCCCCCCCAAAATTAAATCCTGGATCCGCTAGTGCCCACATGTTTGGGTTGAAACATCGGCACTAATAAAAACTTTATAATGACTGCGTCCTGAATATTTATCTATCATCCATCATAATAAAAGATCAATATTAAATTGGAGTTTCATGAATGTGATAAAAATTAACAAATAAACTTTTTATAAATTAAAATAAACTTTCTCTAATCCACCATCCAATAGTCTGACACGATTTTTTTGAAAAAAAAATTACAACAATCAGAAAACATCAATCAGGTCTTGCTAAAGTTTTTTTGTTCAGCATGCCTTAAGTACAGAATATGGCGGATTAGAGTAAATTAAATGTAAATTTATTACATAGTAAATACATCACACAATAGAATAATAAATAGATCACACATATTTGTTGTAATTATATATGCTGGGGTAAAGCAATTATGCTTTAAACATAATGTGGAATAAGAGTTATCAATATTTCATACAAATCAAGAAAAGAATTTTTTTTACTTTAATTTTAGCTTGTCTATCATTAATTATTAGATTATATGTATATATCAATTGCAATGATTTTGAAAGGATAAAATTTACTTTAGTACAATAATAGTTGCGAAATAGTGAAAGTTATAGGAAAAATCTAGAATCTACAGTAGGTTTTGAGCTGTTTCGTTCAATGAGATTCAAGGGAATGACAAAACTTTTCTTGAGCCTTTGGCAGACTGTTTAAAGATTGCCAAAGTCGCAATGAGCAGTTCAATGAAGTATTGGTTCTACTACAGTTGGTTAAGAGTTATTAGTAATTGAGGATAACGATAAATCAGTAATTCAGTTCAGTTTTAATTTATCAGTAATCAGTGATAAGATTATATTGTTATAACAAGTAATAATTATATTTGTGTCTCTTAAATTAAAGGCCTCGGAGAAAGATTGTAAATCATTTATAACTAAAATCAACAATTTGTTAAATTTAGTTTTTGTTGTTAATTGTTAAAAATTCCTGAAAGAAGTTATGGTTACATATTTTCTTAACTAATGACTTGATTTATTCATAACATTTTACCTATCCCATTCCATTACAATACTTAAACTCCTAAAATATTAATATACTTGAATTCCTAAAATATAATATACCTAATCCTGTCATAAATATTGTTACAAGGAAATATATACAGATTTCAACAGAAAAATTAATTTTTTCAAAAACTTTATTAGAAAATAAAATGTATATCTATAGAGAGTAAAAAAAAAGAAATTACTCAAAATTTCCCCCTTTTGCCTTGATATAGGCATTTAATCACCATGGCCAGCCATAAATATCAGGACGCAGCACTTCTTGAGGAAAGCGGTTAACTGCTCGGACCAGAGATTGTTTGAAGCTTTCCAAGTTAGGGTGTGCTCTGTGGCATGACATCCTCTCTAGTTCGGCCCAAAGCCGATAATCTAGTGGGTTGAGATCAGGGCTTTCTGAGGGCCATTACGAGGCAGAGATGAACTCTAGAATGTTCTTTTGCAGCCACTGCTGAGTTGACCTAGCCTAGTGAGCCAGAGCGGAATTCTGTTAGGAAGTCCAATGACATCAAGCAAACAGGTATCATTTAGAGGCTTGACAACAGTTTCTAAAATATTGTACTTATAGTTTTTAGCTGTTATTTTAACTCCTATTTCACAAAAATGGAGGTTTATGGTGGTGCCATAAATGCTAACTCTCCACCAAACCATCACTGAGGAAGGGTGATGACCTCTTTCCACTCTTCCAATGATTTCCTTGGCTTCTTTGGAGCTGTCACAATCATTTTGGCAATTACTAAACAAAATCTTTCGATGAAGACCATTGGTGTAACGGCCAAGGAGCAAAGTGTTGAAAATCTCTAACCTACATTTTCCAACTTTGTGTAAAGCAATCACAGCTATTCGGTTTTCTTTATCAGCCCACTCCATGTTAACTGAGCGAAAGAAAAATATAAACTAATTGGGATATTATCCTGACATGTAAAGAAAATAACCTGATAAGAGTTAAGGATTATCTAAATAATACCCAAGGATGCAAACACAATTCAACTTTTGTAACAGTATTTATGGCAGAACTAGGTATGTGAATGACAATAGGAATTATATCAATTACAATCCATGCAGTGAACAATGACACTGTATCAATATTACTTTTTAAAATGTGAGCATTTCTTACCATGAGGTTGGGGAACTATAGTACTTGTTTCTGATTCCAGAATGGTTTCTGGAACAGAAGCTGGTATCGGAGAAGAAGTGCTAGTAACATCATTAGACTGCCTTGGCGCTGAAGGAGAAATACCCAACTTTTTCCTCTTTTTGTTATTTCTTTTACTACTTCCCAAAATTCGACTCTTCTTACTCACCTTCTTACCAGATCTTGAATCTGATAATCTATTTTGTGTTTCCTGACATAAAATTTTTATATATTAGTATATTAGACATATCAAGTATTAAAGATAATAATTGTAGAACAAGATCTAACAAAAAATCTTGAAGTAAATTTCTGATAACACAATCTTTAATTTTTCATTATAATTTTTTTTTTTTAGTTTTTTCCCAACACTCAGATTAATTAATACAGAGGAATATATATAATTTTTTTTTTTTTATGTATTTGGACAAGTATCCAACCAATCAGTATAATATATTTTTATTGTCACTAAGGAAAAATTGGTTTATGGTGAAGTGTCGCAGTTGCACTGAGATTGCAAACAGATATTATAAATTTTCCAACTAGAAATTTCACTAAAATGACTACTCAAAAATGTACAAATTGGAGTTAGTCAGTCCGTAAACTGAAAAACTCATATTATACAAGATGCGGATTCGATTAAACATGCTTTTCTGGCAAATTAATATGATAAAACATTTTTCCAATTTCGTTGTTGCACTAGATGAGTGATATGTTAAATTTAATAAAGTTTGAAATATTTTATGCCTGATGAATGTCAGTAGTTTTCAGTGATGATGGAAAATTTATATTAAAAAACAATATATTTAAAGTTAATTTGCAAATTAAAAACAATTTTGATTTCATTTTCTGCTCGGACATCGAAAGCTAAGTGGCTTACATAAGAAGATTGACATTTTGTAACTTATTGAATAATTTTTTTTGCCATTGAGCCACATGATTAAACCTAACAATAATAAACTAACATTTAATAATTATTTAATTAGAGGTTTTACTTACATATGTTACCGATGACGCATGCCTATGACATAAGGGTAAATGATGAAGAACATCGAAGACCGGGGTCGTGCACTGGGTGTTATCAGGGTATTTTGCAGTACAATGCGAAAACAAACGCTGGTCGACATTATACATAATATGCCTGAGGCAGTGTCGTGTACACGGTAGGGCTTGCCCCTCGCATCCTTCCGGGTATGAACACTTTTCTCCTCTTAAGAGGAACATCGATCCTCTGGAACAACAATTACACGTAAACAAAAGAAACATGATTTTCTATAAATAAATAAAGGATTAAATTTTGATTAAAAAAAATAGTCAAAATAAAAAAACAAAGTCACTTACAAAAATATATTATTTACTCAAAAATATATTAACTATTCTTAAGTTCTACAATAATTTTTAAAAAACTAACATCAATGCCAAAACTGTTAGGGTTTAACTTTTAAATTATTTCAAGTTTCTTCTATCCAAGATCTAAGTTTATTAAAAAATCTTAAACATTTTTATATTGAAAAATAAATTTCAGGAATGGAACAGTTAGATATTGGTGGCAATTCAAGAAACCCTGAGAGACTGTGATATTGAAATATGCAGAATCCAATAAATGCTCATGTCATACATACCTAACACTCCTTTTTTTTTAAGTTCAGTTATCATAATTCAATTGTTTATGCATCAAGACTTATCTCAATGGAAGAAACTGTAACAACTCAAGAGTTGTGGAGCGATTGGCACAGACATCAAAACATGATAAATTATTCTATTGTTCAAATTGATTTGGTATAGTTACTTATGTTATTTAATAATAGGGTATATGGTTGAAAAAAAAAATTTTTATACACTATTAAAATACTTTTTTGAGTTAATTTATTATTTTAATATTTAAAAGTAAGCTTTTCTTTTTTTTTTTTTTTTTAAGTTTGTATTTTTCCTTTTTAGTGGTTCTTGTTTTCGAGAAGTAACAAATAAATTTATAAATACAAACTTTAAACTAAACCATTATATTTATTGGGGATTAACAGTTGTATCTAGAGAAGTGTCTATATGTCTTAAAAGTTTTTATCCGAACCTGATAAAATTGATATGGAACCACTCTATATATGAGTTTACCCATAAGAAAAAAAAAGGAATCACACAAATCTGTTAAAAAAACAGCAAAGTTACGAGTGAACAAATATAAAACAACAAGTCAAAATTAATAACCTAAATTCCTTTTTTTTTTAACAATTGGAAAAGGTATTTAGTTATTTTTTTATATATTCATTACAATGAAATTCCCCAAATACATATATATAAACAACTTTAATCAATAAAGATCTGAAATAAATGCTCAAAAATAAAATAGAATCAAAGGATTCCTAGCCAAGAACTAATATTGACATTTTAATTATTCAATTAATAAAGGATTTGCAACATTAAGTTCAGAACACGTGGTTATTTATTTATTTAAAAATAAATAAATAATAATAATCGAATACCATAGCACTTTTACTGTTGAAAGGATTTTTTTTTAGTTTACTTTTTAGGTTATCAATATATAAATAAAAAAATACTGCTGACTCAGTCAAAATAAAGAAAAACAGATGAATATTTCAGCTATTATCAGTATATCAAATTACTGTAAGTAAATCTAATTAGCGCAAGTTGGTACCGACTACTTTTAAATTTAAAAGCATAATAATAGTTATTTTTATTTTTGTCTGCTAAAAGCCTTTCATTAAAAATAAATCTTTTTTATTTTATAATTTGCCAAAATTTATTTCAACAAATATTTTTTATGGCTAACAATTTTACATATTTAGCATTTTATGATCTGATTTAAAATTAATTACAATGCAAAATAACACAAATAAATTGTTTTATTTTTAAATTATGGGGTCCTTAATTTCTGGATCTATGTTAAAAATATATTTTCACTATTCTTAAATTTTAATGATTTTATTAATTAAATATTGTTTTAATTATCTGTTATGACAGGGATTTTTTCTTGAGATAAAATATGACATTTAGTGCTTCTTTACGTAGATCATTTATCGAGTATTCTTATATAAGTTTTGTAATTACGACATTGTATATAAACAATTTTAATTATATGTAATAATTATAGAAAATAAAATTTAATCAATCTTATGACAATATGGAAACCTCTGCTTTATTAATATTCATAAGTTTGTAAGATATATAAATAGTAATCTATGATCCATCATCAATCAGGAATTTATCAAATTTCGTGAACATAAAATTAAAATAATTATTGATAAAAATTTGAAGATATTCTCAGCTAATTTCATAAAATATTATGAAGCTCCTGAGAGGAAGAAGGTGGTGGGGGCGACTTCAGCCATTGGCTCCCATCCTCCATCTTATTTCACTAGCTAATGGTGGATGTCTGTTCCTTGGTGCCTACTAGGAGGATTGCCATCGACACGAAGAACTGACACTCATTATAATGTAAGTAAACTTTTCTCCGCTATATTAAAATCTTGATTAAACACCAAAGTATAAATAAGCTTAAGGAAAACCCTATAGAGAACTTTTTAATAACTTACATAACTAGAACTTTTCAAATTATTTTAAATTGTAGTGAAACGTCAAATCATGAGAGATTAATAAGTCATTTCAGCAATTTTGATAGTTGAGAAACATACATTAAGATAGATAATCACAATTTAATTTTTGAGACGACGACGTTTAGTAATGGTTCCTTTTGAATCATTCCATTACGGCCACTGCTAGCAAAAACAAACTATAATTCGCTGATACTAAACAATGTCTCTTTATGTTTTCTTCGTTTATGATAAGTCCACATTACTGAAATTGTATCTATTTACTTTCCAAAGAAACAAAACAATATTTTACAATTTTTTTTTTAAATGTATTTATTTTACATACTTCTAGAATAATTAGAAATTTTTATTTAAAAATTAAAATATTAGAATTTTTTATTTAAAAATTAAAACAATCTTGGTGATTAATATTATGATAGCTTATTTCTTCTTCTGATTAAGTAATTTTAAATTGTCTTCTGTCATGAAATTATTTTCTCAAGTACTAAAAATGGGAATTTTTCTTTAAATTGATCAAGTATTATTGTTTAATCATAGAAGGAATAACATTTAATAATATGACTGTTTTATTTTTATTATTATTTATATTGAATATTTAATAGTTGACCGTTGCATTATAAAGGAAGGAGATGGCGGTCACAAATTGGCTGAATAGCGGCAAAAATAAATAGTTTTGACACTATTCAGCCTATTTATGATCGCCACCTCGGACTATCCCCTTTCTTTTATTATTATTATCTTTTTTAAAGTAAAGAAAAAATATATTCTCAGTTTGGTAATCGTTATTATTCCCTGATAATAATTATAAATTACTAAGAACTGTCCAAACTTATTTCTGATCGTTTTAATACAAGAAAAAAAATTAATAAGAAATACAACTAATTAACATTATAACTGAAATTAAAAATAAGAAACAAGTAACATATGATTTTTTATTATACTTTTCATAATAAGCGAGCCCATGTGCATAAAAATTGACAGGCTAAGAAAGATACGTGATCTGGAAATGGGGGAATATTATGGGTACATCATGCTGAAAATAGAGCTCAAGAAGTTAGAATCATGATCTAGGAAGCATATTTTAAGCATTGTTGTAAGGTTGATTAGGTCAGAGGTACAGGGTCGGGATTAATGAGAGTTTCATTGATGACTTTGGGGGTTAGTGATTATAAACGATAGCTAACGAGGACTGTTAATATAAAAAGTATTGTCGTCAAAAATAAGGGAATGGCCATTTTAACCTGCTGTAAAGGAAAATGACAACGCAACACAGTGAATTAATTCTCAAGACTAATTTAAGACAGCAGTTTATCACGTGCATCTTTGATATAGTATATTGTGAATCAGAAAAAACTCTGTATACTGATAAATATTTTCCAACCAAACTTTTTCCTAGAAATCATCAGGATATGAGGGGCTGTTATTTTATTGTATAAATTTCATAAATATATTTCTATTCTCTATTTTTTGAATATAACTCTTATTCTGATTTTGTTCACCATAAATTTATTGTCCAATTCAATTTAAATTAGAATTTATTTCTGTAAATAATTTTTTTCATTAAATAATATAAAATTTTGATGAAAAAGTTGCTGTACCATCCCTATCATATAAAAACCTTAATTATATAATTTCACTTCCATACGACTTTTCGTTTTTGAGCTAGACAGTTAACACACACACACATAGACCATTAATTTTGTGGGACTTAAAATGTGTATTCCTGTTGAAAACTCATATTAAACAATTTTCACAACCGCAATACTTACCCTTACTATATATTACATATATAAGTAAGTGAAAGTAAAAATGGGTTCCAATGCATCTAAATCGACTAATTCATAAAGTATTTCTTGATTCATGTAATTCCAACGCAACTTCTTCTATTTTTATTTAATATATTTGTGTTTGAATGCATTTATACATTTTTTTTTTTTTTAATTACGAGACAAGATATCTAAAAATTAATTCTAATTTTACAATAAATTTCTGGGGAATAAAAACAGACCAAGTTATAGTCAGAAAATAAAATTAACTAACATAATTCCTCATGTCCTGATAACTTCTTGGAAAAGGTTTGGTTCGAAAATATTTGGCAGTATACAAAGATTTCTCTGATCTACAATATACTATATCAAAGAGGCACATGACGAACTACTCTCTTAAATTTGTCTTAAGAATTGATTACCACGATGTTGGCGTTTTCTTTTACCTCTACACCAGGTTAAAATGGTCGTTTCCTTATTTTTTATAACAACAATTTTAACATTGACAATAATTGTAATCTATCATTTATAAGCACTAATCCCAAAGCCATCAATGAACTTCTTTTCAACCAAATCCGGTATCTTTGACTTAGTCAACCATATAACAATGCTTAAAATATACTTTCTAGCTTATGCCTCTAACTTCTTGAGCTCACTTTTCAAGCACGATGTAAAATGAAAAATCATAGGACATTTTCCTCTCACTTTTCATTCTAGTTTTAATATTTATTAGTTATATTTCTTCATCTTAATTTTTTTTTAAATAATAACAATTACAAATAATTTTTAACAATTCTTAGCTAATTTTTTTTTAATTACTATTTTTTTTTATCATCACAGCCACAAGACTCATAATATTAGTTTATTATAATTATATTCTATAATATATAATGGAAATA